TAATATAGTAATTAAGGACGCTAAGGTAGTAGCGACCTACTAGCTTTCTAGTAGTAATACTATCTTTACCTTTAAGAAGGCTATACTAAAGACTATAATCTAAGATTAGGGCTAAGTATAAAAGGCGTTTAAGCCTACGGCCTAGCTCTATAAGAGTAAGTTTATAGTAATTATAAAGGGCCTACTAGTAGACTAGGTTATATAAGTAGAATTAAGAGCGTTACTAGTAGAGATCTAAGCCTATACGCTATATGTTATAAAGGTTAAAGTTAAGCTTGTTAAGGCCTTTATAGTAAAGTTTATAATAATAGTACTATACCTCTAGAGTACTAATATAGTAACGCGCCTATATAAACAAAGGCTAATCTAGTAAGCCTAAATCTTTAACTACAAGCTATATTTAGCTAACTTACAAATCTAAAGATACTTCTAGTACTACTAGTTTAGCTACATTAGGCGGTTCTATAAGAACTAGGCCTAGTATAGCTACTATATAAGAGCGGCATACCTTTAGAGTAAAGAGGAGTACCCTTAACTTAATAGTAAAAAGAGATATATTAACTATAGTAGACTATATATAGTATAAGACTATTAGTGTCTTAAGGCCCTTAAGGTAAAAGAGTAAGTATATACTATATATTAGTAAAGACTTAGATAGTTTAAGGTATTAAAGAGTAGCTTTACTAGCCGAGTACTTAGCGTTATACTAGTGTCCTTATAAGATAATAACGATAGCTACTAGGTTATAGTACCTAAGAGACTATAGATAAGTAATAATAAGAAGCCTATAGTAAGGACTCTAGTAAGGCGTAAACGCCTTCTTATTAGAGCGCTAGATATAGTAACAGTTTAGAGCTACAACATTATAAAGATGTTAAGCTAAGGAACTAACTAAGGGTCTAACGACCCTTATATAACGTAAGACTTATAGATCCTAGACTCTTAGTAATAAAATTAATAATAGTATACTAAAACACTATAAGAAAGAACGGCCTTACCTTAATAGTACTTTATAATAGCTATAAAGCTAACGTTATAGTAATCTAAGAGCTATAGTATAATAAACAGACAAAGATAGTCTACTACCTAGTATAAGTAAAGTACTAGTAGGTCTATAAGGGTAAAGGCCGTATAGTTATCTATATTTATAAGTAGTACCTACTTCTTACCTAAGTAGTAAAGACTAGTACTAACTAGTATTACGTTACTCTATAAGGTATTACTATCTAGTTAATATACTTACTAATTCCTAACTCTCTAGGCTAGACTAGCCCTCTTTAGCGGCTTACTAAAGAAGACTTAAAGAGGCTATAAATCGTTATAAGTAATATAAACCTTTACTACTTACTCTAAGATAGAGCTAGTAAGACTACCCCTAAATTAAAGACCCTCTTTTATCTAGCCTATAAGTAGTAGCTCTTACTATATATACCTTAAGGAGAGCTAACCTAAAAGAGACATAGTAAACAAGACTTAACGATTAATTATGTATAGGCTATAGTAATACTCTAGTATACTTACTAAGGTAACCTAGAGTATAAGGGATCTAACTACTATACCTAGCTAATTAAGGTTATTACCTAAGTAAAAGATCGCTATAAGAGAGCCGTAGAGGTACTAGGATAAAGCTAGACTTTAATAAACTAAGAGCTAGTAGCGATTAAGGCTAAGAGGCTCTACCTCTCTTTTAAGCCGCTAGATATACCTTATAAGGTTAATAAGGCTATTAACTTACTTACCTCTTAGCTTATACGTATTATAGACCTATCTACCTTAAGAAAGAAGGTTAGCTAAGGACGTACTATATTTTTAGAAAGAGCCTTTACGACTTTATAGTATTAGTAAAGTACTAGCTAATTACTAACTTAATTACTTTGTCTATTATACTTAAGAGTAATATTAGCCTATAGGCCTTAGTAGTTTATTACTATTTAAGGGTCTTTTTAGGCTTACGTAGTACTACTACCTTTACTACTTTAAACTACGCTAAGACGTGCCCTAGCTAGAGGCTTATAGTTACTACTACTATAAGGAGCTTAGCTAAAGGGCGCCTATATACCTTAAAGAAGCTAGTAAGTAGTAGGTTAGGTCTTAGTACCTTTTAGGTACCTGTCTTTTAGAGAACGTTAGTAATGTCTGCCTTTATTATAGTATCGTTAATAGTAAACTACTAGTACTACTTATCTTAGAGGTCTAGAACGACGTTACTAAGATTAGCTACTAATTCTAAAAAGAACTACTAGCCTAATACTATTACTTTATTATAGTAGCTTATAGCTAGTACCTCCTTATTAGCGCCTTAAAAAAGAAAGAGTAAGGCCGGTTCTAAGGGCATATAACTATAGAGCCTAGCCTACCTTTTAAGACTCTAGAGTTTTTATTAGTCTTTTAAGATAGTAGTAAAGGCGTTATACTAGCTCTTAGTCTTTATATCTTAGATCGTCTAGAGTTAGTAAGTACTAGCTTACTAGAGATCGCGCTAGTAAAGTTTAGTTAAGGTAGTAGTATATTAATAGCGTACTACCTACGTTTACTAGACAGCCTTAAGGACCTTACTACTCTACTAGAGTTTAGATAAGAAACCGGCTATAACGCTTAACAGACCTTATAGTTAAAATAGTAGTCGACACTATATATATAGTGTAGAGCTATAAGGCTATAGCGTCCCTTTTCTAACTAGACATTAAAGGTACCTTTAATATAGTAAACTATATACGCCTTTTCTATACTCTTTAATACCTAAGGTTCTTTATATAGGCTATATAGTAGGTATATAGCTTTCTTACTAATTAGATAGCTAGCCTCTTTTTTAATAAGGAGGCGGCGCTACCTTAAGAGGTTACTATAAAGGTACTATAAGGCTTACCCTTCTTTCTTATCCTCTTTCTCCTTTATACTACTAGCTTATATACGCTACTATAAAGACATATAGGCCTTATTATAGTAAGGTTTACTAACGACCTTAACCTTTTAGTATTTAGTAAAGACACGATAAAGACACGCTAGTACCTTAAAGAGGCGTAGTAGACTTATAGCTAGTAAGTATAGACAAGAGAAATAGAGTTTACCCTTAAAAAGAGCGAGCTCTTTTACCTTACTTATACTTACGTTATACTAATAACGCCTGTCTACCTTAACGGCCGGGTTATACCCCTAGTCTAAGAGGCCTACTTTCTAAGAGTTTAGATAGATTAGAAGCTTAGGTAAAAGGGCTACCTTAACGCTATTAAACAAAAGTTTGTTACTTAGTAGTTTACGCTTATAAGGCTTACTATATTTACGTAAGGATATAGCCTACTACACGTAAGAGAGATCTATATAAAGGTAATCTAGAGCGCTATAGTATATAGCGTAAGGGTCTAGTACTACCCCTTTAGGTAACAAGCTAAGAGGATTATAAAGGACCTTATTATAAAGTAGTTATAGTACTTTTATATTATTATAAAAGCGTACTAGGCGACTCTTGTTTAGTTTCTTAAGTCTAAAATAGCTACGCCTTTACTTAACCTTTACCTTAATAAGAGGGTAGTAGACTTTAAATAACGTCTAGAATATATAAGTAAGGGCGAACTTATATAGTCTATCTATAATAAGGTAGCGACCTACCTTTAATAACGCTAGAAACGCTATTACGACGCTACTATAGTACTACTCTATACGTTACTTAAGTATAGGGCAGGCTAAGCCGTATAAACAAAGGACTAGTACAAGGACTCTTTACTAGAAGAGACCTTATAAGAGAACTAGAGGACACGATAGACCTAACACAATAGTTTGCTAGCGTACTACTAAGGTACTACCCTAGCCGTACTACTTACCCCTTTAGTAGATACCCTTAAGAAGTACTTACTCTTTTATAAGTATAAGAGCTTACTTTTAACGTAGATCTATACTAGTAAGGTTAGGCTCTAGGCCTTTCTTTTTAAACGTAGAGTACTAGAGGTAGCGACTCTTTAGTACCCTTATAGTAAGGCCCTAGAGATAGTAGCTTACCTAGTCCTTAACTACTAGTAGCTTAACTAGTAGCGACAGGCCTTATAGTAAGTACTTTACTTAAAGGCGTTATAGACGTTCCGCGACTTTATAGTAGTAATAGAGAGAAGAAAGAGTACGCGCGTACTAATCTACTAGCTACTATCTACTAGCTAGTTCTTATAGTTTAGGCTAGCCGAGCGCTACCTAGCTAAGAAAGAAGGAGAGTAATCCTAGTTAACAGCTAGCGTCCTTTTAGCGTCTTACTAGTGTCTTGTTAGTATGTTTAGTATTACTAGGCTAGAAGGTTAAGTTCTAGTAAGGTAGTAATAAGGTCTTAGTGCCTTAGTAGTACTATAATAAAGTATTTACAAGAGGTAGTACGTAGGTTTTTACCTGGCTTTAGTACGGTTTTACTACGTGATTTATGTAGTATAGAGGTTCTGTATATATTAGGCATAGGTAGTAAGAACAATAATAATAATAATAATTATATTTAGAAAGGAACAATCTCTTTAAATAAAGATAGTTAATTACTATAGAGACAGTCTGTTTAAAAGGATAATTAATTAAGTAAGGATAGTTAACACTTAGAGACGGTTATAAGATAGTTATTCTAAATAAATTAGAACAAATAAAATACTAGGTAATTATATAGACAATGTTTTTTTATAGTTGTTAATTAATGGTTAAGGTATAATCAATAAAGAGGGACTGCTATAGGAATATTATAATGGCCCTACGCCCTTATTTAAGGTAATCCTAGTGTAAGTATTATATAGAGTAACGTAAAGCCTGCTAGATTATTCTTTAAGATATATTATTATAAACCTACAAGGGCACTTGACAGGACAAGAAACTCATTACTAGTAATATAGTAGAATAAAATCCAAATTTAATCCCCCTTAACTAGTACATCAATGTACAATTTGTTATGTCTTAACGCTATAAGTATCCTATTGTACAAGTCATAAGGTTCTATTGGTGTTGGACAAAAGCCTGCTACAAGGAAACTGGCGTGTCGCTGTCTACAACAGCATTCGTCGAGGATCCTCAATGTACTCCTTGACCTTCACCAGAAATTGGACGGCCTCCCTTCCATCCAGAAGGCGGTGATCGTAAGTTAGCGCTAGGTACATCATAGGTCGAATTACGATCTGGCCGTTCACAGCAACAGGCCTGTCCTTGATGGCATGTAATCCAAGTACAGCGGTCTGAGGGAGGTTGATGATTGGAGTGCCCATCAAGGATCCAAAGACGCCACCGTTGCTGATGGTGAAAGTACCACCAGCCATGTCCTCAATGGTGAGCTTGTTATCGCGGGCCTAGAATGAAGATCAGAACAAGTAACAGGCAGGTAGAGATGGTTCATTTACCTTCTTTCCCAGATCCGCAATTGCTTTTTCAATCCCAACAAGATCCATTGTCTCCGTGTTCCGAACAACTGGGGTTACAAGGCCCTTCTCCGTTGCAACAGCGACGCTGATATCAACGTAATCTCTGTAGACAATGGTATCGCCGCCATTAGGCCCCTCGATTGAAGCGTTGACAGCTGGTATATCCCTCATTGCAAGTACACATGCACGGGAAAAGGCGCTCATGAATCCAAGTTTTACGCCGGTCTTCTTCAACACCTCATCCTTGTAGAGCTTTCTGAACTCCATCAGAGACGACATGTCAACCTCGTTAAATGTCGTGAGGGAGGCAGCGGTGTTCTGTGACTGCTTTAGGCGTTCCGCGATACGAAGGCGCATGCGATTCATCTTGACCTATACGAATCATTAGCTATTGCGTTCCTACCACGAAGATTGTCAATTGCATACACGCCGCTCCTCGCGACTACCGAGAACAGGGGTAGAACTGCTTGGCTTGGCATCGGTCTTTGGCTCTGTAGGTTTTGGTGGCGGCGCCTCCTTCTTTGGCTCAGCCTTCTTCTCCTGCGGTGGAGGCGGGCTTGGTTCATCTTTCGGTTTGGGTTCCTCCTTCTTCGAGGGCTCACGATCTGAGGGCGTGGCTGGCTCCTTGGGCTCTGCGTCGGCTGCCTGCTTCTCCCCTCCGCCCGGCGCCCCTCCAAGTTCGAGACGGACCAAATCCTGACCAACAACGACGGTATCCTCTTCGTTTGCAAGGAATTCCTTGATGACACCAGCTTCGGGAGCATTGACGGCTACATCGATCTGGAAGCATAGAAGTGAGCCGGTGTATTCTCGTGTGATCGTCGGGAGTAAGCTAGACTTGCCTTGTCCGTCTCGATGGTCGCAATCTCTTCATCCTGCTCAACGAATTCGCCAATCTGTTTCGACCATTGCTTTAAAGTTCCTTCAGAAATCGACTCTGCCATCTGTGGAACCTTGATGACTCTGTCGGCATAGGAACGGAATTGTTGGACAACGGGCAAGGGATACCGCAAATGCGGTGCTCGATGAGCCCGCAAAAAGCGGGATGCAACTAGGACTCTTCTGGAGAGCATGCTGATCCGAAGACGTGGAGGAAGAGAGATGAGGGAGATGATGAGTGAGGAACTGGATGTGGTAGAAGTGAAGTGAAAAGGCCCAGGTTTCCGCGAAATACCTAGGTAGCGGGACTTTACGGTAGCTGCATCCGGGATTCGAGCCGCACTGGTCGCCGCTAGCCGCACGCTCCGCAGGACCGCAACATCATCTCGCGATTCAACACCAACGTACTGCGCTCAACTGCCCACTACATCCTGCTTTGAATTGCACCATAAGCCCGATTGTCGCGGAGGACGCCCGGAATACTATATTCGACGAGGAACTACGCCAGAGCAGGCCGGCCAGTCATTGTCACCTCACACCGGACAAGATGTCTACGAAGCAAGCGGTATGGTGAGTTAATCCCACTCGGAATCTGAAGCTCGAAAACTGACCAGATTCTCTTTGAGTTCCCTTTACCGACGCTCCCTGAAGCTGGCTCTCGATTGGGCCGTGCACCGGTATCTCTGGAGAGGTCAGGCGCTGTACATCCGGTCGTTGTTTGAGGCGAATAAAAACATACGAGATCCCAGACAACAGAGGGCAGGTCTCCCAAATGCCGGAATTCAGGAGACTAAGCTGATTTTTGGTCTATTAGGCATTGTTCCAAGAGGCGGAGGAGCTGCTTGAGAAGTGGAAACACCCTGATCCATACCATGCACCAACCGCCCCCGGAGGTTAGTCTTCCAAGGTCTCGAGCTTCTACTCTGCTCGAAATGCCTTTTCTTCTGTTGTATTGCATGATGCTTACAAGACCTGTCAACTAGGATCCAAGTTTGAAAGAAACCTCCCAGCACCAATTCTCGACCGTAAGTCAACGAACTCCAGTGGCGTGGACTTGAGAGCTGACATGAACCCAGCGCCACGTCCTATGATTTTGTAGAGCGGGTAGGATTTTGGGGCATGCAATGGAGAGAACCCCCCCCTTGAAGACGTACATAGGATGCAATAGAGTCATTCACCGATGGCTAGAGCTCCCGAAACAGTGCTTGTGATGTAGATACAGAAGAACAAGATCATTGCGTGACTGCGCAAGGCGCTAGGAGCCAACAGCTCGTTGAAAATATATTTATTAGAATTTGGTGGAAGACAGCCGCAGCTAGGAAATTAGATAAATCTAGGAGTCCGAGTGGATGTGCGTGACGGAATCGCTGGCTCATCATTTTTAACCTGTTGATATTGTTGATATTGGCTTCGATCCTCTATATTCAAACGCCAACCACTCAACCCTCTAATACGCCAAATTTTGAAAACCAAACTCTGACGTCGCGTTCCTAAAATAGAACCCCAGATATCAAGCGGACTAGCCCAGGCGCAAGGCCATCCGAATGAAATATACCGCAAGACATGGAGGTAGAGTAGATGAATGTTTTATCAGTTTCTCATAAGATTGATATCTCCATCCATTGCCATGGATTTAATGTACAACCAGAACGCGGAAAAAGCAACCGTGGACCCAGACCCAGACGACACCCCATCCATTATCATAAAAGCAAACCCTCAGAAACGCGACCGACCACAAGAAATGAAAACTATAGCTCTTGGCTGGGATTCTTGCCACCCTTCGGGGTCTTCTTTGGCAGAAGGTCTTGAATTTTGGTTAGCCAATAATCGGCACGCGAGGTCTTGGGGGAACTCACTCTGGTGGATGTTGGGCAAGACACCACCCTGTGCAATTGTAACGTGTCCGAGAAGCTTGTTCAATTCTTCATCGTTGCGGATGGCGAGTTGCAGATGACGGGGGATGATACGGGTCTTCTTGTTGTCGCGGGCGGCATTGCCAGCCAATTCGAGGATTTCAGCTGCAAGGTATTCGAGGACAGCGGCAAGGTAGACGGGAGCACCTGTATGACGCGTTAGAACTGTGGAACAGGGGCGTCGTGGACCCGAGACAACCTACCAGCACCAACACGTTGAGCGTAGTTGCCCTTTCGGAGAAGACGGTGGACACGACCAACGGGGAACGCAAGACCGGCCTTGGACGATCGGCTATCGAATGGTTAGCAAAAGCTCAGCGTTCGAGGGACGCGATCGATGCGACATGCGCGAGAAGGGAGAAAGACGCGTCAAAAGCGGCCAAGATACCAAGGCAAAGGGGGGAAACAGAGAGGCGACTCACGATTGCGCGTTCTTGGAGCCGCTGGCCTTTCCTCCGGATTTGCCTCCAGTCATTTTGAGAGAGGTTGGATTGGTGGATTAGTTAGAGTGATTGGGAGAATCGAGAAATCGAGAGGTGGATGGGGCCGTGAAGAGGGCTGATGGCAATAAGGACGAATAGTACGGGTGGTGATGGAAGTGGAAGAAGAGGATTGGGGGGATGCCGCAGCAGATATACCGGTGCTCGCTAAGTTAGTGATCCACGGGGGCGTGTTTACTCGCGTGCGAATCGTGCCACCGCCTGCGTCAAGCGAGCGCGTCCTCTGATTGGTGTGATCTCCTGCGCGTGCTCGCTCTAGCGCCGCTCGCCGCTCTTCATATAAATACGGCGCCTTCGTTCTTCCTTTCCACCTTTCTTCCTCCCCTCCTCCTCTTCATCCATCGCCCACCAATCCGCCCCTCAGCATCACCGACACGTCCAGTATCTCACCCGCCCGCTCTCCCTTTCCCATTTTCCCATTCTTCCCGCCGACAGCTCTTTTTACGCTCCCCGCATATCACCCCAGATCCATATCCAAAAATGCCTCCCAAAGCCGCCGCTGAGAAGAAGCCCGCCACCAAGGCCCCTGCCTCCAAGGCTCCCGCCGAGAAGAAGGAAGCTGGCAAGAAGACCGCCGCTTCTGGCGACAAGAAGAAGCGCACCAAGACGCGCAAGGAGACATACTCTTCATACATCTACAAAGGTACGACTCTTCCGCTTTGGGAGTCGCGCCCCTTTGCAAGCATTGATCGCGTCAACATTGTTACATCGCGGTCTCCGTTGGCCTCCAACCTCTGAGCATTGGTTTCGCGTCGCGTCGCGTACCCCGTTCAAAGAAAGCATCCACTGACTCGTCGCGATTCTAGTCTTGAAGCAAGTCCACCCCGACACTGGTATCTCCAACCGTGCCATGTCGATCCTGAACTCCTTCGTCAATGGTATGGCACCCCGCCAGCTTATTTATTCAATTTCTAACGCGACTTCCCAGACATCTTTGAGCGCGTCGCCACCGAGGCCTCCAAGCTTGCAGCATACAACAAGAAGTCAACCATCTCATCCCGAGAGATTCAAACATCGTAAGTTTTCTGCTGCCATCATTAGATACCCCATCTGACACCCATTGCAGCGTGCGGCTCATTCTTCCTGGCGAACTTGCAAAGCATGCCGTATCAGAAGGTACAAAGGCTGTGACCAAGTACTCGTCGTCTACGAAATAGGTTATTTTGGGTTTCCTTTTCTTCGGGTTTTTCATAGGGTATCGGATTTGCTTTAGCTTTGGGACATCTTTTTGAGGATGATAAGGCTGAAGTGGTCTGGGATCCTCGGGTCTCATTAATGCGTTATGGATGGGTTGCTTTTTATTGGGGGCACATGTCTTCACGGTCTGCTTTCGGGGTACGTGGCTGTACAATAAGCGTCTTCAGAATAGGGGAATTCAGAAGACAACATTTGAAATTCGATTTTGGGCTTCATTTGCAGACAGTGATAAGGCGCGCGGTTGGGACCTTGATCCAACCATCGGAATTGGAAGAGGCGACCCAAATTTAATTTGGGCGCTCCTACCAAAAGAAGCACGAAGGCGGAGCGAGTCGAGAATCTGCTGTCCATGCAGTTGATTTCTGTCGCAATGTATTTTTCGCAAGCATTTTCAGGTCAAGGCTTGATGTTGTCGCATTCTCCGCAACAAGTCTCTTGGATTGATTGAGGGAGCTGGTTAAATGCATCTAGGTTACATACAGTAGGGATAATCGGTCCGCCGTCCTCATCCCATTTTCGCTGGTTGAAACGTCATACAAAGCTCAAGTGGACAAAGATATTACTCCCGACAGCGTCAAGGGATTTTTATCCAAGACCGGCCTTCGTAGTCTTGACAACATGGGAAACAGGTTGCAAGATTCCCTTGTTGTTGAGTGCACCGAGAGCTGTGCCAGTGCTCCAACCCATCTTCTCAAGCATAGCTCTACCCTTGTTATCAACTCCAAGCTCTGGTGCCGATCCACCAACGATGTCACCATCTCTATAGCTGACACCGGCGCTGCTGAAACCACCTCCTCCACGGCCAGAATGCTTGGACCCAGCACTGTATCTCTTACCGCTCACATCCATGCGAGGGAAGAAACGACGCGTGAGTCTTGCTTCGAGAGCATCAAATGTACGTTCAACATAAGCTGACGTTCGTGAGGTGCGGTAGAGGACTGGGAATCGTTTAGTGCCCGTCCCAGCAGACTTGGACTTTAAGTTGAAAGCATTGGCAATCTCGTGGACTATTTTTCGGTTTGCTTTGTCCATTGGGGGAAGCGCGAGTCTACGAAGTCAGCTTGTACTTGTTTTCTCGGGAGACGTAATACTAACGTGGTATTCTTTCCCATCAAAAATGCTCTGATCTCTTCCTTGATTTCGCGAATACTCATTCCCTCTTGATACTTCTTCTTTAGGTCAGGTTTGCCATTTTTACTTCCCAGTAATCCTTGAGCCCGTAACTCCTCACGCTCTTGTTTTCTCTCTTTTTTCTTGACCCGATCATTCTCATACGTCTTTTGCATCGATATCTCGAGCTCGGAGTCTGAAAGATCAACGACAAGCTTGCCTTTGCGACCTTTGGGTTTTCTTTTGAGGCTTGGACGGTCAAAGTCCATAACATCGAATCCATCATACGCGTCAGCTAGGGCGGTTGCTGCGGGGAATTCGCCTCGAGGTGGTTTGGTACCACGATCCTTTGTTCGAGATCTGTTTGGAAGCATGGCGGGATTGAATCGAGCTGTTATAGAAGGGATATCTTCATCTTCATCGGCATCGGCTGCATCGTCAAAGAGCAGCAACTCGTCTGATCCCATACCGAGCTCCTCTTGCTTGGCCAGCAATCTTGCGATCTGCTCATCTGTCATACGATCTATCTTTCTCTGCAGGAGATCCTGATCATCTTCCTCTTCCAGTGCATCATCGACATCTGTATCTTCTGAATCATCAGAATCTTCCTCCCCATTGTCCTGGAACTCAGCAACAAGCTTTTCTTCGGCCTCGAATTCATTAATACAGGATAATGCAGCGGCACCCGTTAAAGCACTAGCAGGAACCCATCTTGCCTCGTCGACAGTTTGACCCTGCCAGACAACAAGGTATTGCACTCCACTCTTGCGGTCCCTCTTGGAAACGATGGCTTGGACTTCTCCTATTGCCCCATCAGATGTGCTTAAATCGTCAAAATCGCACATATCTGAACGGTCCCAACCGCTGTCTAAACCAGCTTTTGAAGGGAAATTTGGCTCTCTGGACGACTCTGTCTCGTCCTGCCCACCATCTTCACTACCACCTAATTCGCGTTGATTAAATGAAGCATTTTGAAGCAGAGAATCTCCTCCACCTTCGATGTTCGCGATGTAATCGGCGACCAGCGCATCTTCTTCGGCCTTGCTGAGACCTGCACGAGGACCATGGCGATCGCGTCGGCGGTTACGTCGATTTCCACGCTTAGGTAGTATGGCATCAAACTCGCCAGGCGAGGAATCAGCGGACTCCCGTGAGGACTTTGAGGCAACTCCTTTACATCGAATAGCTTCATCAAGTAGCTCTTCCTGTTCATGGATTCTGTCCTCAACTAACTTGATCTTTGCGTCAATTGCATCAGTAGGTATTTTAGGAGGTTTCCTAGCCCTGGAAATGACCTCGCCCTGACTGTTGCGTCCCCCGAACAGTATTACTTCCTCACTAGAATTAGATGGTGTCGGGGATGGTGGACGGAGCGGGAGCTGAGGGGGGGGTAACCCAGTGGGTACGGGCTCGCTCCCGACTGTATCAACAATGTACAGTGGATTCCGTTCATTAACCAAGTCAGTGGAGTGAGTTCCTGTATTCCGTTTCTCCAACTCTTCTTCCACCTCGACCTCTACTTCCAGCTCTTCACCTGAAGGCGAGTCTAGAGTCATTCCTGCCAGAGCAGATTCCGGGTCTTTGGGTTGGGGCCGGAGTGGATCCAGCCGCCCTGCGCTGACAAAGTTGACCTTCGCATGCCTCAATTTTTGATCGGATTCCCAAAATGAATGGTGCCGCTCAGTGTTTCGAGCCTCTTCTTGCAATGTGAGCCCTGCGGCCAAAGCAAGCATACGAGTCAGCAATAGTCCAAAACAAGAAGAAATACTTTCAGCAAGAAGGTGTCTTTGTCTGTACCCTTGTGTTCGCCCCTACGTGAGGAAGCACCTGTAGCAGGGGAAGAGACAAACGAGGTTTCACGGCTGGATGCACCTGATCCATAGCGAGGCTGTTGGAACCTGGCCCGGTGTGCCGCCTTCTTCCCGCGAGGCATACTTTACTTGCAGATGTGCAGCATGGGAGTTGTCCGAAAGGAGGTGTAGAGGGAGGTGTAGAGCAGTCCGTCCATAGGTGGGTGGGCGAGGTGAGGTGAGGCGAGGTGAGGTGAGATGGGATGGGAGGAGCTGAGGCAAAGTTCAAATTGAAGTCCAAACAGATTCAGGCACAGACCACAACGCCGCTAGTCTTATCGATAAAAAACCTGACTGCGGGCGGGGTAGTAAACGGCCTCCGTACAAAGTAGAGTTACCTACTCGGGACACACATGCAAGGATAGGTACACCTCTCAAGGCCGCGTAGGTTAGATTGGGGATGAAGATGGAGATGGAGATGGAGACATACCTAGGCATAGAACACAGACATAGAACATACAGCATCTCTCTGTCTCTGTCACTCCCTCTCCCTCTCTTGATATCTATCTGCTGGTCCTGTCACTGCGACCTGGGCAGGGTACGCTGACTGGATCATCATAAGGTAAGGTAGCGAGCGGTACTCGTCTACGCCATCGAAAAACAGCCCAGTGGGCGGGTGTATCTATCAGCTGCCTGCTCCGCTCACCCAGCTCTCTGACCTCACCAAGCTCAGCTCAGCTGCTCAGTTCTCCTCGCCCCTCCGTCGCCGACTTCATACCTGGAGGACGATGAAAAGAGGCAGAAGGTTCAACAGCAACGCTTCCTAATATCTATCCTTGCATCTCTTGACTACCACCCGGAGGTGGCTGCTTTGCGTCGTCTCGCGCCAGCTTCCCTCCTCGACCACTGTCCACGAGCCGCCCCTCTAACCACCCCCCGCCCCCTCCGCGACGCAGCACGCCGCATGCCTTCGGCCATCAACCTCAACTCGAGCGCAGTAAGAACCTGGTCTTTATATGAGCTATGACGAGCGTCGACTTTGGCCGATATAAGCGCATTGTTCAGTACTTTTGGGACCCGGAACCTACGAACGATGCTGCATCGCGCTCTCCGATATGGTGCTTAGGCCGAGAGTATCAGGTCCCCGAGAAGAATCTAGTACCCGTCGCGGCGAGCACTCCCCCTCTAGATGGCAAGTTTGAGCCAGCTCAACCTCAAGATCCCGTTCAAGATGCAACCCCGCCAGACAGTACGACAGGTAGCCTTGACGACTCCTCAGCACACGACGAGTCTGCAAGTGGCGGAGAAGATGGAGGTTGGCCCTCTTCCTTTTTGGACGATTTCGAAGCCAGAATATGGCTCACATATCGCTCGAATTTCCCAGCAATTCCCAAATCCCCGGATCCAAAGGCGGCCTCATCGATGTCACTGTCAGTACGATTAAGAAACCAACTTGTTGACCAAGGCAAATTTACATCCGACACGGGTTGGGGATGCATGATCAGATCGGGACAAAGCCTTTTAGCAAATACTCTTGTCATGCTACGAATGGGAAGGGGTTCGTCCCTCATAATTCTCTTGTCTACGAAGAGACTAACCATGTGGCAGATTGGCGCCGTGGCTCCTCAGACATCGAAGAACGAGACATTCTCGCATTATTTGCCGACGATCCCAGAGCGCCTTATTCGATACACAAATTTGTAGAGCACGGGGCCGCGGCTTGTGGGAAACATCCCGGAGAATGGTTTGGGCCTTCAGCCACTGCTCGTTGTATCCAGTGAGGAGCCTGCAAACAACACGATTATTCATATTTACTGACCTCGAGTAGAGCATTGACAAACGGTCGCGAGCTTTCGGATTTGAAGGTTTACATCACTGGTGATGGGTCCGATGTTTATGAGGATACTTTTATGAGCATTGCAAAGCCCGATAATAGCAGTTTCAAGCCGACATTGATATTGGTCGGGACTAGGTTAGGCCTAGATAAGATCACACCCGTTTACTGGGAAGCCTTGAAAGCGTCATTACAAATGTCACAGTCTATCGGCATTGCTGGGTATGTGCTCTATTCCTGATCCGTTGCTGTTCAGCGTCATAACATTACCAGTGGCCGCCCTTCATCATCACACTATTTCATCGGCGTTCAAGGGCCCTACTTTTTCTATCTTGATCCTCACCAGACCCGACCTGCCCTTCCCCTTCCAGAAAATCCTAGTCATTATACGCAAGAAGATATCGATTCCTGCCATACTCGAAGGCTAAGGAGAATTCACGTAAAAGAAATGGACCCAAGCATGCTCATCGCGTTTTTAATCCGTGACGAGAATGACTGGAAGGAATGGCGGCGAGCCGTTCAAGAAGTGGAAGGAAAGGCAGTGATCCATGTCGCTGATAAAGATCCAGCGCTGTATGGTCTCGGTGTTGAGAGAGATGGCGCGATAGATGAAGTGGAAACCTTCGATGATGAAGATGAAGATGATACCATATTAGCTACTTAGGCGCGCGGCTTGGATGGGTGGTTTGGTATTTGGCGTCTGAAAGGGGAGCAATAGTTTAATCCAATGCTTGCATCACTTTGCAAGAAGATGCCACGCTCCGGGGAGCTCACGCATAGTGATAATATATTTTATAGGTCATGATCTCCGACATCGTGTAATGCTAAACATGACGGTCTATTTGATGTCCCGATGTTCTATCAAACACATGAACACCAAACCCCTCGCTTCGTTTGCAGCCTGGCTGTGTCCCTTTCTGGATTACAATCCTTGGTAATTCAGCGGTTCTTCTTACTGTTCTTGCTTTTTGCAGTCTTCGCTACTGGCTGGGCATGATTTAATTCCTTGATATGGTTAAAAAGCTTAGTCCTGGAAGAGAAAGTACTTCGGCAGGTAACGCATTCGAACTACGAAACATCATCAGTCTCTTCATGTCCTCAAGGTGTCAGATTGAGACTTACCCCCTGGTTGATTTCAGCAGTCTCCATCTCTTGTCGAGCAGCCTTCTTTGCACGCTTTGCCTTTGCCTTTCCTAGCTTCTGCTTGCCAGTCCCATTAAGGTCACTAAGCGTTGGACTTGCAACAGTTATTGGGTCTGAATTATCCATTCCCTCTTCAGCGATTTTTGCCTCTGATAACGAGCTAGCCAGCCGGTTTTCCACATCTGCTCTAGGCGCATACTCATCATCTACATCTGAAGAGTCAGATTGATTTTCCATTGCTTGCCGCGGGCTCTGTTTAGGAATATCAATTTCTGCTTTGCTGCCTTCGGGCTCTTTCACCTCCCAGAGATTCTCCCCCTCGCTCTTGGCGCCATTCTCCCTGTTTGGTTTAGTTGTGGATTCATTGGCACCTTCTGCGCCTGTTGAATCCAGATCCAGCTTGTCGAACCCCTCGGGCGCTTCGGTAAGTGTAGAGGGCCCATCGACAGACGATCCATCGAGGTTGAGGCGTCTGCTCTCTTGTCGCATCTCCCTCTGGAGGGCTTGAACAGCCTTGATGTGTTTCTTACTCTTCTCATGGGTTTCATACTGTTTCTCGCTCTTGAAAGTTTTCCCACAGACAACACATTCAATGTGCTCGACCTCCGATTCAGAGGACTCTGTAAAGCTATCCTCCGTTTCAGGTCCGCTTGTCTTTGCCCAATCCGGGACTACATGTTGATTGAGCTTCGCCTGGTTTGCAGCTCTCGATCGCGCTGCTTGAGCAGCTGCAGCATCTCGTAAGATCTTTTGGCGATCAGCCTCTGACTGTGCATTTGGGATGAACCTTGGATCTCGTTTTCGGACAAATGCCACGAGCGCTCTTACGGCATCGTTGAATTCCCGGATGCCTTCCTCTCGGAGTCTTCTGTTTTCCTTCTCTATGAGTCGACGGGTCGCCCTATCAGGGGCATCAGAAGATTTATATGCATCCCTCCAGGAGAATGTCTTTTTAGTTGAAAAGTTCGCCCAGACCCGGTAGAAGGGCTTGACAACGGCTTCGTAGTCGTCTTCTGCGCCACCAAACTCTGGATATTGTATTGGATCAATCCCCTGCCAATCACAAGCCAGATTCTCCTCCGTTGCAAGAGTTTCGAATGTACCCCGCAGTATGCCGTAGAAGCCATTTGGTGCATCCGTGAAGGGCACACTGGTGTTAAACCTACCGATCAAACCCACGATGTCTCTAGCGCTTGTGAGGCGCACATTGTGCTCGAATTGCTCTTCTTCAGAAGCACCACCATCTGCGCGAAGTATGGACTCGCGATGAGAATCATACCATGCTCTCTCCTGCGGATCCGATAGAACCTCGTAAGCAGATTGCACCTCAGCGAATTTAATGGTGGCGTTTTCGACATCGCCGTAGTTTCGATCTGGATGTAACTCAAGGGCCTTTTTCCTGTAGGCCTTCTTGATTCTGAGTGGCGCAAATCATTAGTCCTAGCTGCTATTATCGCGGATAGCCATGAAATTCTCACTCATCAGCAGAAGCCTGGCGCCCGACTCCGAGTAGTTCGTAGTAACAGGTCTTTACCGCCGCGTTGTCTTGCGCGGGCGAGGCATTGCGAGGGGACGACTGCTCTGCGCCCATAGTGGCAACCCTGCGCCAACATACGGGTAGGCCGCTACTCCCGCGAAGAGATGGATGTACTTGAGCAAATACTGGTGGATTTACTGTACCTAGGGCAGTACTCCGCAGATTATGTGGTCGGGTTCAAGACTGAACCTACCTACATGTTTCGGTGCAAGAAATCAAGAGAAATGTTAAAAATAAAATAATGTGCTTAGCGAGGAGAGGTAAGGTACAATTTTTAATAACCCCGATCATGCACTACCCTACCTTACCTTACGTAGCCGTCTTTTATTATTAGGACTACTGCTACAGTACTACTACTGGGCAACGGTGTTCTGAACTTCTGAACTTCTAGCTGAATGGGATGGCCGGTTGATTTTCTACTCCGTAAGTGGGCGGGCTCTAGCTGGTATATATCGGTCTATCCTGGTGGTCTGGGCTCTATAGCAACAACAGAACCTTGAGGTTACTTGAGAAGTTGAGAGGGCCAACATTGCGGACCTTGGAACTTCGGGATATTGTGATAGAGGTTAGGCCGTTGACTACCAACTTGTCTGGCCTAATAATAGTAACTTCTCGCGACAGATCAGATATATCATCACTGCAGAAAGAATTTTCCTACCTGCTCAGTCGACTTGCCTTTGACATTATCAGGTCCCTCTTGTACAGAGAACCCCTGCGAAGTACCTCCGTAGTACTTAAGACTCTTGCCGTTAGGGCCAGAACATCCAGAGCCAGAGCCAAAGACCGGCCCAGGCCACGTGCTACTCCCGCTCTCAAATGCAAGGAGAAGTAAAGTCTGGTCCGGAAGACTACCTACCTCCTTGTTAACCTCTTTCCGCAAGTATTCCATGCAAACATATTTCTCGCTCCTCCCTGCCATCTCTCCGAGCCTGCTTGCGTCTTCAAATTGGCCCCCGGGGGTTCGTGTCTATCGCTAGAGACAAAGGTCTTGATGTATCACAATAATACCTCGTCCGCAGCCTCTTCTAAGTTGGACCCCTAGCAAACCAGCGTTCAATATGAAGTTCGCCCGTCAATTCAGAGCCGAGTTGATCGAGCAAGGGTTCCCTCAGCACTGGGTGGAATCTGCAGTTCCGTACGGACAGCTAAAAAAAGTTATCAAGAAGGTTACTCTTGAACTGAAGGAACTTGGTTTGGACATCACGGCTTTCGCTCAACTGGCCCCCGAGTGTGGCCAAGAATCTCAGAATATCGGAGGCAGCGACCGTAGAGGCAGTGGCAGCGGCGCTGTGACTTTTCAGTATGATTTTGATGGTAGGTTCTACGATTATTGGCTGCGCTTGGCTAACTTGGACCCAAGGTGGCAAGAGAGAATTTCGTCCCAAACTCACCCTGTTCTTCGCAGATGACTTGGCTGTAGATGCTGCGTTATCACCTGACACGAGGTCCTTTTTGGAGAAACGATTGTTCAAGCAAGGAGGTCCTAAGGACTATGCGGAGAATACCAGCCAGGATCTTAATCAGGAAGGCTCAGAGCTTCCCCAGTTGCCCAATCAACTGTAAGCCTGGACCCCCTACCTTGTTTCGGTTTCTGGATGTTATTTGATCTCAGAAAACCTCAAATCCAAATCAACCATTCCTGAGGTTTTCTTTTTGGGGATGCTCTAGGTTCCCACTTCTCCCTGTTGCTGTGGGCGACTCTGTGGCTCCTCTCCCCGAGTAATGGCCAGCACCATTGAAGTCATGGTAACGAAGATGGCGTCGCCTTATGCTTTGGAGCCTCTCTAGATACATGTCTTTCTTGATTTCACTGGACCTCGTGTGGAACTAATTGATTTCGTAGTGATAGACCCATTTCTTCTGAGCAGAATATCCCGTCGAAGGATGGGCCAGTTCTCCGGAAAATAGAGATACCCCTTACCTTTGATGCTGAGTTTTTTGAGCTACTTCAAGAAGATGTCACAAATCTCGATAGCCTCCAAGCTGGGGAGCAAAGGGCCATGGCTGATGAGATCGTCGCGCTTTCGAATGAAATCACCCTTCTGACTAAACCCTCTAAGTTCAGCAAGACAGATATGTATCGATGGAGAGAATTATTCGACATCTATTTGCAGGCCGGGATATTCTTCTCGACGAATGAGCTTGATCATGGCAGTCGGGAAAGCACCACTGCCGCAAGACAGCTAGATTGGTTTCAAGGTGAAGTCAATCGACGAGGGCTTGTAACTGCTTTCAAGTTACCTGCTAGCCGCCAGGCGCTGGATCGATTCGTCAAGATCAATATCACCCTTCTACGAAACTTGAGGTTCCAAGAAATCAACCAAAAAGCGATCGGAAAGATCTTAAAGAGCGAGTACACCGCTCCTAATCTGGATCGTGTGCTGATATGTTTTTAGAATTCGATAAGAGGACGAACCTTGGAGCGACCAGAGCGTTCCCCAAACTCATCCAGTCCGACCCGATAATGTCAGAGACTATGGCGAAGGCCGTCTGCTCCCAGGTGACGCAAGATATCGTCGGGATCACACCGCAACTCGATGATTACTTATGCCCTATCTGTTTCACTATATCTTGGAGGCCTATACGGATGAAATGCCAGCATATCTTTTGCATTCGGTGTACGATAGTGATGCAGAGAGAGAGAAGGAGATTCTGCCCGCTTTGCCGCGGCAACGTTATTATGGGAGCTGATGAGGGTAGGGGCATCTTTTCGGTCTCGCAATGGCTCTTCTGTACACCCACTAACAGCTGCTCAGATAGCGTTGACGCAGACCTTGCAAGGTTCCTGAAGAAGTATTTCCCCAAGGAGACGAGGCAAAAGCAGATCGAGCTGGAAACGGCTGCGGGGATCGAGCAGTTTGGGATTTACTATAAGCACCCTTCGGAATCGAGGTGCACTGTGATGTAGCCATGTAGCATTGGCGAGTGTGCGAAAGGCATAACATGTTTATGATACCCCCTGTATTATACTTCTTACCTAGTAAACACCTGTGTTCAAGAGCAAGGTACCTGGGTTACCTAGTAATGAAGATGAGTCGTATCCGACAAACTGGAAACCGCATCACACACCTAGCAGTTACATGCGAACTATTTATGACACCAAAAGAAAAGGAGAGAGAAAAATAAAAGGCATCTGCTATCCGCCTCGCCTCAGGAGGGTGGTAGAGGGGGTCCTCGTCTTTTTATTATCTTTTTTGAGAAAAAGAAAAGGGGGGGGGGGGGGGTTTGGTAGCAACTGTCCACATATAACATCAACACAAGGAACCGCGCCAATTTATACAATTTTCATAATCTTTAGGGACTCTTATTTCTCGATATACTCATGATGGATAGGTACATTATTGTTGCACTGGGTAATGAGCCAGTTAGAAGCATCGAAATAAAATACAAGTTCGAGGCCTTGCACAGTACAGTCAAAAACGCCCCGCGATGTCTGCTGACAAAGCACGATAAGATAACTCGGTGATGTCTGTTGGCTAGGTACATAGCACACCTACTGTAGAATTATCAATGCGTTTATTATTCTTCACAGTCCCCCTCTCTAACAACACCGCCCACGAAGCCTTCCGCGTCTTGCTGCCTCCTAATCCTCTCCAATGACTTCCCAAGTTCCACCATCTTCATGACCGACCTCTCAAACATGGTCGACGGCAGGCGTCCGGTTCATCTGAATGCTCTTCCAGACGAAGTTCTGCAGCACATCCTTTTCTACCTTTCCCCGCGGGATACCCTCTTGAATGTGCAGCTGGTCTCCAAGCGATTTAACAGACTAGGCAGCGAGCCTCTGCTGTGGCGATACCACTGCAGAGTACAGTTCCAATACTGGGACTCGAAACATCGGATCAAGCATAAGTTTCTGGGCAATGTTGGGGACGTGGACTGGAAGACGCTCTACACGCATCGGAGAAAGGTCGATGCCCAGACCACTGAGATCCTCAACAGCATCCTAGAGGACCAAGTGAACCGCATCAAAAAATCCAACTTGATCGGCGAGTTCGGCTATGACGCGAAAGACACATTACTTCGACATTGCCACACCAGTGAGGCGGCAGAAGATGTACTTGCTAGGAGGTAAAAAGTTTCTACCTTTATCCCAGTTGAATACTGACTTGCTTTCAGATACTATGCTACAGCTGTGCTAGACCATGTGCATCGTTCAGAGGCCCTCGGGGAGTGGGCTAAACTTGCCAAGGGGGAATCTGTCCCACTCGAAAGAGCGCTGGGGTCGTTTGATTTGTTTGTCCTGCACGATCATTATGGAGACCTACTCGAGGTATGAACGCATATGTTGTCTTACCAGATCGTCTAAGCTGACGCTGGCCCAGATTTGTGATCTCTTCGACGAGCTGGTAAAGCGGCTCCGCATTGAACGCCCTGATCTGGATCAACTATCAACCCGAAAGAAGGCTATTGCAGTAGCTTCATTTTTGCGGACCCATAACCTGACTGGTCTCGACTCTGAACTGGCATATCGAGACCTACAAAACAACTATATTGGAATTGCTCTGCAGGATCGAGAACATCCATCGTTACCGTTGATATCCGTTGCTATCTTCTGCATCTTGGCGCGTAGACTTGGGCTCGATGCACGGTGCTGCGGAATGCCAAATCATGTTCACGCAATGATATTTCCAAATCCATTCGAAACTCTTGACGGCAGAGATCCGAACACAGGTGATCTTGGCCCTATGTACTTGGACCCTTACCGATCAGATCTGGAAGTGCCCACAGCCCATCTCCGAGAAACGCTAGCATCATGGGGCATCCGGTCTGTGGACTTTGCCCGATTTATAGCCGACTCTTCTACCGCCAGCCTCGTTCTTCGCACGTCCAGGAACATCTTAGCCACAGTCCATGAGTTCAGAGGACAGGGTGGAAATATGGAGAATACTGGCCATCCCACAATTCGACTTTACGCGAATCCATTTGCTGATATGGACAACGCTTTTTATTCGGCACTGTGGGCCAACTTTCTGTTAAGCAATCCAGTTTCAAGATCGGATCCGCATAACCAGCGACAGTTCATACCCTTAATATTAGAGAGGTTTGAACGTCTATACCCAATGGATGCTTCTCTAATAGAGCAATACATTTGCCCATTGTTTAATAATCCTTCTAATGCCGAGCATTGGGAACTCCATGAAGCTCTACGGGTCGTCCGGGCCGCAGACCAGTCTCCAAGGCAACTGAAGCCGCGTGACACGAGAGCAGCTCGAGAAAGGGTAAAGTACAAAGTTGGCCAGGTGTTCCGCCATAAGAGATATAACTACACAGCTGTTATAACGGGATGGGATATCGAGTGCGGCATGAACTCGGACTGGATAGCACATAATAACGTAGACTCGTTATCTAGAGGCAGATACCAAAGCTTCTATCACGCACTGTGAGTGGACCCCAGTGTCTTTGCAAGACGAAAGCTTACCGTCAGAACATACAGTGTGGAAGATACCAGCATTCGTTATGTAGCGGAGGAGAACATAGAGATTATCGAGCCAGAAGTACCAACCTCCTTGATGACTTTGGCCGGCCGGTTCTTCAAGCGGTGGGACAAGGAGGCTCGGGTTTTCGTTTCGAACATAAGAGATGAGTATCCCGAGGATTGAATTTGTTGTGCGAGATTATCACAGTATAGTGGACGCATAGAGAAACTACTGACAAGCGTGGGTGTGATTTCCATTGCGCTACTTTGAAAATGTATGATGGTGCTTTCAGCAGGGGGAGGCAAAATAGCCCATTGCCTCACCACCCCGTTGTCTCATTGCTTCATTTTCACGAATCTCATCGATAATTCTCTTCAGTACTCCCCTCTCGGCTAGTTTTTTAATCGAGTTGTAGATGATAGGGGTATAGTCGTGTTTTCGCCGCCTTGCCTGCTCATTCTCCTGCTCTATTAAGGCAGCCTCGTCCATATAGGACGTCTGTAGCCTGATCTGATCTCTTACATACTCTTGATACAGATCTATGAGTGCACTTGCATCGGTCCCGGCTTCCCGAAGTCTCTGTCGTGTGGCTTCCGACAGACCGGAGTTGTCGAAGAGCTCCTGTGATATTCCAAACGAACTGTCTGGCACTTTGACTAAAATGGACTCATCAAGCTCCGTAAACTGCTGCCAATCGGGTTGAATAGATGTGAGCAGTTCTTTGACCGATGCTATGGAATGCATGTTTTCGACAAGTTTCTCCAGATCGGTACGCAATGGGCTTTTGCAAAGGGACAGCAGACTAAACTGAACGCCGTCTTGTTGGGACTGATATATGTGCTGATTGATGTTGGCAAGAGCCACGGCCATCCAGTCCTCTCGATACTCTCCTATGCTTAATCAGTACAGTATTTTCATGATAAACCATGAGTTGGAGATTTACCTAGGTTGCCAGGTTGCCGCCGTAGGCCATCCAGTCTCCAGACTACACCATTGATAGGGACATATGCAATGAAATGATATCCTGGATCTTCTTCCTCTTTATTCTTCTTACTATTCTTGGTGTTTTTTCTCTTGCTATTCTTAGCCTTATTCCACTTTCCCATCTCATTAGATAGGGCCAGATCGGCATTGAGCATGTCCATTCTCCTATCAGAGAACCCAGTTAGCATCAGAATATCTTAAAACCGTAGCCAATTCGTACCGTGCGAACGAATTGTGTATATTTCGAATGAAGGCATCACAGCCAAGCTTCTTCCCTCGGTAGGGTGGTTTTAGTCTTCTGGTTTCCGCTTTGAATGTACTCAAGGCATCTCCGAGATTGATTTCAGGGATATTCATCACGATATTCAAGAGGGCTACGGTGGCACATGCATTCGTTATTGTCTGAATCTGGTCAGCATAGTCGTTGGTGGACAAGACTACGACAGACCTGATTTGCAAACCACACATGTTTAGGGCATTCGGGAGCTTCTTCTGTCCCTTCCTCCTCCTCCTCGTCTCGATATTTAAAGAGAAATATCAATCCATAGACCGGTTTACTTTAGAAAGGAAATTAGCTTAGCTCAAGACCCAATAGACCAGGGGAGGGAAATTACGGAAGCATGGCTAGTAGCGAGTCATCAAAGCCAAGAACCTCCTGAACCTTAACATCTTTCACACCGTATTCTCGTAATATGAAATTGAACAGAGCCTATGACCCTTGGATTAGTCTTTGACCGTATACATATAGGCGACCTGATTATCAGTAGACTAGGGCCAACCCCACCGGATCTGATTCCAACTCGACCCAACCTGCCCAATTTCGGCGTTCCTCATCTGTAAGGGGCCGCATCGCTTCAGATATTGGGTCCGGAGCAATGAAATCTGAGGCTTCATTTCTGCGCCGTAAGCCAGTCCTCTGGGCTGTAGTTGGGCCATGGTCCATGGCGTGAGACCCCGCCCTAGGCGAGCTTCTGGCAGATTTCGTCACGGGTGCAGTCTCAGAAGACTCGGTCGGCGGCGTGGTCTGGATGGATGGTTCTGGACCATTACTGCCAATACTAGATGAAGCTTGGATTCGGGAAGATCGCCTTCTTTCTCCAGAGCAGGCAGACACATCGGCCAGAGGCCCATCATCCATCTTAAGATGTTGATCTGATATATGATCTTCTCGGCAAGAATTATGGCTCCAACTTGTGAACTTTAGATCAAGCTTTCACCGTGCCGTCCCTGACAAAGCTCACATCAAGAGAACATGAGGGCTAAGAATGTCAAAGAGATGTAGCAAGCCAGGAAGGAGGCTTAAGAGGCAGAGATCGTAAGGAAGCGGCGAACTATCTCTGAGGCTTGTCAAAAGAACACAATGAACACACATTTGCATTAAGTCAAAAGAAATAAAATGAAGGAAAAGGAAAGGGAAAGAAGGTAACTACTATCGTCGAAAGCCAACAAGTATTTTACGGTCCTGAACAGAAAGAAATCAAAAGTGAGAAAGTGAAGGAGAGGAGAGGTGAATGAGAAGGGAGATGGTTGTCGGCTTGTTCGCTAATGGCCCAACGGAGTTAGATATTCATCACGTGGACCGTGGATTCTTTGATCCCAGAAGTTTTCGGAGTCGCGACGCGACTCACCAAGGCACCGAGAAGCATCAACACCAACAACCCCACAACCGCATTCGAATACTAACACCTCCGGCCCACACCCCGTTGTCACATACGTCCAACCGCCCCCAGATTATTCTCTCGGACCCCGAGGCCGGGTTGCTTGCGGGAGTATTGCACGGTTGCAGAGCGTCCAGTGGGACCTCGAGAGGAATCCAGAGCATGCCATGAACGGAACTCCTCGTCTGCGGTCGTCGTACCCGTCGACTCCAGGAAGTGGACAGAAGAGTCCGAAGCCTCGCGACAGTCCCCAGGATGTTCCGAGAACCAGATCATCTCTCCCCAGCCTGCCTCAGACCTCGCCATCATCAACTCTGTCAAATGCACCGCTGATACCAGTTGACCTCGTCGATAGTCCGACCCAGAGGTTCTACACCCTAGGCTTGTATGGTGGACTACTGGTATGGTGTATGTATGATTGGTGGCGCTTGGTAGAGGAGGACGCTCAATCCATTGGCTTGTTCATCAAATGGACTTGCATCTTTGCCATCTTCATGTATGGCGTTCCTCAATTGCGAATACCGTGGCTCGAATGGTCTATTCCAACTTCGAATCTTGCCTTTCTCCTTCATGCCACGTTGGTTGGCATGCTGATGTTTAGAATACCGGTGGGTTGATCGTCCAGTATGCGCCGGCTCCGCTGATTGTAACACAGCTCCCAATTGAAGGATGGCTGATCTTTCTCACCAAAACTGTCTTCGACAGGGAGATTTCGATTTCGGAGAATAGTGTCCGGCCGGCAAGTATTTTGCACAATGCTTCTCTCATAATGGGCAAGCAGATCATCAATATTCTGCCAGAGGGGTACGTCTGTATCATATCTTTTGTTGCCAAACAGTACTAACTGTTTCTCAGCTCTGCAACTATGAACCCAGACAATCTGCCATTCTGTATTGATAACAGGCATCCATCCGTCAATATCCCTCTCCGCTTCAATCAAACTTCCCCGATTCATATAGAGCTACTCAGATTCGACTTTGACACGAACACCAATGAGACCATCGTCCTTTCTAGTAAAGAGAGGAAGCGAAGGTATGAGGACAAAGAGCATACAATCGCCATGGTCTCATACACAGCCAAGAAACCAGGTCTTTACAGACTACACAAGGTTATTGATGAATCAAAGTTAGAGGTTCAACGAAGGATGTCAGATACCCTTGTGGTTAAATGCCCCCATGTGTCGGTCACGTCCACAGGTTCAGATAGGTGCCTTGGTGACCTCTCTGACCTAGTCATGGAGATAGAAGGAACGGCACCGTTGAAGATTGTCTATACTCGCACTGCGAACAGAGAGGAGAGCACCCACCACTTTCAGAGCATTCAGCCAGAAAACTTTGCGTCGCCACTTCTGGGCTCGACCCGTGCCACAACACTCGTTGACCCAGGTATGCAGAATTTCTCGTGGGCTCGGACTCAACGGATTAAGGTCCCGCTCAACGAATCTATGATTCCTAGCGGTCCGTGGACGTATTCCATTGACGAAATTCATGATGCAACCGGCAACGTGGCCAACTTCTCTGCGAGAGGAGAAGACGGAGAACATATTTATCCGAAAGGTCGTCACTTGGAGCAGGAGTTCATGGTTCATGAAAGACCCTTCGCTCAGTTGTCGGGCTGCGATATGCGCAACCCATTAATGGTGGCAAAGGGGAAGGCAGCGCATCTTCCTGTCAATTATCTGTACCCTGGAAATAATCCGGATCGATCTTATACTCTCACTTGGAAGTTCTCCCCACTGAATACCCTGACAGCGAGCGGAGACCACGGGGCAGATGTTTCTATCCAGCAATTTGTGGCCAAAACAGCTCACGATACTCCCACTATCCGCGAAGCAGGCCTGTACACTCTCACTGGCGTGAAAAGTAAACATTGTGAAGGAGAAATAAGGGAGCCGTCATCTTGTTTGCTGCTCAACCCTCCCGAGCCTCAACTTTCAATAAGCGCCGAGAACATTAACGACAAGTGTGCTGGAAATTCCATTGGGCTCCTGGTCGACTTGGACCTCATCGGAACTCCGCCATTCGTTGTGAGGTATAATATCCTGACGAAAGGTGGCACTTCTATGGAACAAATTAAGATCCCTGGTGTAAGACATCAACTTGAACTCAAACCCAGGAATGCTGGTCATTTCAAATATCAGTTCATCTCTGTAGATGACGCAGTCTACAAGGACTACGCACTGGAAGGCAAAGGGTTAGTCTTGGAACAGGATGTAAAACCCCCTGCGTCTGCCCAATTAAGACCTCCACCCGGTACTATCGATGCTTGCATTGAGGAACCAGTGGAGATGAATGTTGAACTATCAGGGGAGAAACCTTTCACACTAGAATATGAACTCGTTCATGACGGCAAAAGAAAGAGACAGAAGGTTTCTGGCATCGAAACGGATGTCTTCAAGATCAAAACGGACCCGTTGGTCAATGGCGGAGAATATTCTCTTGCACTTGCTAGCGTTCAAGACAAAACTGGCTGTAAGATCTTTCTAAATGATGAGGCCAAGTTTACTGTTCGGCATCAGAGACCAAAAGCCTCATTTGGCCATCTGGAGGGCAAGCATAAGACGACTGAGATCGAAGGCAGGCAGATCAATCTTCCTCTTCGCTTGACAGGTCGAGCACCCTGGACCATTAAATATCGTAATGCCAACGATTCTTCCGGCCAAATATTTGAGAAGAGGGCTAAGTCTACCAACGATGTTATCACGGTCAACCAACGGGGCATATACGAAATCTTAGATATTTCCGACGATCAATGCCCGGGGACAGTTGACCCGCTGGCTTCTACTTTTGAGGTGGATTGGCTCCCTAGGCCACAGATTAAACTTGCAGACACTGCGGTACTTATTCCGGATGGTGACAAGTACGTCAAACGTGAAGTATGTGAGGGTGACATTGATGCAGTCGGGGTCAATCTTATTGGTATGATGGCAATATCCGGGGATTTATTGAAAGCCGCTGACATTATTAATAGGGACATCACCTTACCATGTCAAATACCAGGTCCGTCATACGCCGGAGCGTGGCTCTGGTTCTCTCAGCAACAAGGAATTCGATGCCGCCCTTGGCCTAGCCACAATTGCTATGGACACCACTAAGCCGGGGACCTACGAATATAGATTCTCTGAATTGTCTGATGTTCTTTACGAGCATGATCCCAAAAAGTTCAAACCCCTGGTTCTCGAACAAACGGTCAACAAGAAACCGTCAGCCCACTTCATTAAACCAGGACAGTCTTATAGATATTGCAAAGACGAGCTGGCAGGCGACGAGGTGATCCCTATCAAGCTAGAAGGCGCTCCCCCCTTTTCTCTTGAACTCGACATCAAGCACCAGAGTAGCTCTCGTCCCGAGACTGTGAAGATCGCAAACATCGAGTCAAATCATTACGACTTTAGAATACCTCACCGTGTTCTCTCACTCGGCATTCATCATGTCAGTGTGCGCAAAGTCCGCGATTCCCGTGGATGTCAGCAAAAGACTGAGTATGGAGCACCTAATGTCCAAGTCCAAGTCTATGATGTCCCCACAATTTACCCTCTGGAAGCCCGGACCGACTACTGTGTAGGAGAACGGATTTCATATACGCTTTCTGGGACAGCACCCTTTGAAATTTACTACACTTTCGAGGGCGTGCAGAGGAAGGCCAAGGCCCCAAATACAAACTTCAGACGCATCGCCGAGAAGCCTGGCACCTTCACCATCACCGCAGTATCAGATAAAGCCAGTGAGTGCAAGGCCAAGACCGACATCACGAAGATAATCCACGAGATGCCTAGCGTCAAGATTAGTAAAGGAAAGCAGGTTGAAGTTGACATTCATGAAGGCGGAGAGGCGGAGATCTTGTTCGAGTTCTGGGGTACGCCGCCTTTCGAATTCACGTATACGAGGAGTACAAACGCAAAGAGAGGACAAAAATCGCATGTTCTGGAAACGAGACATGAGATATCCTATGAGTATAGCAAAACGATTCAGTCCTCCCAAGAGGGCACGTATGAGGTAGTGGCAATCAAGGACAAATTCTGTTCATTCTCCACCCACAAGGCAAGTGGCAAGAATGGTCAGAAGCTGCTTCAATTCTAGATACCGAAGGGGTCATTGGATCAATGTTTAATATCATAGCGTGGCGTTGGGCTCAGATTTTGCGGGTCTTCGTGTTCTCATAGGTCTGTAAATTGTACAAAAGAATATGTATGCAGTGAATTTCCACAACTCACTTGGTCAGCGTCAAAGCATCTGACCCGGCGGCCTCTTGACGCCCCCTTTCCAGCTCCCTGAAATACTCAACATCAAATCTAAACTTCCTCCCCTTGTTCCAATTCAAGCCCCAGTTTATTTGGCCTGCATCTACCTTCAACGCCCTCATGCCCTTCAGCCCATCCAAGACATCTCTTTTCTGCTCCCACGTGTACGTCTGGGGCGGTTCCTGCCAACTGATTTTCAGACTCTGAATGTCGGCCCCCGCCAACCATTTTCTTAATTTCTTGACGCCCTTCTTCACCTCCATGATTCTGGCGTCGGCCTCGATATCGCCTGGTTTATTGTTCCGCTTCTCGGAACCAAGGTGGATGGACAGATGGAGGTGTTTAATGGCGGATGTGAGGGCCGAGGAGAGGATCAGGTCTGAACGGCGAGTCTTGTGGACCCATACATTATAGTCGACGGTTATGTACACGGTCTGGGTGGGCGAGCCATAGATTAACGGGAGGGCCTCGTGGCGGATCTGGTGGTTCAGGAGGAGGAGGCTGGGAGGGAAGGACTGCGACAAGCAGATATTGGTCTGCAGTTGGCGGGGATGGGGACCACGGATTGGGCTGGGTGAAGGGGGAGCAAGAAGATGGCGATAGATCATCTCTCGGATCTCGAGTGGCAGGCGCAAGAACAACGGGAGATCTGCTGAACTCGAGGGATTGGGGGGAGGATTGGCGGGGGCCGAGGGGGAGGGATTGTCGGTCAATGGGTACGGGTTGAGAGCATATTCGCGGAGGGTCAGGAAGGCCTTGCGAAGGTCGTGTTTGCGCAGAGAATAGACGGCATCCTCGGGGAGCTCGAGGAGCCACGGGATGGGGAATGGATCATTTGGGGGGAAGGAGGCCGTCGCAGGGGACATGCAGAGCCGCTTGGCTGGCGGAGTGGCCGACTTCTGGCTCGACGAGCGCTTGAGATGATCTCCAGGAGCAGCCATCTGAGAGGGCAGCTTGACGCCTGGCACGGCACATTGCGGTAAAGAGTAAAGATGAGGATATATATTTGGAGGCGGGCGAGGAGGAGTGGTGGGGGGGCGCCTCGAAGGAGAGCGACGTCAAAAACGCTGGGTGAATTACGGGTAAGGTAAGTTTGCGTTACCAAACGTGAACCGGCAGATGTCGGGTATACGGGTAAAAATAGGCCCTAAATACAGAACCTTGGCGGCACTCTAAATATGTTTATAAGGGCCCCTAGTCTCCTCCTGTCCTAGCCTCCAAACTCTGTGCAGACTCCAGACTCCAGAGAGACAGTACTGAACATACTACTCCGGTACAGAGTGAACGCTGTACTGCCACAGACATCAGATCTCGAATGTCCTTGGCAGTGATGGCCAAATCGTCTACATGAATTATATAAGGGCTCTGGTACTATAATGTGACAGAATCCATAAGTTACTTAGGGGTAGATACATGCAAAGTACCTTGCTGCCTCTGACGTACCTAAGATAGCCACGTGAACGGGGTTTGACCGATGCGGCGTGCCTTAGTCAGCCTCATCATATACACACTACAGGTACGGACCAAAGTACTGTACACGCGCCACGCTTTGCTCTTATAATGTTCCATTATTGGCTGAATGCCGATTGGCTGGTCGCTACAGTGCACACAGAAACGCTCCATTCACACCATTAAATTTACGCCAGACGCCCCCCCGGTCCTGACGCGAACGCGAAACGCGAACTGAATGCGAACTCAACGCGGTCCGCGCAGACGCGTGACACCAGTACTCCGCGAAAGCTGAGAGCATACTCCACAACTACAAGCCATAACTCCATACATGGGTGGTCGTCTATTCAACATCCTTCGCCCTCTCTCAGCCCTGTTCCGCCGATGATCCGATTAGGCTTGGCTAAGGTAGGCATTGTCCACGTTCCACGTACCACGATATAAGGTACCTCGGGAGAAGTGAACAAAAAATAAAAAATATAAAAAGAGGAAAGAAAAGGAAATCCTCTATCGTTGAGTTCGTGTAGTGTAATCTCCGTAAATGAATATCAAGAATGGTACAAGTGCTGTGCCGACATGGCTTCATCCACAATCGTATCAAGAGATGAGATCACCACCGAGTTGCATACCGAGGCCCGTGTTCTTAGAACTGCTGGGATCACGCATGCTTGGACTCGAGTTTGGAGGTAGGAAGCTCTCAAACGCCAAATGTCTTCGAGTTATGGTTTGGGGCGTTCTGACCGTCGATGGGGTCTTGGCTCCTGGGGTCTTGGGCCATGCACGCTGGCCTGGACTGGGTGTGATGTTGACGAAGTCGGAGAAATCGAAGTTCTGAGAGGGGGTCTGCGGACCACCAAACACCGACAATAATCCTCCACCACCCCCTGGAGTCGTCATCATGGAAGACGGTAGAGCCAGACTTTTCGGCGGCGGCGTGGACGGGGGCTGCATGCGGGCCCTGGAAGCTGGGTTTGCGGGCGAGGGGGACGTCGCAAGGTACAGGAGGAGATCCGCGCCTTCTTCCCCAGACCTGCCATTCCTCTCCTTGCTATGGTGACTCAGGTGACCCCGGTTACGAACCGGTGGCGGCGTACGAGGAGGTGAGGATCGCAAATCGAATGAGTGTGCCGGAAGTGCATCGTCGTCGTCATCGGATGGGGCTGAGAAGTTGGTTGGGACGTTATCTTGAATGTGCGATCCTCGAAAGAATGGTAAATCGGGGCCGCTGGAGGTAGTGAAGTGCGGCTGCTTCCGAGGCTTAATGGGGGAGGATTGGGTCAGTTGACGACGGTCGGTCCAAGAGGTATGGCTCGAGCTGAGCCCTCGCACTGGTGGAGAGGAACGAAATCTCTTCCGGGAACTGGAGCTAGAGCGCAGGTGATCGAAGCCATTGTGGTATGTGCGCTTTCGGGGCCCGCTGCTGCTCACATCGCTCGAAAAGAATGCGGTGGCTTTGAGGGGAGAACTCAGGAGGGTGCGTGAAGGGTACTGGAACTCCGAGGCAGCGCTTGAGGAGGAAGAGTCTGATCGGGTGTCTCCGCTTGACAAGGGCCTTCGGAGCCTCAGCTCTTCCTCAACCCTGGGCTCAATGGTATCTAGGGGAAGGTCCTCCCAGCCTCGATTCGTTTTGAACTGGGCGAGGGCAAGTCGGTTTTGCAGCTTGCGGGCCATCTGAGCGCGGCATCATGGTCAGTACAGTGCTCGAGTGGTGTGGTTAGGGGAAGAGAGAAGGGGGGAGGAAGCCACCTTTCCCAATTCTGCTCTCTTTATGACCTTCTCAGCCACGGCGCCAGGCTCTGCCTTCCATGGCGAAGACATCTTTTGTTGGATTAAGAAGCAAGGTGGGCGAATCGGGATCGGGAGAGGGAGGAGAAGAGGTGGTGAATGTCAATTGAAGGACCCGACAGTGGAGAGACGAGAGCGGCCGATAGAGGTTGGCGGGGTGAGGGAAGGGAGGGGCGTATTTTTTCTCTGGAGTTTTTTGGAGTATCGGGGCTGAAAGTTGGAAAGGCCGGCGTCAAGAACAAAAAAGTGGTGCTGTAATTTAATAAGCTTGGGGCCTCGGTGGAGGAGACGAGAGGTAGGCGCGACAGCAGTGAATAAAGAAGGACGAGTGAGTGAATGAGCGAATGAATGAATGAATGAATGGACGAAGAAGAAAAATGATCGGGAAGGTAGAGCAATTCAGTCTGAATGATTGTTATAGGGAGCGAAGTAGGAGGGAGAGTGAATTGATACTGGTGGTGGTTGTGTCGGGCTGGTTGCGCGGTGGGCGAGGAGGTTGGCAGGAGGCCGTCTTGGGCGCTGATTCGCTGATTCGCTGCCCGATTCGCCGGTTGTGGTTGGTCGATGGCTTCTGTACAGCTATTGCACTGAGATTCATGTTATAGAATAATATGTATTCTAAAGGGACCTAAGCACAGTCCGACCTTTCAGGTAAGCTAAGGTAATGTAGGCGCTGCTCTACATGCCTACGACTATCTCCGTCCTCTTAGACGCCACGCCGTATATATCTTGTAGGTGCCTACCCAGGTCTAGTATATAGACTTGTCCCTCTACAGACAATGCCCTGGTAGCCCCTGCAGACCGCCCATAGTCCAGCGCACTATCGGTCGATCGGGTCTCTTGGAACTTGGAAGATCCTTTAGCCAAAGGAGAAGTCGTCGCAGGTCGATAGATAAGGTAAGGAAGGCAATCTAGTCAGGCTCGATCTACACTGTATACCTAGATGCGGTTAGGTCTGTGTATACGTCTATAAATATATCTTACTTACATATCTTCTCCGGATGTGGAGGTCTGATCTGTGACAATGCGGAGGTTGGCGTGTTGGTATATGTTCATCATGTTGATATGTTGACATTGATATGTTCACAGGTTGATATGTTCATTATGTTCATATGTTCGTTCTGCTCATAGGCTGATCGATCTGTTTGATAAGTCCTCTTCGTATCCAAGCCTCAGCCTGGATGCGCTGCCAATTGCGTGCAGGCACGGCAGAGTAATTCCTGATTCCTGATTCCTGATTTCGATTCCTGCTTTCCCCCCTCCTGGACATCATTACTGTACCTGGACATGGCCCTGTACACCTCTCTGCGCACTGTATATTGACCGACATCATCGCTTATCATGTGCAAACCTCCATCTCCATCTCCATTTCCATCTTCACTTCACCTTCATCCTCCCTCCTCTTCGCCCTCCTCTTCCCAGAAGAAAACGACATTGTGACCTTGGTACACACTTTATTCAATTGCCTCCTTCGCTGTCTTTTCTTGTCTCCTCTCCTCTCCCCTCCTCTTCCCCCTTCCCTTCCCTCGCCCCAATCAAACGCTCTAAACCTTCCCTACCTCACCTACCGCTGCTCTTCTTGTCCCCCTCCCCTCTCTCCATCCCCCAGATATATGCCCACATGAACCCTCAACAGCAGCAACAACAATCAACACAACCATGGCCCCCTCTTTCTTGAAGGACCTCCGCAGGCGATCCAAGGCAAGCTTCACGACCGACAAGAGCACGGATTCCAGCATTGGCGGGTCCAATGGCACCAATGGTTCTGCCCCGATGGCCGCCTCATCTTCCACCCTAAACTCGACATACGGCTCCACCACTCCACCCGCCGTCCCCATCTCCCGCTCGACCTCCAACCTCCCCCAGACCTCCAACGGCCCGCCCGCTCTTCCTACCAGCACTCGCCCAAACCTCTCGACCTCCTCGAGCAGTAGGTACAGTGTCTCGGGCATGTCGGGATTGGGCGCACCGTCGCAGAGTTCGTCTCTGCCCACTTCGCAATATGCCCCACGAGTATTATCCATCGCCGATAACACATGGGTAGGCAGCTAGCTTCACCCCCCCTACCGTCTCGGCATCACGGTGGCTGACTCTAGACAGGTCTACCAGAAGGTCCTCCTAATATATGGAACCATCGCAGACCCCGCAACTCAAGCCCTGGACGGGAATTTGACTGTGAGTCGACTTGACGATGGCTTCCCGCCGACTTACTGGCCTGTCTCCGAGTCGCATTTCAAGGCATTGGTGTACCTCACACCGGGCCCCAATCGACTACGCTTCGACTTTACGTCGCCGAAGCTTGCAAACAGCAATACTTCCAACCCGATCCACTCCTCCTACCTTACGATCCACATGCTGCCTCCCCTGACCGCGCCGCCTTTACAGTTGGTCATTCTCCTCGGCAAGGACTCACCGGGTACATTCGATGCTACCCCGGCACGGATTGAGAAGGAAGGGAACGGTCTTGAAACCGCCATCAGGAAGTTTAGGATGGCAGCATATCTCTGGCAAGCGTTTACCGCCGAGCAGATGTTCCGCAACAAGCTAGGCAGAAGGGTCTTTAGAATGGAGGAGGAGTGGGTGACCGGCACCTCGCACTATCGAGATCGTGAGATGGGAACCATGAGGAGTGAGGCCAAGATCCATATCGTTCGAAGCTCGAAAACGGTTGCCGAGCTTCGCGATCTCGATCTGGCGCAGCAGAATCCCCAGGCAAAGAGGAAAGGAGACCTCTTCGGGATCGCCTCGGAAGCCGTAAAGGATTACTTCAAACCTCAACCCGGTCAAAAGCAATACGTGTCAGTCTTGCTGCTAGACGCTCACTGGGATAGGGCAGCAAAGACCATTACAGGTCACGCAGCCCTGGGCGGTGGCGGGGGGGAGATACAACTCGCTATATTTGGCTCTCATGCTCTACATAGCTACCCCTCCAGCTTTGAAGAGGTCGTCCCGGCTTTCTCTGACTGCACCCCGACCGACACGGACTACGTTGCGAATGACTGCAACGAGTCTGGGAGCAGCTGGGAAGCTGCTAACATTGGCATTGGAGCGCACTTGCATGAGACGGGACACCTATTTGGCTGCCCTCATCAAGAGAATGGGATCATGCTTCGTGATTACGTTACCCTCAATCGATCTTTTACCACCCGAGAACCCTACTCGACGAGGACCAAATCCAAGGGGGGGTTGGTTCTACGGAAGGACGAATGTACATGGCACCGACTAGACTGCCTTCGCTTTAGAGGCCATCCCTGCTTTGCCCTGCCTACCGACCCTCCGCGGCATGCTGATGATTCGGTTCATGTGTGGCCCGTGGACAATGGAAATGTCATTGTCACTGCTGCTTCGGGCGTTGCCTATTTGGAAATATTTACTCAAGGCGACGATCTGTGCCATACCTGGCAAGAGTTTGGTGACGGGAATGGTAATGGCCCGATCCAAAAACAGATCATACTTACGGAGCCAGAACTACGAAATCGGCTACCTGAAGACCGAAGGAAATCAAAAATGAAGCTTTCCATAAAGTCCTGCGCGGGTGGTAGCCACGAGGTGGAAGACTTTAGCCTTCTCACGTCTAAGGTCTCGAGACTTAAGCTTCCAAATGGCCAGCTGGCTTTCAGGAGCAGCAAATTGGGTCTCTCGCAGATGGAAGGCTCCCGGCCAGAGGAGATGATTTTCAACAGCGCGATACAGCAAACGAAGCTACTTACACAGGTTCGAGTATATCACGGATTTGCACTGGATGGAATTGAACTCGTGTACGAGGATTCTACATCCCAACTGTTTGGGAAGAGAGGGGGAAAGGAAGGAGGCAGCGAGTTCAACCTAGGTGAGTTTTACGGCAGTTTTGGTGCATCGACGCTACCCGTGCTTATAATTTCCAGATACCCGGAGAGGAGAATACATCACGGGTTTCTATGTCAGAAGCGGATTTTGGGTGGATGGCATAGCCATCATGACCAGCCTTGGTAGGAAGTCACCCGTTTTTGGGAACGCAAATGGTGGTTCTGGGTTAGTCAAAGATTTCCTCCCAGCCGGCGGTAATTCGAACCCTAGCTGACCGCCTATAGGCATACTCTGATACCCCCGAGAGGATACTGCATTGCAGGAGTTACTGGATCGTGCGCGAGCTGGATAGATGGCTTTGGGATTATCATCACTCGCTGAAGGAGGCGTCATGCTGGGAGCAAGGCATCCAATCCCCACCCAAGGCAAATGACACAAGATGCCGCGCATCTCAGCTGGTAATAGGACTGACTGTATGGGCATATAATGGGAAATTGGGGCTCTCCCATGCACAGAGCATATGGGAAGTTGCAACTCTGCAGAGACGTGCCGTGGGTGAATGTCCCCCAGGTCGCCAGTTGCGGCCCCCGTGTAGATCAACCGAGCACTTTGTACATAATAGGTAGGCCTTTGCCGGGTCAGGATTGTTGTTGTTAGATGCAGAAGATATGATGCAGGTCCAGGTTCCCGTTATTAGAGGCGTTAGATAAGAGAGTCAGGCCCGGCCAGGGCAATGGAAGAACATTATGCCAGCACTACACACGTACGCGGTCAGCGCGGATCTGGCGCTTGCGTTGGCCAATGATCGTCAACCAATAGCCGTGGTTTGCTGCGCCTCGCCTCAACGGACGTCATTGACAGTGGCTGGTGCAGCCGCCCTGAAAAACCACGGCTGGCCAAGAGATCTTGCGCGACGTCGTCTCCTCTCCGGAACACAACATAGCATAGCAACAAGACCATTTCTGCCAAGTCTGTTACGCGTCTGCTTCTGCCGGCCGCAAAATCTGCCAAGATGTCAAAAAGGTCCAGTACCAACGCCGTCAATGGCTCCGTGAAGGATTCAACAGTCGGTGAGCCAGGTACGTTGCTCTTCTGAGAGCGCTGCTGCTGCCGATGCCGCTGGTTGCCCACTGCTGACTTTTTATTATGTGTAGCTGTCGAGAAGCAGAAGAAATTACTGCGGGAGAACACGGGGCATTTCTCTATGATCAAGATGCTTCATCTTGCTGATCTCATTACGGCGCTCAATGGTATGGCTATGTTACTAAGCTCTCCTCTCTCTCCCTCTCTCTCTTTCTCCCCCTCTCCTTTCAGAGATCTGGACTGACGTGCCATCTATCGTAGGCTTCTGTGGGGTCATGTCTATATTTTCCTCGATGCGGTACTGTCTTGGACCTCCCTCGGCATACGGGAACCTCTGGGCTGCCCTGGCATTCATGCCCTTCGGGCTGTTTTTTGATTTCATGGATGGCAAGGTTGCGCGGTGGAGGAAGAAGAGTAGTCTTATGGGGCAGGAGCTTGATTCATTGGCCGACTTGGTATGGCACAACTGAAGAAGGAAAATTTCTCTACGAGATCCGGCAATGCTGACTCCGATCCAGGTATCCTTCGGCGTATCCCCCGCCGCTGCCGCCTTCGCAGTCGGCCTCCGCACCCCCGTAGACCACCTGCTCCTCTCATTCTTCGTCCTCTGCGGCCTGACCCGGCTCGCACGCTTCAACATCACCGTAGCCAACGTGCCGAAGGACGCTTCGGGGAAGAGCCAGTACTTCGAGGGCACGCCGATCCCCACGTCGTTATCGATCGCGGCCCTGATGGCGTATTGGGTAAAGAAGGGCTGGATCTTGGATAACTTGCCGTTGGGCGTCTGGGCCCAGGGGACCATGTTCGAATTCCACCCTGTCGTGGGACTCTTCGTGCTGAGTGGGGTGCTGATGACGAGCAAGACTATACATATCCCCAAGCCGTGAGGTGTGGATATGTGGTGGTGGAGGAGTGAGGGTGTAAGCAAAAGCAAAACTGGATTGGCAAGGGGAGGTGATATGGGTTGGCACATAAGATATGATTGTGATTATGACTACGATATGATACCTTCCAGTCGATGACTTGGTGCATAGGCGGCACCAACATAAAAGCATATATTTCTCTTCTCATAATCCCTTGAGCCTATATATGCCGTGACCTCGGAATATTTCCATCCTCGCCCTGAAGAGCTATCAATACCGTTCGTTCATGGACCATTTGACATTCCCCTGTCTTTCAATGCGTGAGTCCGGAATCGATTTATGCTTTTTTCCGGGTATCTATTGGAAGGAGTAACGCTTCCGTGCCTAGAACTTCTGGAGCTTAGTTAATCAATATCATCAATATTGCAATATTTAACACGAACGATTCAGCTGGTCGGGGGCGGATTGTCATCATGGAATTGACCATCCGTACCTATTTTACTGTTTGGGGGTTCTGTATGTTTGGTAGGTAGGTAGGTAAGTAATGAGTCGGAAAATGGGGCTGTCTATCCGTGGAAGAGGATGCCCACCCTCATCTACTCATACCCATATCCATAATACATCTTTATTGCGGAGAACGGTTTGTGTCACATTTAACAGGCTCGAAGATAGTGAAAATATCGCATTCGACGAGTCGTACAAAGGTATATATATATACAGCCAGCCAGTCGCTTGTCCCATCCGTCCAAACCTATATCCATAAAAACGCCCATTCAAGAACCGCCCCTAGGAAACTCCCCTGGAACATGTAACTGGCTAATAGTCTGCGCAGATCCATTACTCTGTCCTTTATCCAACGCCGGCCGGGCCTCATCTTCTGCTATAGGTTTTGGCACGCTTTGCGTTTGGTATCCGATGATAGTTGGCTTTGGGTGGGCTTCGCTTTCAACATCTTTATCGAGTAAGCTGAGATCACCGATGCTACGACCTCCAGACATCAATTTTGAGTCCGAAGTAGCGGGTGGAGATGTAAGCGTGTCATCCGCGGTAATTACTGTGGCCTCAAGAGCAGCTTGTCGCTCCTGCTGGGCACTGGTGAGAGCAGCAATAGATGAAGACCCAGGTGCAGCTTGGCCTCCTTCTTGTTGGCTGGGACTTCCTAGGTTGTTGAGATTGCTTTGTTTGTTGTAAGCTTTCAATCCTGCGGCCCCTCCAGCAGTACCCAGACCTGCAGTAGCCTCCCCAGTATATGGATTGATCCCATCCTCCTTCGTATACTGATCAACCAAGGCAGCATGAGTGGGCGACATATCTTCGCCGTAATGTGAACCCACGCCGCTGCCAGGTATAGCACCAGCGGCAGCGATCAAGTCAGGATCTTTGACTTCTCCAAAACCGGAACTTCCACTAGAGGGCGAGAGAGGAGCCTGTAAGCCACGAGCTACGTCGACCTTGAGGTCAGATGGAAATCGCCCACCTGGTTCGGGGCGTCTTGGCAATACGCCCTTATTCGATCCCTGGGCCACGATAGATGAAGCTGCAGCAGAGAACGGCTCCTCATCCTCTTCGTCCATGATTCCGTCGCTACTGATAGAGCTGGGTTTGTGCGACGTTCCACTGGCGACGCGAACATGTTGGCGTACGAACGCGCTGCGCTCTTGTGGCGTCTTCTCTGTCAAAGCCTCAATGTCTGAAACCCACGCCTGCATCGTGTCCCATGATTCTGCCCTGAATACCCACGAATGTCCCCGGTGGAGTGCTCCGGTTTGGCGCCCCTTAAGCATGAACTTATTGGAAGATGAGCCTTCGGGGGAATGCGAACCTAGCTTCTGCTCGGGTAGATAAAGAGACATAATAGGAGCTTGCGTCTTATCCGCAGACTTGAACTCATGTAAATGAGTCGGAGAAAGTACATACCTGAAGTTGGTTAGCGGAAAATACACAAACAAACCTCCAAGCTATGTGCACAGAAGGGTTGAGTTCTTTGGAAAGATTTTACTTACCAACCAGCAGTGTAGCTCTTGAGATACTTGCTCTTCCGTTCCAATAGTCCAGCCCTGACTTCTTGGGCCCTGTTGATATTAGCAATGAACACGTTGAGAGTCGTGTGGGTAAAGGGATGGGTTGGGGATAATACAATTCATTGTCACGACCAGGATATGCTATATTCTGCGCCCGCCTTATTGGTATCTTGGGATCAATGAAATGTTCGTCTTTTTCCACGAACGCATTCCATTCGAAATCTTTTGGCATCGCAATTGGTCCAGCACGTAGCTCCTCAACGGCCGCGTATGCTGTATCAGCCTCGCGCTTGAGGATACCAGCATAGGCGTTGTAAGACTTCTGAATTTCGCCAACTACGATAGCTTCCAACTCTCGGCCGGATGCTTCGAGATTGAGATAAGCCTAACCTCGTGAGCCGATGCGTTCAAGGGCACGGATCAAGTACTCACCTGGTGCAGATAATTCTCTTCGTCAAGTTGCTTTTCGACTTGACGATCAACAGCCAACTTCAGCAGATATGGATCCTGCTTTCCGGTCATCTGGGAAGGATCGATATCGGAGTGGCCCAAAGCGTCCTGGAGATGGTCTACAGCCTTCCGTGTGCTTTCCATCTCCTTGTCCAGGGAACTCTTGAAATCTCCCGACAGATTTTTTATCTCCTTTATCTTCTGGCTTAAATCGCTGCGCAATCCGACCAAAGCTAGGATAACGTCATTCTCGATGTCTCGAGACTTGTTGGATTCGGCGATAGCAAGTTTGTGGTGGTTCTGTAATATTTGGACGGCGTTGTCGATAACACCACCAGTCAGGAAGACTGGCGGCATGGTGGTGTTGTTAAGGACGTTAGAAATCTTCGCAAGATTCTTAGCTTTGTGGTCACTGTATGCTTGCATTTCTCTGAAATATGCAATGAGATCCTTCAGGACTTTTCGCCAAGCTAGAGTTGAGATGATGGATTAGCCGTATGAAAGTGAGGTATGACATGCTATGCACACAGTGCGTACCTTGAAATCTATTTGCTAGAATTTCCGTAGGGTTACCGCTGGTAGGAACAGGTGAGTAGAATGCACTTTGCATCTCATCGATATCGCCAGTCGGTTGCAAGGCCAGGCTGCGAACACTGCCAGCTCTCGAGCTACGTCGACTAGCACTTCTTCGGAGACTGGGCCCTCTTCTGACGGATGTCTTTTTCTTGAGAGTACCTGCTCGCGACGGGAGAAGGGTGTCGCCCTGCGACATCACAGAATTAGAGCGCTGTGGGCCATCTACGATCGAGCTGCCTCGCTGACTGGCGTCCCACTCCTCATTAAACCTCCCCAAGCCCGGTTGCACGACCGACTGTGACAACGGCGACAACTCTGACGGATTGCCGCTTGGTGCTGAGCCAAAGTCTGTGGCAGCACTACTTGTGATTGTGGGCTGGGGGTGCGGGCCGCTGCTTGCGCCGTACCCCCTTTCGACATAGGGTTGCGCAGGAGGAACGGCTGGTGTCGCATTGAGCGCAGACATGATGGGCGGCTGGCGTAGCAGAGGGGTCTTGGTAGGTACCTCCTCTAGCACAGCGCAGCGCAGTATGGTATCGCGCCGGGACTAAAGCTCTGTCGCGATGTCATTAGAGAGTTGCCTGATGAAGAGCGGAGAGGAAGAGAAGAAAGGGGAGAGGATGCGTGCGAGGAGGGGAGCAAGGCTCACGGTGATGGATCGTATTCTAAGGTATGTATGGTGTAGCGCTGAGAAGTGAAGTGGACGAGCGAAAGACGAAGGATGCCCACGAGGAGATGTCGGAGATACAGCGCAGGGCAGAGCAGAGGTTTGAACAACAAGAGATAGTAGGGGCAAAGTAAAAGAACGCTGTTTGTTATGTAGAGGGAGGAGAGGATGAGGATGGCGGAGTCAGTTGTGGACTGGGGGAAATAACAAGAGCGAGAGTATAGGTAATATAAGTGATATATATATATGATATATATATATGTTTATATGAGGATATGCGGGATGAAGTCCAACACAGACAGGTTCTTGGTCTGGAGGTGCGCGGCGGGGGCACGGACCATGTCGATGACGCAGGAGACAAGCCACCAAGGGACGGATACCCGACCCCTATACCCGAGAGACGAGACGGGATACCCGAGAGTGAGAAGTGTGAGAGAGAGTGAGAGACAACACCACACAACAAGTCGCTCTCGAGTCTCTATTCACATAACTCATACCTCTCACGAGGCCAAGGGAAGCTCAAGGGAGGAGACGCGATGCCATCCCAGACAGTCAAAAACAATTAAACAGTCAAAACAGCCAGACATCAGACTCTCAAGACTCTCCACCACCCCTTCTAGCCCCAATTCTAGACAGCTCTCTTTGGCTATCTTACTCCCTATGTGTCTAGCTCACCTAGTGTCATGCTTTCTTTCGTGCCTAAGGTATGCTAAAAGCCTCCCTAATCTAGATGATATTGTGCATACCTTACTTACATTACCCCTATGACATAAGTATATATACAATGCTGCAAGGTATCCATACCTCTACTTGTATCAAGTAGGCTCACATTACGCATGTACCGGTACATTTCCTTGGTCTTGGTATACTTTATTCCCCCACCTATCTGCACATAGAGACCCCTCTTATCCTCCCTTTTCTCCTTCCTCCCTGAAGTGCTCAGCCGCTTCGACTGACTCGAGCTGTCGATTGGCTCGTCGCGCCAGGCAGAATCGGGAGATCAGCGCCCAAGCAAAGCTCACCCGGCGATTGTAGCAGGGTTTACACATGATCGTCATCTAAACGGTTTCCTTTGGATCGTTGTTGGCAGTTGCTGTATCTAACTACCTAATGCTAGTGTAGCTACTGTACTGTACTCTGTTGTATCTACCTCGGCTTCCATATAGCATAACTGTCGTGCCTTGCAATTCACATCAATGATCACACCCTCCTGGTACCTCTCCAGACTTTTGTAGAACATAACATCGTCTATCCCCATAACGCCCAACTACGGGAATCGCGCCTTGACGCATCTCATCAGTTCTTCTCCTTCACCACCTTCGCGTCGCCAGGGAACGGGTTGTCTGATCTCCGTTCGTCCCGGAGGGCCACGAGCTTCTCGATAGCCTCTTGCAAGGGTACAGGCTTGCCCCGATCTTGAGTGGACGTATCATCTCGGTTACGAACATTAACTTCACGTCCCTTCATCTCCTGGTCACCAACCACTGTTCGCAAGGTTAGCTCGATTCTCTGCGGCAAATAGACCTAACTTACCGAAAATGAAGTTGTATTGTGCCAACTGCCCTGTACGGATCTTCTTTTGCAAGGTATTTCCACTAAGATCGACATCCACGTACATCTGCTGGGCCCTGAAGATTTGCTGGACTTCCTCGGCATATTTATAATATCCCACGCCAACGGGAATCACAAGAATTTGTCGAGGGCTTAGCCAGAAAGGCCATTTGCCGGCGAAGTGCTCAATCAGGATTCCAGTGAATCGCTCCACACTACCTGCAATGGCCCGATGGATCATGACAGGTCTTGCGCAACCGGGGGTCAATGGTTTGATGACCCTCTCCTTCTTCGCTGGTGCTCCATCAGCAGGAGCAACTTCTGCTTTCTTCTTTGGCTCTTCTGGCTTCGCCTTTGCCGCTTCATCGGCTTCCTCCTTCGTCTTGGCGGCAGTCTCAGATGTCATATATTCGAGACCGAAGTTCTGAGGTAGTTGGAAGTCGAGTTGAATAGTAGCACATTGCCAATCTCGTTTTAAGACGTCACTGATGGTGATGTCGATTTTAGGTCCATAGAATGCACCATCACCCTCGTTCAGTTCCCAGGGCGTTCCTCCAGGAAGCTTAGAAAAGTCATCCAACGCAGAGCGGAGCTTGTCTTCTGCCATATCCCAGACCTCCCGCGCTCCCATATATTTCTCTGGTCTAGTAGAAAGCTTCATCTTGAAAGTGAAGCCTAGTAGGCCGTACACAGAACGAAGGAAATCGAAAAGATCCATAATCTCATCCTTGATTTGGTCCTCTCGACAGAATATATGGGCATCATCTTGCTGGAATCTCCGCACTCGTGTCAATCCAGACAAGGCACCCGAAGCTTCATTGCGATGAAGAACACCGAAATCCGCAACTCGCCATGGTAATTCTCGGTGACTTCGTTCCCGATGAGCAAACATCAGACAGTGTCCAGGGCAGTTCATAGGTTTCAAAGCAAACGTATCTTTCTCAACACCAAACGTAAACATATCATCCTTGTAGTAATCCCAGTGACCCGAGATCTTCCATAACTCGGAATTGTACATGTTTGGCGAGATGACCTCATTGTAACCGCGCTTCCAGTACTGCTCCTTCAAGAAGGATATGATGGTGTTGTAAATCCGAGTGCCGTGAGGCAACCACATTGCTGATCCGGGAGAAAGCTCATGGAAGAAGAACAGCTCCTGGTCCCTTCCAATTTTTCGGTGATCCCGCTTCGCAGCTTCCTCCAAAAATTTCTTGTGCTCAGCCATTTGCTTCTTGTCTGGGAACGAAACACCATAGATACGCTGGAGAGAATCGTTGTCCTTATTACCCAAGAAATACGAAGCCGAGTTTTTCATGATTGCGAAAGTTTCGATTCGGCCAGTATTTGGGACGTGAGGGCCACGGCACAAATCGATGAGGGGACCATTACGGTAGACCGTGGTGAACTCGCCATCCTTGATCTTGTCTTTGATGATGTGTTGTTTGTATTTGTTGTCCTTGAACATCTCAAGAAGATCTTCCTTCGAAAGGACAAGTCGTTCGAAAGGCTGCTTCTCCTTGACAATTTGGCTGACGAGTGTCTCCAGAGGTTTCCAATCTGACTGCTGTACCGCCGCACCACCTGGAAGGCCCATCTCGTAATAAAAGCCAGACTCGATCGGCGGGCCAATACACAAGCTGCAGCCAAATCGTCTCTCGGAGGCTTCGCCCAGGATGTGTGCACTCGAATGCCAGAACACTTTCTTGCCCAGCTCATCGTCAAACGAAAGCAATTCCAGCTTGCAGCTTGCTTCCAGCGGTCTCTCCAAGTCCCATAACTGTTCGGGATCCCCATTCAATTTCGCGACGACCGTACGTTTGAATAAACTGTTCGAGATGCCCTTGGCGATGTCTGCGGGGGTGGTTTCCCACGAGGTGCCTTGTTTGATGCTGCCATCTGCGAGGGTAATGGTAATTGGTTCTCGAGGTTTGGCAGCAATTTCTGCATCGCGCTTTGCCTTCAACTTGTTAAAGATCTCGATGCGGTGGGCAATAAATTCAGGTTGTGGCTGCAGTTCCAAAGGTCCTTCGTCTGCCCCACCATCCCCTCCCTTCTTCTCCTTCTTCACCTTTGGCTTCTTTTCGCCAATAACGACCTTCTTCACGCCATCGGCAACAGAATCAACGGCCTTTTGTGCGGCCTCCATGACTGATATTGGGATGTTGTCGTCGTGCTCTCTGGAAAGGTGGATTGGGCGGGGGTGTGTTTGATAGTGCTGGAGTCTCGACTCTGGAGTCAAAATTCGCGGTGAGTCAAGTCAGACGCGCAAAAGCGGCAAGGCAAGGCTAGCGAATTGGAACCGCCAAAAAATGTTAGCCGCGAATTTTCTCAAGAGCTGCTCGATTTTCTCAAAATTCAAGAAAATCACCAACACCGAGCAACAATGTCGTTCCGAGGCGCACCAAGAGGCCGCGGCACTGGCGCAAACTTTGGAGGAGGTGGAGGTCGAGGAGGTGGATTTGGAGGCCGAGGAGGTGGGCTTTTCCTGCAAAAATTATCTATACTTGCTGTGCGGCAATACTGACTGAAGGGCTAGGCCGTGGTGGTTTTCAGCAAAGAGACAATGGACCTCCAGCAGATGTACTTGGTCAGTTTTGATTCAGTCCTCGGTCTTACGATCAAGTTGCTAACTCCTCCACCTAGAAATGGGAACTTTCCTCCATGCCTGCGAAGGAGAAATCATCTGCGAATCCATCAACACCAAAATCCCGTACTTCAATGCGCCCATCTATCTGCAAAACAAGGTACGAAAAGCTCTGTGTAATTACTCTACTACTCCAGGAATTTACTCATGTCATTTAGACACCAATTGGCAAAGTTGACGAGATCCTGGGCCCTATCAACCAAGTCTACTTCAGTGTCAAACCGAGTGAGGGCATCCAAGCAACGTCTTTCAAAGCTGGCGACAAGTTCTACATTGGCGGCGACAAACTTCTTCCCCTAGAAAAGTTCCTTCCTAAGCCTAAGCCTCCCCCAGGAGCCCCGAAGCCAAAGCGAGCTGGTGGTGCGAGAGGCGGTAGAGGCGGGCCCATGCGCGGAGGCAGAGGAGGTGGAAGAGGCGCACCGAGAGGAAGAGGCGGCGCCGGAAGAGGTGGCGGCCGAGGAGGTGGGGGTTTCTCCAGGGGTGGAAGTGGCTTCACTCCCAGAGGCAGAGGAGGTGCCAGAGGAGGGTTTACTCGGGGGCGCTGATAGTCGACGTACTGATACATCTTGGACCCCATCTTGGATTTCTGGCGTTTTCGGCTCTGTTTGTATGGTGTTCTAGCTACCAGGGGTGGCTATCAGTATTGCAACCAAAAGAGTATTGTTTCCAGTCGCCATTGTTGCCGCTCCTCACCTTGCTATTATCTTCAGACTGGTCACGGTGTTTAGGCAGCTCCACGACCTGGAGTCTCCCCTATACCGTGAGATGTGGTTGACTACGAGGATAATATGGATATACGGGCTTTGGGGGTAGTGCAGGTATCCTGCAAAGACTCCACCTCTCCTTCCAACCCTTCTTTGATGACTTTCAACCCTAGGCTGAGGCGTTGGCGCAATGACCCCCTTCCCATGCGAGGCCCATGAAGAGCAGGAATTCTTTGAAAGACTATGGCTGCCCCTAGGCATTGATATGTGTATAATTACGTGTACATTGAAGGTAGACCTCATTATCACTATGTCACAAAGGGGTGATGTGTGTTCAGCATAATCACAAACCGGCAAACCCACCGCATGTCCAAGTTGACAGTTTCAAACTTGTGAAGTCTTTTAGTGTGCTAAAAAGTGTCTTGCGATGGTGGGCGGAGGTATTATAACTAGTCACGGTCGCTGTTGGGTCAAGCACCAGGTAATAATATACTTGATTTCTTGGTCCTAGCCCAGACAAAACACCAGATATGCAATATCAAGGCACGAGAACTCCACCGTAGCTCCTTTGCCAATAAACGCCTTCGCTTCCAGTAAATGCAACAGACTCCAATGCCAACATCCTATCATTGCGTTTCTCTGCCCTCGAGATTTGTCTGAGGGTCTATGGCCTTTAACCTCGTCCTCCGTCTTGGGGGAGGAGTTTTAGGGGGTAACTTCTTTCCGCCTTGCTTCGCGCCGTTGACTGAATGCGTAGGTGGTGGTGGTGGGGGCGGGGCTTGTCGTGTTCTTCCTGCCGCTGGTGCTCCTTTCCCCACGTTCACCTCTGTCTTCCTATCGTTCTCATCATGTAAAGAATCATCGAATTCAAACTTCCTACTCGGAGTCTGGACGCCCGGCTTCTCCATCACCGCCGCTACATCGACAACACTCGTCATACTCGCAGTTTGGGACTGGGAGAGTGATATCCCCAGTAACTTGCGCGCCACCTCTCCCTCGCTGATATCATCGTCCCGCAACCAGGGAACCTTGGATACACGATCCACAAGTCGAATTGTCGTTTCGTCGGCAGGTTCCCAATGCCCAGTTCCGGATCCGCCAAGGATGCTGAGAACCTTGATTATTTCATCACGCTTGTAATGAGGTGCTTGGTTTAGTTGTGTGTGTGCGAGCAACGGATAGAGTACTCGAAGGTAAGTGTGTCGCAGGGAGATGAACTCGTTCGGGAGGTCGAGCAGATTGCGTATTATAACATCGAGAAGAACTCGCAGGTCGTTCGTGTAAAAGTATTCGTGTGTTGCCTTTGTAGTGAAGATCAGGTAGAGGAGTTTGAGAATGAGGAGTTGGAGGGAGGTCTCGGTTTCACGATTCAGTAGTAGGATGATGTTTTCCCCAAATGTCATGTAACTTGATCCGTGAAGGGAGAGCAGTTTGATGACGCGGTTTGTGAGAGGTCGTGCTGGCGGATCGCTTTCAATTGAGGCCGTGGATGCCACCATGTATTGTTCATTGAGAACTAGCTATGGACGCTTTAGTTAATAGAACGGGGTGCCATTGGGGAAGTTATACCCACCAAAACACGGATGACTGGATAGTGATATGGATCATCAACATCGTCGGATAGTTCTTCAATGATCTGAAAGAGATAGGTGACCAATTCGTCATCCACATGGGCCAAATCTTCAACACTTAGACGCTGCATTCTTGACATTTCATAGAGCAGCTCCAGGAGGAGTCTGTGCAATCGAGCATCGCCTTGCTTCCCTTGTTTGATCAACTCCAGCAGCCTAGGAAAACACCCCTCACGGTTCATCATCTCGAAAGTTGCTTCATTATGTCGGCCATCGAGAAGGAGGAAACTGGCTATAAGATGTAGTGCTGCCGGTTCGTCCTCCTGCAGCAGACTATAGACGATCTGAATCCTCACATAATCCTTGTTGGCCTCGAAAAGCTCGCTCAGCAGGAGCTTTTGGGAGCAACGGGCGATATCGTACTCGGTATTGAGGTATTCGTCTTTGAAGTTCGTGGTGAAATGGAGATAGGATCGCAAGGCGTTGTCGATCAAATGATGGGACGAACAGTTGGCCGAGACAATATCTTCCAGCTCTCTCCAGAACTGCGATTCATCTTCCAAGGAATAGGAGATTTCAAAATCTTCCATTATTGTTGCGAGGAATTGCTGGCTGTTCGCGAAGTTGGGCTCATGCTGCACAGGTACTGATTAGCGGTTCCCTCAATCAGCCCGCTCTATAATATGTCGTCGGTCCAGGGCTACCGCACGCTTATTACTTATCTACTATCACTTGGTTTCGCGAACACAGAACCACATAATCTTTTTTAGAAGCTGTTTGTTTGCACTCGAACTATTGTAAGAATTATCATGAAAGTGTAATCATATCTGGGTACACCCAGTGCCGTTTATACTGTACATAGGCCCTTGTCTCTTTTAAGGTAACCAAAGTGTTGAGCTACCGTCAACCCGAACGCCAGAAAATCCACCCAAAAAAGCGCCCTTTCAACCCCCAAACTGAAACCCGCCTCCTCCGAATTTGAAGTTAAACTGCCCTCCATGTCCATGGCTGTGTTGTGCGAAAGGATGGCCCCCGCCAAACGGATTGCCTTGGAATGGGTTATGGCGCTGCTGCTCGTGATCATTTGGATCATCACCACGGTCGTATCTCGATTTCAGCTCCGGGTCACTGAGTACCTCGTACGCCTCATTGATCGATGCCATTTTCTTCTCTGCGTCCTCCTTAGAGATGCCCGATTTGCGCGCCTTGTCAGGGTGGTGCAATTTGATCATTTTCCGATATGCTGACTTGATCTGCAGCTCATCTGCATCCCGTGGGACTCCAAGGACTTTATAGTAGTCCTTGGTCTTGCTTTGTCTGAGCTTAATCTGTGCATCTTGGAGCAATTGGTTGATCTGATGCGCCCCGGGGTGATGCTCTTTAGCGGTATTGAGAGACGAGATGGCAGCCTCGAAGTTTTCGGCTGTCATATGGGCCTGCGCCTTTGAAAGAAGGCCATATAGGGAGTGCTCATTGTATGTCAGAGCTTCCTCGCACCAGGGGATGGATTTCTTGTAGTTTTTCGTCTGTTCATGTCAGCTACGATCAAATACGAAGCGTCCCCAATACAATGTTTACATACCTCATGATAAGCCTCGCAAACCATTTCAACAACGCGGGCAACAAGATTGTTGGGTGCGTGCTTTGGGATTGTACCGGCTTCGCGTAACTCCTTCACATCGTCCTTGATATCTTGAACGAGGCCCGAATCCTCGGCTGACGGGAGTAGGACTTTGAGAGCAGAAGCGTATTGATGTTTTTCGAAATACTTATTAACCTGGGTCAGTTGTTTGTCGAGAGTCTTCTCCCGCCTGTATAGCTTCTTGCAGCTCTTAGAATCGGGATCAGAATGCAGGCATTTCCGAAGCTGCTCCATTCCAGGTTCCAGATCTCCAAGAGAGTAGAATGTGATGGAAGAGATCTGCATATGAGGCTCCGTCGAACCTGGCTGCATCTGTAGAACGTGCTTCAGATCACTCATGCCTTCCTGGACTTCGCCTCGTTCGAAGCGGCAATGAGCTCTCGTCTTGCGTAATGATAACAGCCTGCTTGCTACCATGATCGCAGCCCCAGATTGGGAGACACATTCCTCCCAGTCACCATTCTTCTCCGCAATAGTTGCCAACGCGGCGGCCCCTTGGGCCTCCTCTAGCTCCCTCAACTCTTCTTTCGAATTGCCATGGGCAATATAATCCCTCTTCGCCGCCTCCCACTCCCCGCCCTTGGCCTTTATTCTTGCACGTTGTTGAAGAGCCCCCTCAAAGCCAGGTTTCATTTCGAGAACCTTATCGAAATCCTGCGACGCTTGGGCAGTCCGTCCGAGAGAGAGATAGGTCGCCCCACGCTTGAAGTACGTGAGGTAGTTCTGGGGATCGCGGGAGATAGCGATATCGTAGTAGGTGAGAGCATCGTTCGTCTCTCCCTTTGCCAGATGTGAGTTGGCGGAAGCAAGGAGAGCTGATATAGGAGTGTCCGAGGGGATATCCCCAGCTGAGAGCGCAACGACAAGAGTATTTGCAGACAGTATGGTGGCGGCAAACGCCAACACGGACAGATTCACAATCATCATGAGCGACTTTAGAAGTCAACCCGAGAGAGTGTACCGCCAACAACGGGATGGGAACAAAGAGAGAGCAAAAGGAGGAGTAATGGGCCAAAATGTACGTGTCCTTAGGAACTTCGATGCGGGATGCCCAGGGCGTTGGGAAGGGGTTTAGCCGCAGATCAGCCGTCTCGAGTTCTCAGCCTTGTAGAACCTATGAAGTGGGGATAATCAACCTGACAGGTCCACAACAACACCACGCCGCACCATACCAGAGCGTTCATTGAAACTTGGAATCGTCGAGGCTTGGGACCGCAATGGCACACCTCTCCTCGTCCGCGATTTTCTCACCCTCGGTCGCGCGACAACAACTCGCAGCAGCCAAGGATTGGAACTATATCGACAGCTGGCTCACCACCAAGTTTAACGGGAGGCCACCGCCATTTGAGCGCAACGGTGACACCTTGAAAGCGCTGCTCGCACTCGCTGCCCACAATGAGAGCGCAGACGAAGAACGCGAATTACTTGCACGGGTCGAGGTCAAGGTGCTCCAGGATCTCCAAGCAAAGAGAGATGCGGATCCCAATGCCGAAATCCTCGATGCCATTGAAAGATCCTTGACGCGTGAAGGCAAAGCAAGTCTCGAAGCACTATCTACTCTCAGCGTCTCACTCAACCAGTCGGTTGCTGATATCGAGAACCTTGGGCGAAGCATGATTGATCTCCAAGTTACCTCCTACAATCTCGATCAAGACAGCGACCGGATTTCGATTCTCGAACAACATCTAAACACTGAGCTTGACCGAATCAATACCCTTATTAAGGAGCTCCAAAGTGATGTCTACCAGTGTCCATCCGACCTGGCAAAGCAGACCATCGATTATCAACGCAAAACGAAGGCTCTGGCCGCCCAGTTACCAGAACTCAGGGATCGGGTGGCTTCACTATCTGCGATATCTGGCGCTCCGGGTGTTCGTATAGAAGATGTCAAGGCCGAGGAAGATAAATTCAAGGATATGATGAGTGATGTGAAGGCCCTTGAAGCACAAGTCAAGACTTATCACGGGCTACCACAAGATACGGATTTGGCCCGACTTGAATTGGAAAGTGTTAGGGTCGAATTGCGAGACTTGACGAGGCAGAGAGACAGCATGTTTGAGGGGCTTGTTGAGAGAGAAAGCCCAAAGAAGCCCAGGTCATGAAATTTCTACACTACAGAAGAAAACTGTGTACTCTTCCTATTATATTAAACGAATGTGATTGTGCCCGAGTCATCTCTTGGGCCGACCACCTGACACGCCACCCAATCGTCCGAACTTCCCAAGACTATTCTTCGATTTATGTGCTTGTGCTGCTGGTGCCGCAGGCGTATCTTTCACCGGCAATGGGGGTCCTGGTAAATGCGCCAAATCTTTGAAGGCCCTTGAATCCAAGGATTCTCCAGCACGTCCATCAAGGCCATCATCGAAGTTCCCCCCTGGTTGCTGCGATCTCCGCGCTCTTTCCTGAACACTCCTGAACTTCTCTAGTAGTTCATTCCAACGGATACCTCCCTCGTCTCTCCCCTTTAATCTACTCGATCGGTCGAAGTTCGAAGGGCCGGCATTGGATGGTGCGCTAGATGAGGACGTATGAGCCTCTGTAATGCTTTTCTGATGTTGATAAAATTGAAAAGTAGAAATGGCCTCGGCCACACTATTACTACGAGATTTTGATACGTACGCTCGAGGTGCGATATGCAGGTAGCCTATAGCGCTCACACTATTCAGTCTGTTCTTTAGCGCTGCAAATGCAGACGACTGGGGAAGAAGCATCAGAAGCCCATATAAGCATTTGTAGAGATGTGGGTATTTCTCTGGTTCTAACAACTGGAGTCGAAGATCTGTAAGCAAGTTAGCAAAGGCTTTTAGGCACTCGTTTTGACCCTACAAGTAAAAACGGGAGATTCTAGCAATTGAACTAGTTTATCGATCTGAATAAGCATATTGACCGTCATCTCGAGTTCAGCACTGGAATCATCAGCATAATCCAAACGAAGTGTCCAGCAGACCTACAATATCTGGAGAAGGTTATATGCTTGTTCGTATGCTTGGGCCAAGAGACACAAAGAGAAAGTAGCGACGGCGTTGTAGCACCAGGACCTAAAGAGCGAGACGAAGAAAGTTTGGCCATCCTAAAAACCATCAGGACATACTGAAGTAACGTTGATTGGGTAATACGAACCTTAGTCTCAAGATTGCGGAGTCTTTTGCGCAGCTCAGCTAGCTCTGGTGCTGTAATGAGATTATTGTTAAGATTTTGTACCATGATGCTGGCAAATTCGAGATCCTCTTCTTTCTCGATGCAGTCTGCAAGTGTGCGATAAATGCGTTCGGCGCTGAGGCTGACACAAAGCTGCCGAATAATTAAGTTTCCTCGCATCTTCAAAAGCTTTCTGTCCGTAGAGAATAACTGGAGGAGGTTTTCCATGAAGGACGTGAAGTAATCATCTCCGCTATTCCTTGATATCTGAGAGAGGAGTTGCAAGTCTCTTGTGACAACCGCTTCCGCAGGATCCGAAAGTGTTTTGAGGAGAGCCGGAAAGGTACCATCGTTGAATGCGAGCACTTTTCTGGGAGCCTTTCTGTGCAACATAAGTAACCAAGTCAGGGCAGCAACTCTAGTAGCTTCGTGGTCGTTTAAGAATAATAGGGTCAAAGAGTTAACTGCAGCAGCGTAGTCAAGGTCGACCTGAGGCTGAGGGGGTGATGTTGGTGTCGGGGCTTTGCTGTGTGGTGGAGCTGGGACGGGGGCCTCGGCCTCCAATTCTCGAGATCCTGAGGTAGAAGCACGAGCGGTGGTAGAAGAATCTCTACGCTCGTTTGAATTTTCCTTTGTGACCGAGGTAGGAGTTCTTGATGAAGCGGCAACAGGAGCTTCCGAAGGAGCACCATCATCAGAAAGGGATACCACGTAGTCCATCAGTGATGTGTTTACTCGCGCAGCTGCTTGACGGATGGTTTCTACACCGCTGGCCATAGCAGGGAGAAGATGGGCTAAGATCTTGGGTGCAAAGGGTAGCACCTCTTCTGGACAAATGTCGAGAAACTCGACTATCCATCTCAATGACTCTAACAGTGTATCCTCTTCTATTAAGCGTTAGCTAAGGTGGTAGAGTTGGGTTGGGGAAGATTACCAAGCGGTGAGTCGAGATTTGCTGTCAATATCTCAAGGATCTCTTTGTGATTTACCTGCACATCTTGACCCGGGACCCAATCGTCATCACTACTAACATCCTTGTCGTCAGGAGTAGCTACTGAATCGTCATCTTCGCCTTGTGCAGGGACCGTAGAACCCTCGCTGTCCATAGAGCCAGATCGCTTCCGTTTACCTTCACTCCGCGATTTCCGGCTTTCTTCGATGCCTTTCTTGATACGTGAGATGCGCTTGATCTCATTCAGAAACCTCTCTAGAGCTCCTTGTGTAGCAACGTGAACATCCCGGTTTGGATCACTAAGGAACTTGAAGAGGCCACCCAGAAACTCAGGTAAATAGGACACAAGTTCCAAATCAGGAATGGAGTCTAGTAGTGTAATCCACCCTACTAAGAAGGTACGAGTGAACGGATTGATCACGTATATGCGCTCTTTGAGAAGGGGAATAAATCGAGCAAGAGAGAATGCCGTTGGAGGTTCAACAAACTCTTCAGATGTATCATCCGGAGTATGTAGCACTGAGACGTATGTAGCTGCAGACTCAGAAACTATATCTTTTATCAAACGATCCAAAAGCTCCGCTCCATTTTTGACGGAGAGTTCAGAGTCTGCACCGAGCTGTAGAATCATCAGTGGGAGATGTTGAGAAAAGGTGACATGAAAAGGGACGTACTTTGCATAATGCATCGAAAATGTCATTAAAGTATGGCAAGACTTCCCCCTTTGCCACCTTGGAAATATTATACATGCTCTCGCATGCGTAGTAGCGGACGCGAGCGTCCTGATCAGTAAAGCAAGCAAGCACTGGGGGCACGATCTCATCCAAATAACGTGCCAAATCCTGCGAAATGAATCAACGATCTAGCTCCGAGGAATAAGCATCAACACATACTGGTCCTAATGCAATAGCGGCGGCTGCAAGACCGATAAGGCCTCCATTTCTAGCATGGGGCTGATGCACGGCATAAGCGTAATCGTTGCAGAGCTGCTGGATTATTTTCTTGATCCTATCAAAATCTTTGTTTGCAACCAGATCTCGAATGACGCGCTCGAGGCTGTAAATCTTGTCAGAATAATTGTTCGAATGTGGAGGCATCATGCTTACTCTAAAGCGCCCCCCTTCCGCTTATCATAAAGCTTGTCATTCAAGGCACGTTGGATACTCGGATCCATCTTGAACAATTATTCCTCGTTCAGACGCATAGTCTCTTGAAAGAGAGAAGACTAAAGTATGAGAGCTGAAACTTCCTGGATAGCGGATGTTCAGCGTATCACCACTTTCGTTCCTGTCATGGCCAATAGCAGGCAGAACCATGGAAAGAGCAGACAAGGGCCAAGGAGCAGGGTTGGGCACGTGAAAGAAGCTGCTCTTTTACCACGACCACGACCACGACCACGCGCCGTTGATGGAATAGAATTCAAGGCGAAGTAAAGTGAAGTGATGTACGTATGGAGGAACGAAGCAGCGGGTCTGAGAGGTCTGGGCCAAAGAGATGGGGTTCGTCTCGAAAAGGGGCGCCTGCTCCTCCTACGTAGAAAGAGAGATCGCTACGCCACAGAGCTGGAGTTCAGGTTAGTAAGCGCACATGACTTCACATCTGCTGGACCGTTACCTTACTTTAAGGTACCTTGGGATTTTGCAGGCAGATCGTTCTGAACCAAAAGATGTTTAATGGCTGCAGAAGAGCGGTGAAGGTATAAAGACCGGAATGAATAGCCGTTGTTCGTTTCATATCCGGAGTTGTTACCTTATGTCTTCTGGTATATGCACGTGACCTTTAATCACATGACCCAAAAAGACATGAGGTCAAGCAGCTCTGTCTTGGCTATCGATGATTGCCTACTCCTATTTGTATATTGTATTCAGATGTCATGATTGCGATTCTCCAGATTTTCTTTCCCTTCTGCTTTCCAACACGTATACTACGCCAGAACAGACCCGGAATTGAGCTTAGGTACATTCCTTATACCCATAGCCATAACTGCATAACGCAGAGGAAGCCGGCATTCCCGCACTTGCCCCCTTCGGTCAGGTTGACATTGCTCTTTTCCATCATCTACTTTCCAGTCCTCGTGCCATCACGCTGAGCCCTGAGTTTGGAACTCAAACAGTGAGGTCCCTCGACATTGAGCTCCTTGCATTCCGAAACAGCGCCTGCCCCTCCTCCACGACCCGCTCGCCCATCGCCTCCATGCCCACCAGTCTCCCCTCCTCCGCCCCCAGCTTTAGCCCCGTTGGCTTTGGCAGCTTTCTGCGCTGAGCGTGCTTCGCGAGACTGACGGCGTGGTATATCAGCGTCACTATTACTCCTCCTCTAATGAAATCAGGCAGACTCACGCCTGGCTTAGCATTCGCAATTCGCGCTGCAGATGCCTCAGTATGGCCTCCTCTAGTCATGTTGGATATGTTGCAAGTGTTCTGATTCCTAGCTCGATGAGTGTTTCGATGTCGATTGTTATACAGCCGGAGTTCTCAGCTTGAGGATGGGACTTGGTTTCAAAAAATAAGCATTCGGCAGGACCTCTGAGTGCTTGTATATCCAATGCCGATGCCGGTGGAGGTTATGATTGCTTGCATTTCCCCGTCATATACAGACCTGGCATTTTGAGGGTCTGGCCTGGGATCAGGGTTACCAGGCCTACCCTATGGTCTTTCAATCTCACCCCACCAAGGCAAACAAGGTGGCTATCCGTAATATGATATATGTTTGCTTTCACTCGGGTTGCCTTATTCAATGAAGATAGCACGGTTGCAGGCGACTATCGTGGAATGCTGTCACACTAGGTTTCCACAATTGCAAATGGTCCTCACTGTTCATATACCTGCTCGTCAAGAGTGGGTACATAGAAGAGACAGAAGAGCCTTGTCGTAATGGAGCATATTTTGCATTTAAATTTCCATTTCCAATATCTCTCCATCCATCAGCCACTTTATTTGCCTGTGCTGCGGCCGGTACAGCCTCTGATCTTCATATCTTGTTGATTGCAATCGCAGTACTAGGGGTGGCCCGGGCTGCATCGTCACGAGTGCCGGCATTTGACGGACGAGAACCGAAGCCAGAGTTGAGACAACGATGATTTTTGATACGTACATCAGAACAAATTTGTCTGTACAGGCTTCCTATCAGCTCGCCCCATCATTATATTATTGGCCGGATATACCAAGTTTCGTTTTGGACATAGGATTGATATCGATTCTGGATCGGTGCCTTGTGTTTAGCTTTCGGGGTGGTTTGCTGATCCAGGGAAGAAATGGAGAAAAGCACTTACATTGTATCTTCTCTCCTCCCAGTTCCAAGATGTATAGAAATCGGCACGATGCTTTCCAACATGCAAGGTCCCTTGGGATGTAGCAACCGCATATTTGCGCGACGGCCACCTGCATGAATCTCCGAGTTGTTTGTCATCGCATCTATCTAGATGTGTAAAAGAGGACTCGAAGGGTATTCTAACGTTGGAAATACACGATCCCATGTGGGAAGGAGGTTGAAGCTCAGGATACAGGCCCCACCTAATCAAGTGTACCAATGTCTTTAAGGTCATGAAGGATATCGCCTCTCTCTGCAATTGTCCTCTGGCATTTGGCAAGGATTCTTGCCTGTCGCCCAACCTCGTCAAGTCGGCTAATAACTTCCTTGCTCCCATCTACAAACCCATATAGCGCATACGGGATTCCTACATCGTCGCAGAATTCCTGGACTAGCTTTTGAGCCCGTCGAAAATTGTGTCTTGGCATCCTTGGAAAAAGGTGGTGAATTGCTTGGAACTGCAAGCCACCGTGGAAGAAGTCAAGCCATTGCGGACAGTCGATATCCATAGTCGTCCTTAACATTTTCTGCGGGAAAGACTCGTGTGGGCCAAGCTCCGAAGTGCTCATGGAGAAGTGGGAAAGCGTTATTTGCGCGTGCAAGGGCATCGTAACCATATGGCTAATCATGATATATGCAAAACGTGTTCCGGCCGTGGGGACACACTTATACAACAAACAATATCCATACCAGTACCAGAAGAATACTTGGCCAGTAATCTCCAGCCACCGATGCCACCAAGCGCGTCCATTTCTGGGACCCAAGCCGCGGATTAGATACTCCCATGACAGGACGTACAGGTTGAAACGGCCAAATAGGAGGATTGGGTAATACAAGTATGCCTGGTATGGGAGCAGGAACTTGGCAAAACGGTCATAGACCATGACTCGCTCGTAGAAAGAGGAGGTCAAAGACTGGAAAAACCGATGGGAAATGGCGAAGAAAGGTATATGCTCGATGTCAGGGTCATGCTCTGGGGAATTTGTAACAATGTGATGGACATTGTGGTTCCTTTTCCACCATCCCACAGACAATCCTCCGATGAAGTCGGCAATAAGGATGCCAGTGACCGAGTCAAAATGGAAATTATGGGTAATAGCCATATGACCAGCATCGTGCACTGTGAAAACAAGCTGATGCCAAAGACATCCCAGCCAGAAAGCGCTCGTGCAATACCAGCCCCAGCGTAGGAATAGAAGCATTGCGCAGAAGAAAAAGGTGTAGCGACAGGTTTCAACGGCGTAGGCAGAGTAATTGCAGTTAAAGAGTCCTTCATCCAGCAGGCGTTGATACAACAAGCGGTATTTCCGAACGACCTGCTCCTGCGTGTCCAAATCCAGAGAGGGATATTTCGAGAGGTCTAGATCGATTTGTTCTTTGGTTCGCGCATCAAAGTAAGACATCACATCGTCCATTGTCGAAACGGTCGAGACTGAGGACACCGAGGACGCCGAAGACGAAACAGATGCCTTTGTTGCATTACCGCGTCGACGAACATTCTCTTCCACGTCGAAAACAGGCGAAGGAGTCCTAGAGGTCTCAGACCCCGTCGGGGATGCTTCCTCCTCTTCATCCTCTTCCAGATCAGATACGCCTTCCACGTACGGTCGAAACTTTCCACCCTGTATGGGGGGCAAGAAATTCTTCCAGCGACCCTCGATCCGACCAATTCGATATTTATTCATCATCTCTCGTGTCTCTGTAGAATGGACGCTATATAACATATGTTAGCTGGCTCGTCATGGCGGGGGAGGGGAATGCTCACGAGTTTACCTCGTCCGTAGCATCTCTGCCAATCATGTGCATAATGGCTTTGTCACCTCCAGGATGATACTTCAACCACGCATCCACCTTGAGCACCTTCTGGTCGACAATGACGATGATTCTCCCATCCGCGATGAGACCCTCGATCTGTCTCCTCGACATGATAGCGTCTCTGCGTGGGGCATGCTTAAGGGACGCCATTGCGACGGTCACTTGGGGGTGGGATGGATCAAGCAAAGGCCAGGACGAGAGATTTCGACTCGAACGTGTTGGAGTGAGGAGGAATCGTTATCTGGCCGCTGATCTCAGAGGATATACTCGCGGTGGGCCGTACGAGGATGCAGTCCGGCAATTCCGGGCGTGGTGGTGGAGGGCAGGATTGTCGTACGTTGCTGGACCAGGGCGTCACCAGATTCCCTGGGCGAGGGACAGTATATCCGTCGTCGAAGTGCACCACGGTACAGTACGGCACACCGCAAGGACGCTGCGGTGAGGCGAGGTTTCCCCTGGCGCTGGCCTGTCGCTGTCGCACCACTTGACGGCCGTCTTCGGATTGGCGCGTTCGCTTCGGGTACGGTACGGCAGTGGGCCGGGTGGGGCCGGGTGCTGAGTGTTCCGTATTCGGGTATACGGGTATACGGGTAATAATCGGCGGCATCCTTCGCTTATGGCTTTTCCGGCGTCGAAGGTTTCCACCACGGTGCCACCCCCCTTTTCTCTCCTCGAATACAAGAGCCCTCAACCCCCCCCAACCCCCCCAAACCCCCTCGCACTTCGTGTCAAGCTTCCCTTCCTTCTCCCCCCTATCTCCCTTGTACAGTATCATACGTTTTATCATGCGTTTCTTACACTATCTGCTCATCATTGCCTGACTCAAGCGTTTCCTTGCAATTGATACAGGGGGCTTTTCCTTTCTAGTCGTTGGTCGGAATACCTTCAGCCCGACGGAAGTATGCCAGCGGGCCGAGAAAAGTTTCAATTCGGACCGGTATTCTAAGATCATTCAAATCTCTAAAAGCATCGCCTACCTCCCCGTCCAAAACCAGGGCATTCGCCAATGTCAGCAGACGGCGGAAGACAGTTCTTCAGTTCTTCTTTACCGCCCTTTGTCTTCAGACGCGTGATACATATATGTGTTACTCTCACATGGACCTATCGAAGGCCTCATTCGTGGCGCTCACATAGGGATGTTTGCTAAGTAGTCATGCCGCAAAACCAGAGATCATGAAGGTTGGTTACCTAGACCCGACTGACGCTATTTGTTTCCTGGACTGAGAAGCTGAGAGGCAAACCCCTCGCCCTGTTTTCCTTACCCCCCAGCATTTTCCTGTTCAATTCAGATTTTGTAGAACATGCCCTACTGCGGTGTATTCTCTTTGAGGCTATTATCCGCATGTTTCTCGAGCGAACAGCGTAAGGCAAAGGAGCATTTATTCTGCCTCGCCATTGCCTACTTCGCCGACTGGTGGTGTTACCACGGCATCTACGGCTATATAAGTAAGGATCCTTTCCGTCTTCCCCGGCCGTCCTTCTGGCATAGTAAGTAAGTATTACCGAACCTTCTTTTCAACACGGAGCCACACGGACATCAGCCAATCATTAAGCATCATGCGCGGGTACCGTCATCATGCAGGCTATTTTTACGGGCCATCTGATATCCGCCCTCGCAGGCTCTGCAGCCTCCATTCACTGCTGGTCGGAGAATATGACATCGGCCATCTCAGCTCTCTTGCCGCCTGTGGCTATCGTTCGCGCGGTCGTGGTTGCGGGAATGCTGTAGGACTATCGCCTCTCACTGGGACACCCGCATGCCTAAATTGCATTAATGGAGAAATTTCAGCCCTTAGGGCTGGGCTTCTGGATGAAGAATTAGATCAAGGCTGCGATGAGCCAGAATGCGAGTACTATGATAGCAGCTGGAGATATGGCAGGAGTGATAACCTTGGTGGAGGGTACTTTGCTCCTTATTTGTAATCCCTCGTCCGAATACTGACTGGAAACATCACAGAACGGGCTATCTTCCGCGCGGTAGAGGCTTAGGTGGTATATTCGGCAACAGTAGGTTTGGTGGAAATAATCGCAATGTATTTTCGGGATTCAATGGGATCAGGGGATTTGGTTCAAGGACCAGGGGAATGGGAACAGGAACGGGAATGGGAATGGGAATGGGAGCTGGAGGTAGTGGATTTAGGGGAAGGTTTTCATCTCCATTCGGGTTCTAATGCTTCGGGGTTTGCCAATTCTCAACTTGAGACTGACACCAGTTACACACTCGCTGATTTCAGTACGTTCCCAGACTGTCAGGGTTGCCAGGTTCATGGAGGGTATTATCTGGCCTAGGTCTCTGTTGTAGACCTATGTTGAGATTCGAGAGATGGAGGATGAGCACATCACGTTTCGCTTCTCGTCGGGCGAGGGAGTCGGGGAGAAAATCTGATCTTCTGTTCTGGCCGGCACATCGTACATTACATATCAGTCGCTGTCTCCTTATTCTTTCCATGCTTATGTAACTGTTATCTTACACGGGAATCTGACGCTCTAATTCATGTTCCACACCAACCCATTATGCCCACAGTGCCAGCATGAAGCAGCTACAAAAACATTCATTTAGAAGTGGATGGCACTGCTGTAGCAGTTCATAGCAGCTTCTTTGAAGGCCTCAGACAGTGTTGGGTGTGCGTGACTTGTTCGTCCAATATCCTCACTCGACGCTCCATACTCGATCGCCAGCGTACCTTCCGCAATCATCTCGCCTGCACCCGGTCCAATAATGTGGATACCAAGAATTCTGTCTGTCTCGGCATCCACGATCATCTTAACCATACCCTCGGTGTCGAGGTTCGTCTTTGCTCTCGAGTTCGCTGAGAATGGGAATGTGCCGATCTTGTATTTAACGCCCGCAGCCTTCAATTCTTGCTCATTCTGGCCCACCCACGCAACCTCGGGATGAGTGTACATGACAGATGGGATGGCACCGTAGTTGACGTGTCCGTATCCCTTCTTGATGTATTCAACCACTGCCACAGCTTCCTCTTCCGCCTTGTGGGCAAGCATGGGGCCGAATGTGCAGTCACCGACAACGCGGATGTGGGGGATCTTGGTGCGGTATTCGGAGTCGATGACCAGTCTTCCTCTCTCGTCGGTCTCGAGGCCAATGTTCTCTAATCCGAGACCAGCAGTGTATGGTCGACGACCGATAGCAACGAGAACGACTTCCGCTTCAAGCTAAACAATAGGTCAGGGTCTTGATTTCAGGAATGCATTCCATTATGCTTACTGTCTCATTCTTTCCTCCTTTCGCGGCCTCAACCTCAAGCTTGATCTTGTCGCCGCTGACATCACCACCCAATACCTTGGTGTTGAGCTTAAAGTCGATGCCTTGCTTCTTCAGGATCTTTTGCGCCGATTTTGAGATTTCGGAATCCATTCCGGGGCCTCCGATCTGTCCAAGGTATTCGACGACAGTGACCTTCGCGCCTAATCTTGACCAGACGGAGCCCATCTCAAGACCGATGATACCACCTCCGATGACAACCATGCTCTCCGGAACCTTCTCCAGAGCGAGAGCACCGGTGCTCGTAACGATTCTCTTCTCGTCGACCTCGAGTCCAGGGAAGGGCGTAGCCTCACTTCCTGTTGCAATGATAATGTTCTTTCCGACTACGCTTCGCTCGCCACCCTCCGAGAGGTTGACCTTGATTTCGTGCTCATTGACAAAGGATCCCGTGCCTTTGATGTACTCCACGTTGTTTTTCTTGAACAAGAACTCAACACCCTTGGTCAGGCCGGCAACAGCGGTATCTTTTGATTTCATCAATTGCTCCAAGTTAAGCTTCACATCGCCGACTTCGATACCTCGGTTTTTGGTGTCGTGGAGAATCTGGTGGTATAGATGGGAGTTGTTGAGGAGAGCTTTTGATGGAATGCAGCCAACGTTCAAGCATGTGCCACCGAGTGTCCCGCGCTTCTCGATACATGTAACCTATTGTAACCGTCAGATTACATCTGTAGAAGGTTTGAACCATGTCTTAGTCGCACCTTCAAGCCTTCCTGGCCGGCTTTGATGGCGGCGACATAGCCGGCAACACCACCTCCGATGATGACCAGATCCCGCTCCTCTATGCTATATTAATACACACCCATAAAACACATAGACATCATCGACTGACCAGCTTCGGTGGCATAGGAACGTTTTGATAATCTCGCAATCGCTGAAGGGGCAACTACTTTAGGGAGACTGGGTAAACATGGTCAGCTTGCGGATCTGACAGCTATTGAGTAATTGGGGCGAGACATACGACGAGCTTTGCTTGAAAGCCGACCTTACGGCCGCTCGAGGCACAGATAAACTTCGAAGCATTGTGTAGAGGGATGGGGGTTTGCTTCAACGAGAATTTTGAGGTAGCAAGATGTTTTTGATGACCAGCAAGTAGGCACAAGGACAGCGGCGGCGAGTATTTCCGGAGATCACATGACCGGATCATCCCTGACCCGCACTTAGCCGGTAGTTGCGGTAGTTGCGGTTAACCGTGCGAGTGATTGATGATGCAAACATAGGTGGGGAACGTCTTTGAGAACAGAGCTGACATTTGTTGGGTTTTCACTGGCAATAACGGCCTGGCAGCAGGATTTCATCAGGTTTGATCTGCTTTCAATTATTCACAGTATCAATGACAGCCAACTCCTCCAGGGCATTAATGGCTACTTTACAAGCCCATTTCACAGTAGCCTTCTGCTCTTTGCCCCCAGCTATATCTGTTTTGTTTACAACTTTCCTCAAGAAGTATTGCAGGCCCGTGATCAGATGAGGAGAGCCTTTGACTTTCATCATGACATTTGCCACCGCCTGCTCGTCCTTGTTGGCCCCAGCCTGTTTCTGGGACTGGAGGAAGAAGGTGATGAAGAGCACTTCTATGAAAGTTTTCGTCCCTGGCTGGAGGTAAGTCAAGTTCAGCTTCTTGAGAACTGCAAGACTCAATCCACCCTCAACAATCAGCGTGCCAAACATTTTTGCTAGATTGACGATTTGCCTCGTATCTAGCGAATCCTGGTCATCTTCCCCTGGGACATCGTCACTGTCATCGGACTCGCCCATCCTCTTGAAGAGATCCCATAAGCTGAACTGAAACGACTTTCTGAGCCTAGTATCGCCGCAAAGCCTCTTTGCAATCAATGTATAATATGGATTGTAGCTCTTTTCAGCCCCGGCACAATGGATCAAGACTTTGGGAATTTCAAATTCTTGCTTCTTCTTAAGCCGGAGCTTCGATATTCGCAGGTAAGCGTCCTGGTAGTCTGATGCAGACATTATAGCGATGAAGATGGCACGCCGGACCTCCGTATTCATGCGTTGTTCCCTGGCAAGTTGAGCAAGATCTGACGTCCCGGAGTCTTCGACTCGAGGCCGCTTAGCAGTGCCAGACACGGCGGCTGCGGAATCATGGATTTCTTCTTCGGTCGGTCCTGACCAACTAGCACCAACAAGCCACCATTTTCCTTTCTTGTCAGAATCCTGGATATCTTTGAGTCCAATACGCAGTGGCTCACTGCCCTTGATATTCCGCGTGTTCAGGGTCCCCAGAATCTTCTTCATACGGATCGTGTGCTCCGACGTAACCGCTGATGCAGCACTACCGGTCTTCATCCGGTTGTTCTTGAGATCGTTGATAGTTTCGATCATGAATTTCGTTCGCACTGACATTTCCCCGCCGACAGCTGCAGTGCCAGGGCGAAGCAATGCAACGATATCTTTGAGTGATGTTGGGTCATCTTGGCGTAGCTGTGGACCAGATGTGCGAATTATCTTCAATAGCAATTCGGCATTTAACTCTGATAGCTTGCCCAACAGGAGTCTGATATAATCGAAAACAAGGTTGCTTCCAACTACTTGGAAATTATACATCTCTGAGAGTAGCATGATAAGATTTGATGTCTCTTTACTGATATCAGATGTGGGAGCAGCCGACCCTTCCTGGGCGTCGGTTGCACGCTGATAATGCTCGTTAAAGAGCTCAACTATTCTCTGGATGACTTGGGCGCCAAAATCCGTGCCAATAATCTTGTAGACCGCCGCGATAAACCCAGCAGGGAGGATAATAAGGGTATCGGGCAGGGTTGTGGGTTCGCAGACCGACGTCAAGAGAACATCCACGAGCGTTGATGTAACGTGCTGGCGAGCGTTCTCACGGTAGAGCTTCTCAACTTCCCCAAGGATGGAGATCAAGTTGGCTTCTGTCAATCTGTTTATCAAGCCCTGTGTCTGTCGCCGTAGACGAACTAAAATGTCCGAGTCTGAGGACGAAAGTTTCCGTAAGGATGGTGGAATATACTTCGTAGACGGTGCATCGCTTCCAGCCGTAGGCGCAACGTAAGGATTCTCACGAACTCGTGGCTGAGTTTCTGGGGATGCTTCATTTTCCGAGCCGTCTTCGTCAGATTCGAAGCCGGCAAAATCATCCTCCGTGTCGAGTGTCTCCTCGTCCGCCTGATCGCTCAAGTCGTCCTCCGAGACATCATCTGGGAATTCAGGTCCATCCAATGACATATCAGATGCTCCATCATCATCGTCGTGCTGATCATCTTCTTCCGAATCCTCATCATCGAATTCCCCATCGTCGGTTTGGCTTTGGCTTTCCTCGTCTGTACTGACATCCAGACCCTTTGCTCGTCTTGCTTCCTGTCGCTTTCGCTCAAGCCATTCGTCTCCCTCGGCCTTTCTCTTCTTTTTCTGGTGAGCATCTGAATCTGAATCCTCGTCCAGGCCTTCCAGAAGCGCATCAAGACCATCATCCTTGAAGGACTGCGGCAGGCGTTTCTTCCCTTTCAGGCCCAATTTCCGTTCTAAAGCAGCAATTTCCGCATCGTCCTCAGCTAATTTATCCTTAACAGATTTTGATATCTTCACAGGTGGTGAAATCGAACGAGCCTTAGGAGGGACGGGGTCTTCTTTATTTGTGCGCTTCAAAATCGATTTCGGTTTTGGAGGAATGTTTTCGGCGTCATCCTGAAGAGGCTTCATGCGCGGAGGAGGTTGTGGAAGGGCAGGAGGTCTATCGTAGGGCGCATCCGGGCCTTGTGTATGCTGTGACTTCAATCTCTTTTGTGGAGGAGGTCCATTTCTCAAGGCCTTCTTCTGTGCTCGCTCTGCTTTCCTATTTTCCTTTCTCGTCGCTGTGTGAAAACGTCGTTTAGAATCTCCAGAGAGAGCATCTTTGGCAACATTAGCTGGAATTGAAAACGTAAAATGATGGGAATCTTTACCTTGTCCTCCCAGCTCATCAATGAGCTTAGCTGGAAGCTTTAAATTGTTCTGTTTGGGCGGCATTGTTCAGCGTCTGCTTCAACGCCGGACTTTTGTCAAAAGTCCAAAAATTATTTCCCATGTTCGCATGTACCCGTAGAAATGGACCCTTGTCAAATTCGGACGTGGGGTCACCCCACCGCCCCCCAAAAAGCATCCCGCTACTTCGTCTGGACCTCGTGCATCCCGTCTGACTGCTGTCCGAATTGATTGATTCGTAGACATGCCGAAAGAACACTTGAGCAATAGTGATGTATGCGATTCCCGCTCAAAGTCACCCGGAGGGCCATTGCTGACACCAAATAGTTTCTTCAGCGCCTCTCCGAGCTCTTCGACCAAGGGCGGATAAAGGACCATGGCTCAGTGTACTTGACCCAGAAGCGCTGTACGAGCCCACCCCCCGTCGATGCCAGGAGAAAATACTGATAGGCATATAGTGGTCCATGGCGAAGACATCGACGCAGCCGTCCCGGAGGCCACAACAGACGAGCCGTTCCCTGATCTGAATCCTTCAAAACCAATACCCATCCTCATTCGTGCTACGAATGGGAAACATAAAGACAAGAAGATCAAGTTATCAACGATTGTGGAACCGGATGCATTAGAGGCTTTCTTCGTCAAGTATGCGGAGGTCTGCAAGCTTGGGATGTCGGGGCTGAAGAAGAGAGATCGGAGTAAGGCAAAGGAGAGACTGAAGGCGAAAAAGAGGAAGCAAGGAGGAGCTGCAGTTACTGGAGATGTTAAGAAGGCATAGGTGGAGCGCATAGCAGGTCTGGCACCGGAAAATCATGGGTTTTGGCGACTTTTGAGGATATACCAATAATGTGCATGAATGGGCATTCGAGTCTCTCAGACTTGCGACTGGCTATATTTTTCTCTTTGCTACCATAAGGGAAACTAGAGGTATGTAATATTCTATGTTCATAAACTTCAACGCTTTGTGATTCCCAGGATCGAGTCCAACGCCAGTATTTTGATCATCCCACAACCACTCCTCCATCTCCACTCATATACACACCGTTTTAATCTCCTTTAATCTCCCTTTCAGAATCAAATCTGCCACACACTTATAGTCTTTCCATCATCTTCTAAGCCTTTGTCTCCAACTTGGGTTCTGTCTTTCTCACATTGTCTTTCTTCAATCCTCTTTGGCAGGGCCGGGATCCACGAAACCCTGTTGAGGACTGACATGTGAACCCTCCATCTGCAAAGCCCCCTCAGTCCCTCGAGCAATATTTTGGCGACTGCTAGGGTCATCGCTGTTGAAATCATCCAGGAGGCGAGATAAAGCGGTCTCCTCGGAGTCGTTGAGACCATTGAGGCCCATCTGCTAATGGTCACAATGCTTTCAAAGGGGCAGGTTGTGAACCCGTATTGAAATCTGAACTTACATGATCATGACTGGCAGAACTTAGATCCGCTCCTACGCCTGCCTGTGGGGAATTAACAGTGCGAGTTTGAGGGAGATCGAAGTGCTGCGCTCCTTCGCTACCGCCTACGACTGCAGGTTGGTTGGCTTGGAATCCACCAGGGTTCTCCCAATAAGATGCGTTTCCCATTCCCATAACTGACTGTCCGAGTTGCCGGTTACCTGTGGTGCTATCTGGCAGGTTAGATTGATAAGAGAGGGCTTCATGATGAAATGTGGGTGGGCAGAGCATTGGATTGGAAGTTCGAGGGAATCGAGAAGCCCCTATGGTATCGTGGCTTGCTTTGTAAAAGGTAAGTTGTGAAAGCTCTTCGAAGAATGGTGCTGGTTCCAAATAAGAGGGCGCTTGACTGTTAGCATTCTCCTCGATTCTCGGTTTTTTCCTCGGACGTCCTGCTCTCCCCTCCCCGGGATTCTTGGCTGGCATACCGGCAGACGCTGCTTCAGACTTCTGAGAACCGCACAGCTGGCAACCCCGTGTGGCGCCGCAAAACCAGCACTTACCATCCATCTCTACCTTTTTTCTCCTGCCAGGACCCTCCAGCTCCTCTAAGCCAACTACAATCTTTGCGCTGTCGATCCCGGGCCGCATTCTATCCCTTTCGTGGTCAGACTTCCCCTCCGCTGCTGCTTTGCATCTCCAGCAGGTTCCAGACGGTCTCTGTGGAACATGCCCGGTGTCGGGATTGATGATCTGGATGCAAAGTTCCCGCGGACATTTACTCTTCGGCCAGTCGGCGGGACAGCTGGGGAGTTTCTCGATGAGCACATAGATGCGCTGGCAGCAGGGGAGTGTGAAAGGCGTGACTTGACACATGATAGGTCCCTCTCACGGTGGGTGTACACTTGCGTCCTTCGAGTGTAATATGATGTGTGCTCTAAGGTACAGAAGGGGCAGCGTTTGTTAGAGGCTAGTATGTGTGTATCAGTATCTTGACTTGAGGTTGTAGCGTTTAGAAAGAACGGTGGTATTGGCTGGATATTTATATTAAGATCGCTCTGATGTGGAAATTCAATAGTAAGTGAATTTGCTGAATATATGATACATATCTATATGATTCACACACTCTTCTCATTTATGACGTTCGAGGATTCTTGTGACTAGAGTTGTTCGAGTACTGTGATTGTTGCTTGTGCAACTCAACTTTTCTCGAACAAGAGCAAGATACTCATCGAATATCGAGTCGTTCTGCTGCGGTGTGGACATTGGTTAGTTTAGTGTAGACCTTGGGGAGACCAGATATTCAGAGTTTCATGGAGAAAGGGGGAGAGGGAGAGAGGGAGAGGAATCGGCCATCAACTACAAAGCTTCACTCATCGGCACCTTAATTAAGTAGGACATAATATCAAAGCCATCGCATTGCATTGCTTATTGCATTACCAGCATCTAGAAGAAACACGATAGACTCCGATCTGAGTACGGGAACTTTTGTGAGGAAGAACAGAGCAACGTGCCCACCCTTTCTAGAGGGGTTGATATGCATCCTCTGAATCCGCAAAAAAGAAACAAATAAAGCAAATATAGGCAGGAAAACAAAAGCAGCCCATTCAGTCTCCAGCTATTATTCCTTTGACGACGAATTTTGGTAGAAACGCAATCTGTGGAAACAAGGTGGTACGCCAGGACATGCGAACCAGGCCCAAAAATGTGAGAATGAATCTAGGGACAGAAGGTTACAGCTCTGCCGCCTTCAACACCGAGAGTTGGGCATCGATCAATAGCGAGTATGTTCGCTACATAATCTGGTCCTGTGTCAAACTCGTCGCTTCCGTCTCCATGGCATCACCACCACCACCACCGCCGGGGGTCTGATATTTGACGAAGCTCAGGCCAAGGGGACGACCGCCGTATTGGTACCCTGAGAACTTCTCGATCGCAGTGTCGGCGTTTTCAGCAGTGTCGAACCGAACGACACCGGTACCACGAGATCGGCCGTTTGGTTCATACTGAATTTCGGCCTGCTCAACTTTTCCAATAGTGGTGAAGAGTTCAACGAGATCCTCGTTGCTGGTAGACCATGGAAGCTGTTCCGACTTGTCAGCATGAAACTTCTATGGGCAAGTTGAGATACTTACGTTGCGGACATAGATGGTTTCGCTCCTCTCCGTTCCAGCAGTAGCATAGTCTGTGAAAGGGTTGGGAGCAGCTGGGGGGGCTCCGGCATCAAAACCACCGGGAGGTCCTCCATATCCGCCGCCGAAACCACCACGACCGAAGCCTCCACCGAAGCCGCCACGAGCTCCAAATCCTCCACGAGCACCGAAGCCACCTCCAAAACCACCACGTCCGCCGAATCCGCCACGGCCGAAACCCGGGCCAGCTCCGGCGAAGCGATCTTCACGGACCTCAAGTGGGCGACCTTGCCAGTCGTAACCATTGAATTGCTGGATGGCGTTGCGAGCATCGTCTGGAGACTCGAAGGCGACAATTCCAGAGCCCTTGGGGCGACCATCAGGTCCAACGTGAACGTCGGCACGGATAACAGCACCGTTACGAGCTAAAAGAGAACATTAATACCATCCAACTATCCACGCGTTAGCTACAAAAAACCTGGACTCACTAGCTTGACGGAACAAGTCCTTGAGGTCCTGCCATCCTACAGTATAGGGGAGCTAGAAGTCAAGTCAACATATGTGCCCACCATAAGATCACATAGCAGAAAGGGGACAGGGATGCAACAGACGTTGGATACGTAAATTTGACGACCACCGCCACCACCAGCGGCCATACCACCGAATCCGCCGCCGAATCCGCCGCGTCCCGGTGGACCATCGTATCCGCCGCGACCAGCTGGTGGACCAGTGAATCGAGGTTCGGCCTCACGATCCTAATAGCACATGTCAGGGTTGGCTAAGCAAACGACAGGGATCCATCATACCTCTCGAACATAGACGAGTCTTCCCATGAGGTTTTGGTTGCTGAGGGTGCTTACTGCCTGTTGAGCTTGCTCCCTCGTGGCATATTCTACAATGCTGCGAAAGTCTTAGTCCAGGCCTCTACAAGGAGGCGACGCATCACTTACCCGCATCCCTACATTTCCCGCGGAACAACGTCCCAATCCGTCAATCCAACATTCCTTCAATGACCGGAAGAAAAGGAAAAGAAAAAGGTTCAAGAAAGCCAGCTATGTATAGGCGCCCACCTTCGACATTCCATTCGGAAGCAATAGCACATCAGCAAAAAGGACCTCTCCAGCTAAAGAAAGCAACCCCCCAGTTAGCCAACATCCCCAACCAGGCCCCCATTCCCCAATATCGAAGACTAACCAGATCTCATAAAGTCCTTAAGATGATGCCACTTAACATCGTAAGAAAGGTTGCCGACGTAGACGCGGCGATCCTGTTGCGAAGTCTCCCGAAGGTTCTCCATCATCTGTTGTCTGGCTGCGGCGCGCTCCTCGAAGGATCTGTGGGGAGCACCGCCGTAAGCTGAACCTCCCGAGCCTGCACCGGCACCAGCACCTGACATCGGGGAACGACTCCTACGATCTCTGCGATGGTCGTCGCGGCTGCGGGACCGACTGCGTGGCGAGTATGATCGGCGGCGAGTGGAACGACCAGGACTGCGAGAGCGTGGTCGGCGGGGTGAGCGAGATCTCTCGCGCTGCGATGGGTAAGTGTCTGTTTCAATCATCAAAGCAGAGTTGATGATCGGGGGGGGGAGGAGGAGGAAGAAGAGGAGGAGGAGGAGAGCAAGAGAGCAGAAGGAGATGTGTCGCGAAGTCGCGAAGTCGTGAAGTTCGATTTATTCCGGGTTTGTGTGGGTTGGACAGCCGTCAAGGTAAGGTAGTTACGCCATCTGGCTGTAACGAGGAAAGCGCACTGGCGCCTGCGCACGGTCCGAAAGGGTAAGGCTTAGAGCCTTGGAGTACCGACCACAACACCATCAGGCATCGGCTCGACTCGACTCGACCTTCGCGACAGCCTCCTAAGCTCTCACGACTCCCTCCCAGCCGTCATCGATATTCGATACTCTGATATTGGAGAGGCACTGCCGGGCGGGCAGAGGGGACGGGGAATGGACGGGGACTGGATTGCGACTTACAGGACGGTAACTGTCGTCGGGGGCTAAAGAAACAAATGGTTAGAATATGTATTGATGGTCTCTCTTCTTGCTTCTTCGTCTCTCCGTCTTCTCCCTCGGTTTTCACTCCCTCCAAACTTCGATGCCGAATAACGAGGCGGAGTTGGGGTTGGAGGGGAACGAGGAGCAGGGGAAGAAGCGGATCCGAACAGCTGGTGAATAACTCGGCACAACCACTGGTGGATTGAATTCCGGTGAATTCGGCTGTCGGTGGAGGGAGAAGAGGGGAGAGACAGGGCGGCAGGGAAAAGGAAAAGGAAGGGGAAGGAAGAGAAGAAGGAACGGGAAGGCTGAACAGGAGACGACATACCCATGGCTGCTACCCGCTATGCTGAGTGATTTTGTTTAAGAGGACCTGAGCTGCAACTGAATGCAGAACGACTGCGAGACTACAGAGTCTGCACAGGGATCAAGGCGGAGAAGGAAGAATCTGTAGGCGAGTTAATCCTCGGGGTGTCACTTGCGGGACCCGCCAGTCAGATAGAGGCGTGCGTACGTACGGTGTTTGCAGACACACGTGGAATAGTCGCTGTTTCCGGACGCGCGTGGGACGATCGCCTTGTTTCGGGGGGGAGGATGGTCGAGTAGGTTGTATGGAGAGGGGCAGGACACACGTCTCTTCTGCATCAACGCGGCATTGGGTGGTTAGCCAGGGGAGCTTGGAAGCGGACGGAGGTGGGCGGTGGGCGGTGGGCAGTGGGCAATGGGCAATGGGCAAAGTGTAATGGGCAATGGGCAATGGGAAGAGGAGGAGGGTGTGGCAGCAGGCAGGGCAGCGCTGCGGCGTGACCGTGACTGTGGGAAAGGGGGGAGGGGGAGGGAGCGGGAGGGGAGGCTCGGGAGAGAAGAAGGCTCTTACAGGCAGACGGCTTGCGCTTTCAGGCGCGGATCAAGAGGGCAATGAGTGACAAAAAGCGTCCAAGGGAGAGGACGAGGACCACCAATCACACAGCCTGGGCGCAGGAAGGATGTGGTGACACACGGCGACGAAAGAGGGTGGAACAGTCGCAGAGGTACCGTGGCCGAGGGGAGGTAAGGCAGGTGAAGTGAAAGGAGTGGAGTTGTGGAGGAGGGCGTGGATGTGGAGGTGGAGGAGGAGGAGGAGGAGGAGGAGGAGGAGGTTGGTTGGTTGGGCGCGACGAGAATCGAGAATCGAGAATCGAGATGCCTCTCTCTCACTCTGCCTGTTTTTCTGGCGCGTCTTTGCTGCGGCACGCGGGCTAAACCGCTTCCAGCACACACATAACCGAACGCTGCCTGTGCCCGCGAGATACTCCGCATATGTTGTATCTGATTCTGAAATAGATAATGGATAATTGATAATAGCTTAAAAATTGATAAGATGATAAACCAAAAATAAATAAATCCTCATTTTGGGATCATCTATGATCATCAAAATACATGTCATCACAATATATTCCCTCCTACTAATGCAACCCTCCCTCCTCAGGATCTTCCCCCATGTGCCCCCATCAACACCACCAGCGTTTCTCCTGCCCTCGGGTTCAAGATGCCGCAGCGGAGAAGACTTCCGACGTACAGGCGCGGATCTCCTGCGAGAATTAAATTCCTCTCTATATACCCCACCTACGCACCCGCATCAGGATCGTAGGTGCTGTGCGTCGGGTAGCGGCCGCGTTGATCCTGGACTCCAGATTCAGTTGGGAGACTCCAGGATCCCCTCTTCTCTTCTGCACTTCCCGTGCCTCATTCTTTATTAAATTAATATCACCAGCCCAGCGCTCCTGTAAGGCGAAGCCGTTAGGGTTACCCTCCCCCGACTGCAATCATTTACTAAGAAACTATCACCGCAGCCAGCAGCCAGCAGCCGGGTTCGCATGCAACTCATTGTGACGGACAGGCCATGGACAGGCCAGTAGCAGGCTGATGGCATGGTGCTGGCTGGACTCTGCTTCGCCCTTTTCAGTCCCATGCATTATCACAACCCCGTTTGCCCTTCCGGCTGCCCCCACTGGTTGCGATCGGCCCTGGGAGAGCAAGACAGAGACAGCCTGTGTCTTTACCCGGCGCACAACGGCATCCTGGAGCTGCCGTCCTGAAGTCTCAAGTCGGGAGGAGGAGGAGAGGTAGTTCTACTCTCATCCTTATCGTCGACAGTCTCCTGCAAACGTAGAGGCCGGCTTGGCAAATCCTAGACGAAGTGTGTATGCATTCGGGGAACCTGAGATCTTCCCGCCGCCCTCACTCCACTACTGCGACTCAAGGCCTGTTTGTTACTATTGCCTGTGCTGTGTTCCCATTCTTGGTGGATCATCACTGAGGATTGGAATTTGGAGGCTGGTTGTAAGCGCCTATGATGTTGCAGGTTACCAGATACCTTACCTACCTTAGTGAAGTGCCTCTAATTCTCACCTGCAGATCGGACTAGGACCATCATCGCATCTGTATCCGAGCCAACCCCAAGGCGGTGCTATATTGGAATCATGTGCAAATATCCATGGTTGGTTCTCTTTCGAAGCCGTTGGGAGAACCCCATGAGCGGATGCAAGAGTAGCCCCACGTATGCGGCCTTCACGCACGCGGCACGCTCCACCCGCCTGTCACTCTCCGCCGCCACTACAACCCGATGAGTGCATATATTTAGTTTTCCCTTTTGTGGTATATAATCAGATGGAGAGCAAGGCATCTACAATAGCTGTGTGACTATAGTCAAAGCATCTGCAAGTATTGTCCGTACGGCCTATGCAAGAGGGGCCGGCCCGCCGATCCGCTGAGACCCTTGAGTCTGTATATCACCAAGTGCCTATTTCATGCAGATTTCCCTTGTGTTGCTTTACACCAGAATCCCCAACGCTCTAAAGACCTGGAGGCTCTGCGGCTATTCGGATTCTCTGGAGAATTCTCTCCTAGTTAAGAAGGGGGGAGTAGGGCCAGGAGAAGTTATTCTCTTATACTGCCTTAAAGTCATAGGTCGTTATCCTAGGTCCTGTAAGTTATAGAATTTCTTATTCCGATTCGTAGCTGTCAAATAGCAGCCTCGACTACTTCTGACAATAAAGAAGTAAGTCTTATTGTATCGATTTGAAGGGTACAGATCATCACTCCTTATAATTCCTCTGCGTCATCTAAAGTTTGCATCGCTTTGATCCTATTTATTAATTCCTCTCCTCTTGACTATTTTTCCTTATAGCTCTTTTTTAACCTTATAGCTACATCGGCTTTGCTTTCCTTTACCGGGCTGTGTGTAATAATCAGAGAATGGTTCTAGGCACGTGTACACGTTACTTGACACCTTCTAGATAACCGGATTGATTATCACTATTAAGTTCTCTCTCCTTTCTCTCTCCCTTCTCTCTCCCCTCTCTCCCCTCTCTCTCTTCTCTCTCTATAGTTAGTAAGTCACTGTCCTTTCTAGTTATTAAGATCTGGAAATTCAATGCTTAAAGATTTCTACCCTTTTAATTCTCTAAAGTAGGGGATATTTTACATCGAGTTTACCTCGTAGAATACTTTGTACAATTAATACACCCCTCTCCCTCTTTAAACACCTAGAAGGGGGAGTTTGTTGCACATCTGACTATTTTTCGATTTTACGGACGTATTCCTTAGACCTTAGAAGATAGTTTTGTTGCACATCTAACTATTTTTCGATTTTACGGACGTATTCCTTACCTAGGCCTTAGAAGACAGTTTTGTTGCACATCTGATTATTTTTCGATTTTACGGACGTATTCCTTACCTACCTAGGCCTTAGAAGACAGTTTTGTTGCACATCTGATTATTTTTCCATTTTACGGACGTATTCCTTAAGGTAGACCTTAAAAGATAGTTTTGTTGCACATCTGATTATTTTTTGATTTTACGGACGTATTCCTTACCTACCTAGCCCTTAGAAGATAGGTAGTTTTGTTACACATCTGACTATTTTTCGATTTAACGGATATATGTTCCCTTACTCTACAACTTTCGAAAAGGTTTGTTGCTTACGGTAGGTATCTGACTATAATTTCGAAAAATCATAAAGATATATATATAACTCGAAAAGGGCTTTGTTTGCGACGTCTTTGTTTGTTGCTTCTTTGTCTGCACTCCTCGAAGTTGTAATATCACGTGGTTGATGCCTTCCAGGTCTTCGATAGACAGGTAATAGAAAGAAAATAAACTGCATAACTTTTTAGGACACAAATATCTAGGAAGATAAGAGCTGTAGAGCAAAATTCAGGTTAAGAGAATTATAAAGAAAGCAGATGTCTGTTTACTATTGTCGAGTCTTGAGGAATCAAGATAAGAAACTAGCAGCGTGTAACCAAGATACCTAATTAATTTATTAGCTGACTATAAATGAAGATCCTATAAGAATTGCCGGAGAAAGGGGGAAGTGCTAGCATCTATCTCTCGAGTCTCTCGTCTCTTGAAGCTCAGGGGACATACATAGCCTTGCGATCAGCCTCGCTCCACATCGGTAGTAGTCGCAGCCTCGCCTTGGCAAAAACTCCCGGCCGAAGCTCCAAACCTGATCAACGACGAGACTCTTCATGCCTCGATACACCCACCATGGCTTCCAAAATCCGGACGCTGCGGCTGCGGCCTCTCAATGCCAAACCATGCAACCGACTCTACCACTCCTATGAGCATCCGCCACCACCCGGCCCGTTCAATGCTGCCGAGACATCCATCCTGACTGCCGCGCTCCCCCATATTCCCTCTCACGGCTTCACACATACCTCACTCGCCCGGGGAGCTAAAGACGCCGGGTATATCGATGCATCGACCAACCTGTTCCCTAGTGGCGCGTTCAGCCTTGTACATTACCACCTCTACACCCAGCGCATGGCACTCGCTCGCCACAAACACATCCTGGAAGCATCGGCTGCGGATGGGAAGCCGCTGGGCGTGGGCGCCAAGGTCAAGGCGTTGACCTGGGAGAGACTGATGGGGAACAAGGAGATCATCCATCGTTGGCAGGAAGTAAGCCCCTCCTTACCCCCACCCCCCCTTTTTTTTATCATTCCTCGGACTCAAGTTGTTGATCGTGCAATCTTATATTATAGGCTTTGGCTCTCCTTGCCCAACCGTCCAATGTGCCCACCTCCGTTTCTGAACTTGCTTCCCTGTCAGACGAGATCTGGTTCCTGGCGGGTGATACCTCGGTCGATACGAGCTGGTATACGAAGCGGGCTTCGCTCTCTACTATCTACGCTGCTACGGAACTCTTCATGACGACAGACAAATCAACCGATTTTGCTGATACCAAGGAATTCCTGAACAGAAGGTTCACGGACAGTCAGGTTGTTGGCGGGGCGGTTAGAAGCGTAGGGGAATGGGTAGGCTTCACTGCACATGCGGGCCTGAACGTTTTACGGAGCAAAGGTGTAAGAATATAAGCTCGTTATTGATTATCTCTCTATGGACTATTGTACATCAGGTCGTTAGCAAGGATGGTTTTGTAAGAGTATGTCATCAAAATCAAGCTCCCAAAAGCAAGCCCGCAAAATCAAGAAGAGAGCGCCCCGTAGTTCCAAACTCCGATATCTCTTTTATAATGTACAGAAATTCTCACTACCCCTCGACCCTTCGCCATCTAATCTTCTATCATCTCATCAATACTTCTTTGGCCCCTCTCCCGTGGATCACCTAATCTGTAGAGGGTTAGCAACGATGCATTTATGTCCGGGTGAACTTTTACTAACTTGTGAATCCGCACATCTTCGCCAATCTCGACACCCGCCCCAAGAGCTTTTGGAGTGATGAGGATGAATTGCCGACCCACAGAGCGTCTGGCTGCACTGATCTATGACCTGTTAGTACGTATATCATTGTGATAAAAGGAACGTGTGGCTCACAATCATTCTGGTGCTAACATCTCGGTTTACGTCGTCCATGAAGACATCAAATTCATCCAAGCACCTCAGTGGTGCACCCATGGCTTCCCAAAGAGCTAGAAGTAGGCAGATTGACGAGAAGGATTTCTCGCCTCCAGAGAGCGTCTTGGTTGCCCGGCCTTTGCTACTTTTTGTTGTCTCATCAGGTTCCACGTGAACATCAAGCTTCTTATTTATGTGGTCGATCAGAAGCTTTCCCCTGAACGCTCGCTCGCTAAGCAGGTAGTTGAAATTGATACGGGATCTAGCGGAGATGAACTTTTGGAATCGTCGATACATCTCCATTCGGTCCATGAAGGATTTTTTAAGGAGCGCCGACAGCTCTGTCATGTCGTTTAAGTGCGCTTTGGCTGTTTCATAGGCCCTTTTTGCTTCATGGTATGCATTGTTAATCTCCTCGTCAGTGCCACCTTGCTTCCTGTTGTACGCTTTGAGGGTAGCCTTGAGCTTTATACATTTCGCCTCGAGGCTAGCAGCAGTTTCTCCCTCGTCGACTGGTATTCTCGGGCATACTTCAGTTGCTTGGGCGACAAACTGCTCGACTTGCGCAGCTACTTGGTCCCGTTTGCGTTCCGCAACCATCTTATTAGCCCGAAGTCTTTCGATTGCATCAAAGGCAATATTTTTTTCCGTGAGAGCGATCTGTCGAGCTTGTTGTGTGTTTCTGACTTTTATCTGTGCCTTTTGGATCATCGCTGCATGCTCGGCTACACGTATCTTCACGGCATCAAGCTCCCGCTTCTTGACCGCTGACACTTTGTTGAGTTTGTCTTTTTCCAAAGCCTGACTTCCGTAGGTTTCCTCATACATTGTCACATCTTGCTGTGCTTCTGCCAATTGCACCTTGAGAGCGTCAAGACGACCATCCTCAACATTAACCTGATCGTACTCCGCCTGCAGACGTTCCACAAGGTCCTCTGCTCTTTGAAGTTGGAGCTTTAGTTGTCCATGAGTACGCCTGTGCTGAGTGAGTTCTTGCTGACATCTATTCAACTTCTGTTGAAGAACCCGTCGTTGGCTTTCTAGATCATTCAGTTCGCGCTCCAGCTGAGCAAGTGCCTCCCTCTGAATACCGACCTGGCTCTCGACGTCTGTTTTCATCCTTGGGGCTTGACGAGGGTTAATTTTGACAGGGGTTATATCAGGGTCATCATGACGCAGTCCTGTGTACCCAAACCGGTGACCGGCGTCTCTTCTGGTGTCATGCTTGGTGAAACATTGCCGGACATTCTTTGGCTTAGGGCCTGAGTACATTACTTTCCAAGCATCGTCTCGTTTTTGGATCAAGATGGACTGCTCAATGGCTTGGTTGATGATAAGCTGGTTCTTTACAAGTTCATCGTCGATGTCCAATACCCTCAATATTGTATCATACTGAGGGTCAGGCTCGTGTCCAGCTGTATTGATTGGATGCTTGTTCCCAATCAGGATTGGGCAAAAATGATTGACGTTCAGTCGCCGCATAATGTCCGAGAGTCGCATCTGATCCGCCTTGCTGGTCACGACAAACCCGTTCAACACATTACCGAGAGTCGATTCTAGTATTGCTGACCACGTAGGTTTCAATAACTTGGTATGCAAGCCTATGGGGCCGATTGGCATTTCTCGAAACCCTCCATCATTCCGAATCGTTTGGATCAGACGTGGCATCTTCGCATCATATCCTGCCATAACGTTCCCTCGATCAGAGTTCAAGGCATCAAGTCGTTTCCGACACTCGTCAATCTCTCTCCGCTTTGCACCTAGGGGATCTCCTAGTCTCTTCAGCTCCTCTTCAGCAGCTCTGCAGTTTTCTTCGAGCCCTGGGGTTTTTGTCACGTTGTCATCAAGAGATGCCCTGGCCTCTGAGACATCTCGTTGAGCTGCTTCAATTTCCGCAAGCTTCCGATTATGGGCTCCTCCATTGACATCTTCCATGCGCTGCTTCTCTTCGGCAATGTCGCTCTCGTATGAAGCAGCTTTCTTCTTGGCCTCTTTCAGCAACATCTGAATTTGGCGCTGCTGAACGTGGGCTGACTGAACCTCGGCCGCAGCTGCATCGTTAGCTGCTTTGGCCGCCTCTTCTTCGTCGTTTAACGGGGCGGCCTCTTCTTCAAGCCGCTTTTCGGACTCCTGGGCGCGCTCCAAAGCTTCGTTGGTACGCTGAAATAGAATATCCTTGTCGGCTGCAACTCTTTCTGCTTGTTCAATTTCACTCTGCGCTCGCGCAACAGCGCCCTCTCGTTCAGCAAGTTGTGCCTCTACTTCTTCTACCTGTGCCCAAGCTAATTGGTTACCCATCCTCCGGAAAGCCTGCCTCATGCCTTCATGTTGCTGAACAAATTCCGCCTTCTCTCTTGCAGCTTCGGCCTTTTTCTGTAGGGCTTTGATATCCCTCTTCCCATCCTTGAGCTTCTCCTCGATTTGATCGCATGTGTCCGATACAAGTTTGTAGTCATTATCCAGTTGTTGGAGTTGAACACCTTCAACAAAGAACTTATACTTTTGGGAAGGGGTTGAATTTTGAATGAAAGACTTGGCGGCATCTTGCGTGAGGACGTTCATCGGATTATCAACTTGTAGTTGGTAGTACTCAATTATGTCGTCAACGTCGCCTTTTTTTGTAGAAATGGTCCGACCCATCGCATTCTTCAACCGATATCCACTACTTCCTCCCCTCGAAAAATGACGCTCGACGATGATCGATTTTCCATATACGTCTGGCTGGTATGCGTCGTTGCCCTCATTTTTCAGCTTGACAATCAGAATTGCCTGATCGGTGCCTCCCTTAATCAAGCTCTTCAAACTTGCCCCTCTGTTGGTAGCGCTAGCCTTGCCCCCCAAGCATAATGTAACTGCTGTGAGGACAGCGCTTTTGCCGCTTCCGTTCATGCCAACAACGAAATTTATCAGTGGCCCTAACTTGACGTGGAGTTTGTCGTGACACATGAAGTTAATGCAGGTAATCTCTTCTATGATGGCATTATCAGCAGCGTGGTTGTCTCCAATCTGACCTCTCCTCGCCAGAAACCTCTGTGTAGCGCGCTGATCGTCCAAGTCTGGATTCTCTAGATGTTTGAAGCCATTGTCTCGTATGGTTTCGTACTGAGTACTAGGAGGCAGTGCCGGATCGTCGCCCCCCTCGGCTTCTGAGGACTCGTCATCCTCCTCATCACTGGAGGAAATAGAAGAGCTGCGGTCGCGGGAACTTCGAGATTTCGAGGGGGGCTGGTCGGTTGAAATCCGCGCTCTTTTATGTCCCTGGTCCAGAATATATAAGTTAATGGAAGTATAAACAATGATGGCGTATGCGGAGCCGGGACAAAGGAGTGGAGGGGTAATTTGGCAAACCACTTACGGCATCTTGTCGCAAGCCGGAGCTGGCACTCTCGACCGCGATGACCTCGTCATCCTCATCTCGTCTTGATCGCTTTTGAGGTGCCATATTTGGGGTTTCGACGCCTCAAGATCAATCGATGTGGCCTGAGTCGTGCATTCGGGTTCGAGGCGCGTTTGACTTGGGAGATATCACCGGGTTACGCGTGGGCAAGGAAGTCGAGGCGCGACCACGCTAAACGAATAAATACGGAGCAAGGGTCTTTCCGGGAGGCTGCATAGGTGTCTGGAGTAAATCTAAGGCTCGGAGTCTCGGACTTTTCATCTTAGTGGCTTATCTAATGTTTACCTAATCGTACCTAGGTATACCGCAAGTTGGAGGTTTTACCTATGAGGTTTAGCGACCACGTGATACATCTCTCCGTCCTACCTGTTCAATTCTTTCTCATCGCCTCCTCAGTCTTACCACGTATCTTTCCCAACAACAAACTTTCTACCATAACTCGGATCTGGGCTAAAGTACTTCTCAACATGGCAAGCGCAGCGCCGCATTTCTCCCCTGCCTGTCCGATACCCCCGGACCTCGATGCACAGACAAGAGTCAAGCAGCTCAAGGACGCGCTTAAAGAGGACTGCTGGCAATTTCAGAAAGCGAACATCCTAAAACTTATCGAACTTTACGAAAGTGGAGAACTAAAACCTCCATCTTTTAGAGATACTATTTGGCTTTGTGATGGCAAAGTCTTAGATAAAGAACCCGGACTTGGTGATACTCCTAAAAATGCTATCCTTTGGGCTGAGGTCAGTCATTATATTTATTAAGTATGACTGTTACTTTTTCTAATCATAATCTTAGGGGCTTGGTATGCAGATGATGCAGCAGAATCACCCGCGATGATTGCCTATAGCAACTTGCTATAATTATTTGGGGCTAATCTGAAGACTACGCCTTGATTTCTGAAAACTGCTGTGATTGCTCCAAACCAGCCAGGACTACACCGGCTTTCAGGCCTTACCATGGGAAATCACCTCTATTTTGCAACTGCTCCCGAAAACACTTCTCTGTATACTGCGGTGAAAAGGAACGGATAGTCAGCCAGCTTCCAGTTGTGTAGGGAACGATTCAAGGGAAAAAAGAACAAAAACTCCTGCTTTCAGATTAATTTTAGGACTCTTAGGTGGTCCTATGGAATGGCGTTGTATACGAACAGTATGACATTTTGGGAAGGTTTTCACAAGGGTTAAGGCCAAATGTTACGCGGACACCCTTTTCCTCAGTTAGTGTTTATAACTATGTAATAGTAATTTTCTGTTTTAGAGGACCTTAACTTGGAAATGGTACTATTCGAAGGGAAGGACGCGAAAAGCGGCGCCTTTTCCTCCTGCTTACAGACCACAGGGGTAGTGTGGAATACGGAGTACAGTACAATGAGAGGAATACCTACCTACCTTAGCTCTCGTAGCATCTTTCCCGACATTCTCAATAGAAGACATTACATACTACTATTATATAGCTTTTACCGATACCGTATTTAATTTGTACGGTTTTTGGTAGTAAAGTGGTAGCTTTGAACTGTACCAATTAACACTCTGCCGTCACTCGCATTGCATATACCTCTCTGCCCGATTTCTCCAGTTAACTTGGTAAGGCACATACCCAACTTATTATCCTGCGACGCGCCTTCTCATTTTTCTCATTTTTCTCATAATTCTATTCGCTGACCCTATTGAATGCTTTTGTCTACGCCTATCATGTGACACGGGAAAACAGAGAGATCTTGAGGCGTCCTCAAACAGCTTGCACCGCAACGGTGAGAAACAATGAAGCCTCAAGAGCTAACTTCCTCCGCAGCCTTCAGCGCAACCGCAAATCGTTCCTTGAGATCTTCCGCATCCTCTAGTCCCACACTGATGCGGATTAGATCAGCGGGAATCCCAAACTGTGCCGCCCAGTCCAACTCTAAAAAGTGTGCTAATATAACGTATGGCGATGTTAGGGTGAAGTTCGTGCCTAGACTCGGTCCCTTCGCGGTCTCAATACGGTCAAAAAAGGCAATAGCCTGAGCCTTTTCATGGAAGGTGAAAGAGAGCAAGCCCCCATATCCTCCGTTAGGTGTTCGGCAATCATCATAAAAGACCCGTGAGGGGTTGTACCTTGGGTAGTACACATCCTTAACCAGAGGATGTGCTCGAAGGATATTACAGATGAGGTCGGCATTGTCGTTGATCCTTTCGATCCGGGACACAAAGTGACGACTATTGCGCTCCATAAATATTACGTCCTCGGCCCAATAGTTGTCTTCGTATTCGGCCTTCGCTATCTCCTTCAAAGATTGATAGTAGTGTCCACGAGGATTGAGTATCGCACTTCCTCCCATAACATTGCATTCCCCAGAAAATATCTTGGTCAGACTGCTGACAACGATGTCGGCGTATGGCAGGACATGAACGTTGATAAAATTACCAATCGTTTCATCAACAACCACAGCAAAATCATAGGTATCAGCTAGCCGGCGAATGCGTTTAAGATCTGGACATTTCAACATGGGATTGCCAGGGAACTCGCAAAATAAGGCCAGGAATTTTTCTCCTGCGGCCAACCGGGCCTCGAGGTCATCAAGGTCCTCTGACGAGCCATTCCCATAGAAAAGGCATCCTGGCCCAAACTTTTCCAGAATTTTAAGAGTGTCGACGTAGGGGAACCCAAAACAGATGCTCTTGAGTTGTCCCCTAGCTTGGAGCAACATTTGGTGGCTATTAAATATAGAATTTATCCCACAAGGATAAAGATAAACATCGTTTTCGGAAAGGCCAACAACCCCACGCGCGTTAGAGTTCATCTGTGGGCTCAGCGCTGCAGCCAAGTCTACCTCGCCCATCAGGGACCCGGCTATCCGCCGACGGATCGCTGATTTCGCATTCTCAACAAATCCAACGTCCAGGTTCCGACCGAAGCGCTCTTCCAAGAATTGTGAGCTCTCTCGAGTTTCTGCATTACCGTCGGTAGTTGCAGTGTGCTGGGCGTCATCACTGTCTGGCACCGCGTTGTGCACTTTGGGGGTATCTATGGATTTTGTTTGATATCTCCTTGGACCCCTAGAGGTTTTCTGGAAGCCACCGGGCGCGGGCCGAAATATGGCCTGGTCAACTAAGATGCCCTCCCGGAAGAGGCCGTGGCAAAACTCTGCGCGTCTACTCGAGATGCCATCTCCCGAGTGCTGCCAGTACTGCTTCGCTATTGGAAACAGTTCTTTGGGAAATATGACGGCGGAAATAGAAGGTGATAGTTTTTTGAGTGTCTCTGAATTTGCTTGGCTCCTATCCCAGACCAAATCAACGACTTTGACTTGATCAACAGCACTTGCTATTGCTCTAGATTTTATGAAAGCAAAACATCTCTGGGCTGTCCTGCTGGACGGGAATAGCATTGCCTGCTGACCAGGATTGCCATATGATCCGACGATGTCCTCAGCAAAGGCGGCAATGAGCTTGTGAATGAAGAAGCTGGGTCACGCGACCTCAGTCAGTATTGCAAATCGCTTTCAACAGAACAATCGAGGCATACCGTGGATAGCCAGTGGTCAGCTTGCTCATCACTCGCGGTTGTCCTTCCTCGTAGCCTATATTGTCTTGCCATGTTGGAAGAGACACGCTGGAAGCCTACCCCACCAGAGTCAGCGTTGACTGGGACTCGCTGTTTCCCACCGACGGATGAGCTTACATGGGGTGTGAGGGCAGGAATCGACTCCCCGAGCTCGATGATAGACATATTTGGAAAATGATATCAAAAGCCGGTTCGATGTGTGTAAATCGAAGGTTTTGGCTTGAATAGGAAACCGTTTGAATTTTATCCGTTACCGGAGAGAGAGTGGGTTGAATTGAATTGCACCATGCTGTAAATACACCCCCGTGAATTCTATAGCTACTTCCTTCTTACTATAATAGGTCTAGTGACGTTAGCTCCCGCAACCTTAAATTCTGTACCTAGCGAGAAAGAGGCAGAAAACTCAGCCGCGGGGAGACCTGGAGACTTTTTTTTTCGGTTTGGACATCGATCTCCCAGCACCCCGCCAGCAATATAACACGATGGCCCCCATCTCTCCCAAACGGCGAAAGCTGCATCACAATAATGATGAGGCAGACTCTGCCAGCGAGGGTTTCGAAAGTGGCGGCGACGATGTTGGCTCCCAGTCCTCCGCTGACGAGAGAACAACCACCGCACCGTTGAAACAAATGCAAGCACGGGCGAAGCATGTCAAAGATATCGATGAAAGTGCCCTTTATTCTGGAGGGCTTTACAAGTCAAACATGTTCAAGCTGCAGATTGACGAAATGCTTGCTCAAGTGCAACCGAACTACGAGAAACGAATGCCTGGCGTAAATGAAGCTTTGCACAGATTGAAAAGTCTAATTGAAGCGATTGAGGATCGGGAGATGCTTCCAGTATGTCCATAAATTCTCTTTATCCATCTATGGGTTGGCTCTGACTTTCGTGAATAGATCTCAGATGCAATAAAAATGCTACACAAAGCACACAAGATCGTCGTTCCTTTTCCAGACCCCAAACCTGATAAGAACGCTGCATATAAACTAGCATATGCAAAGCCATCGAAGATAAATGTTGTTGGCAGTTATGCTATCAAGACTATGATCAAGTCAGACAGCGCACTATCTGTCGATATGGTGGTTGTCATGCCACCATCCATCTTTCAGGAGAAAGACTTCCTCAACTATAGATACTTCTACAAAAGAGCATATTATTTGGCTTGTATCGCAGCAGGCCTGCAGAGCACTGCGCCGGATGAGTTTACATGGACGTTTGAGTATCTAAATGGAAACAGCCTCCATCCAATCTTAGTTGCCAAGTTAAATTCAAGTGAGTGGAATGCTTCACTGAGATCAGATTTTTCACTAACACAATCCAGAAGAGAAAACGAAGTCAGAGTCGCATTTCGAGATTCACATCATCCCTGCTGCGCCAGAATCCTTCTTCGCAGACTCAAAATTGCGCCCCACGAAGAACTCGATCCGGCCAAAAAATGGACCAGAGAACCAGCCGACTACACTACCGCCTTCTCCTTTCTACAACGCCTCTTTGAAGTCTGATTGCAATTTCGAGCCCTACCTTAAGCTTCTTCATTCCGCCTCGAAACAAGAAAGTGGTTTCAAGGATGCCTGTATCCTTGGCAGAATCTGGCTTCGTCAACGAGGATTTGGAAGTTCTATTTCAAACGGAGGGTTCGGGCATTTTGAATGGGCCGCTTTAACAGCCCTCCTATTAAAAGGCGGCGGACCAAAAGGACATGCCTTTCTCTCACCTGGCTACAGTAGTTATCAGATGTTCAAGGCTGTTCTGCAATTTGTCTCGACAACCGACTTAGCCAATAAACCACAGCTTTATGAGGCAGCAGACTTTGTTCCTACGAAATCAGACACGCCAATGTTTTTTGATGGTCCTCGAGGACAGAATATACTCTTCAAGATGACACCTTGGTCATATGAGCTTCTACGCGAGGAGGCGAAGATAACAGTCGAGATGTTGAATGATTCGACTTTTGACCAATTCGATTCAACATTCATTGTACGGACTGCTCAACATTTGCAAAAGTTTGATTGCTTGGTCCGTGTACCGATTCCCACCACATCACCAGAAACATTTTCATGTGATCACAAGCCACACTTGGCCAGCTTCAGTGGCCGCCTCTTCGAGGTGTTACGGGAAGGTCTCACAGATAGGGTGAGTTTCATTGACATTAGGGGACCGGATTTACCTCCTTGGTCGCCAAAATCTCCATGCCCAGAAATCGGAGAGCAGTCATCGTTACTTGTTGCTGTTCTTTTCAACCCAGCAAACATTGACCGCCTTGTGGACCACGGACCATCTGCAGAGGAGAAAAAGAAAGCTGCTAAATTCCAGAAATTCTGGGGTGAGAAAGCGGAGTTGCGACGATTCAAAGATGGTAGCATTCGTGAGAGTTTGGTGTGGTCGCCTGGCTCGTCATACGCAATCTTCCAGGATATCTTCACTTACCTCATCAAGCGACATTTTGAACCAGAGATGAGTAAAAGTCTCACATTCGTTGGCGAGGGATTCGAGAAGTTACTGCCTGGTTATGGACAAGGTGCAAAGGCTTTCGATGCTCTCAAGCAGGCCTTCAATAGCTTCGAAAGACAAATTCGAGATCTGGATGGTTTACCCCTGCAACTGAGACAACTTTCAGCCATTGACCCCCAACTGCGATACTCAAGTATTGATTATCCATTATTCAATCCTCGACAGCCTTTGGAGAAGCCTGCCGATGTTTTGATTCAATTTGAAGGTTCCGGAAGGTGGCCCGACGATATCATCGCAATCCAACGAACGAAAATCGCCTTTCTGCTAAAGATAGGCAGTCTTCTACGAGAAGTTGATGATAGCATCACAACTAAACTTGGCCTCGAAAACGAAGACCAACCGTTGAAGAATTGCGCCTTCCTGGATATAGTCTACGAATCTGGTGCTTCATTCCGTCTCCGAATCCACAATGACAGGGAGCAGACTCTTCTTGAGCGTCAGGTCAAGGATAAACTGCTTGATCAACGTACTAGGGAGGATGCTGCTTCGGCATTGTCAACATATAAACGAACATTCTTACAACTGCCTCTTCATACCCAGTCAATTGCAACTCATTGTACTCGCTTTCCCCTATTATCTTCGACAATTCGTCTCGTGAAGATGTGGTTTGATTGTCACATGCTTTCGAGGCATATCAGCGAGGAACTTATCGAACTCCTCGTCGCACGAATATTTTTACAGCCACATCCGTGGCGGGCTCCATCGTCTGCGATGTGCGGGTTCTTGAGAACATTGTTGTTTATAGCCAGGTGGGACTGGCGCTCCACCCCACTCATTGTGGATTTTACTGGGACCTTGACCAGCAATGAGGTCACTTCTATCAATACCCGTTTGGAAGCATGGCGGAAAATTGACCCGGGCATGAATCGAACTGTCATATTTGCAGCATCTAACCATGATACGACCGGTACCGCTTTCACAGACAAAGGCCCCTCAAAAGTGGTTGCCGCACGTATGACCGCACTTGCTCGTTCTGCCTGTAAGCTTCTCAAAGACCAAGGTATGGATCTGAATCCAAAATCTCTGTTCGTGACCTCGACAACAGATTATGATTTTGTGATCCATCTGGCCCCAAAGTTTGCCGGTGAATCTGTTCGGAAAAGCTCAACCAAGCACAAATTCAAGAATCTCGAGGTACAATCGGATGTGAACCTTGAGTTAGTCGGATATCAGCCTGTTCAGCTGTATCTCAATGAGCTTGAGAAACTATATACCAGTACTATAGTCTTCTTTCACAGCGCGGTAGCTGGATCGACCATTGCGGGATTGTGGAATCCTCAGACGCTAGCCTCGCGATCGTTTAAGGTTAATCTCCCATACGCCTCGAAGCTAACTATGGGAACGGATAAGGGAGAGGTTGAGCTTGATAAAGATGCCATCTTGGCCGAGATTGCAAGACTTGGAGGGGACATGGTCCTGCGAATTGAGGTTCATAGATGAGCATTCTGTTGCGTGGGAGAAGAGAAATAGCCGGAAAATAATATTGAACCATTGCATCTACCTCATTCTGTAGAGGCTCTATAATTGGCTCTGCGAGTTCGTGAGACCAATTCGAAATCATGCCATTTAAAGATAACCTGTCTTCCGGTGCGCCATGTACGTTCTAGGAGATGGCGGGATGTCGAGTCCCTGAGTTTTCGCGCCCTCTATCTTTCTCATGGCCAGATAGATAGCCGTTCTGCTTCGGGAGATATAATACATATACATCGTACCTTTCCAGGTGGTCTTGTTCAGATCCTGGCTCTTCTTCTCCCCCCTCAATGGGAGGGATGTCATCACGTGATCAATAACATCTCGGCAAAATCTCCCACCCAACCGAACGAACCCTCAATTTTTTCCCCCCACGACAGAACATTTCGCGAATTCCCTCAGTTCACAACCAAGTCTTCGACGAGGTAATTCGACGGAGTCAATATGGGTATCGCATTTGACTACACGCCCGACAGGCCAGAGCACATAGATGCTATATTGAACGGCCTTGATCGATACAACCCAGAAACCACGAGCGTCTTCCAGGAGTACGTGACGCAGCAATGCGAGGAGCGGACAGTCGACTCTTACGCAAACCTGGCTCTTCTGAAGCTGTAAGTTTGTTCCTCCTTCTCTCTATTCATCTGGCAACAAAAGGACCAATGTCAAAGTGATGATTATTTTTTAACGTTTCCTATTACCTGACGGGTATGGAGATTGAATCCCTCCAACCCCCTGAAGCTATGTTTATTAGCTCTATCTGAATGACATCTTCTGCTACATATTTGCATCTGTATAGTCTGGCAAAGATACCATGCTGACACGTCGATGCAACTCCGCAGATACCAATTCAACCCCCACCTCGCCAGAGACGAAACCATCACTAATATTCTGGTCAAATGCCTGACCATCTTCCCGTCCCCCGACTTCTCCTTAGCGCTTCACCTGCTCCCACCCCATATCCTCACACCTGTCTCTGCTTCCTCTGCACTCCCAGCAGCTGGTGACGCACCTCTCTCAGAGGCTGTCCAAAAGCTGAATGTCCTCAACAACCTCCTTAGTCAAGCCTCATACAGTGCCTTCTGGAGCACCCTTGACAGCGATGATCTCTATGCAGATCTAATTGCAGATGTCGCCGGCTTTGAGGAGCTGATCCGGATACGAATCGCACTTACTATCTCGCAAACAGTACGGGAAATCGAGCGGTCAGTTCTGGAATCCTGGCTGGGACTGCAGGGCGAGGCCTTTGATAAGTTCATCACTGGTGTCTGTGGGTGGAAGATCGAGGGAACGACTGTGAAGGTCCCACTAAACAAGGAGAACGAGGCAAAGAGCACGATTGTGAGGGAGAATGTGAAGATCGAGCAATTCTCGAGGGTGATTCGGAGGGCCTATGAGCAACCTGCTTGAGCATGGCAATCCTGATGCGTCGATGAACTTGCATAGCATGGATGGCTACTTGAGTGGCGTTTACGGATGGAGTTACAAGGGCCTTGGGCAAAGGGATGAGACTACGGCGGCGTTGTATCATAGATCAACGATTTTGATAAGCCACTTGTCGAAGCTTAAGGCTTCACTGCACGGGAAAATAACGAAGAGCATTCTCCCAAATGATCCATCTATTTGGAACCTTGGAATTCGCATGTGACATACCTCAAATGCAACAGCTACGTAAATACCACTATTCACCAGCGCCCCTAATTGCGAAATAGATAAGAGGTTGTCTCGTATGTTGAAGACAAGTCAGGGTCATTATTTACCTGAAATGGCTTGTGCCGTTCGTAAGGGGACTGAATGTCATATGCCGCTGCAAGGGCAACTTCATGATCGGATTCATAATATCATTCATCTTCTCTCACTAAGCTCTTCCCACTGCACACCTGCCCATTCCTCCACATACCCCACGCCCTTGTCCACCCCCTTTTGCTGACAATCTCTCTCACAGACACCACAGATGATGGTTCCCCACTCCATACCATCAATGCCCGGCTCATCTCTCTCCAGTTCCATAATGGCATGCGGCGTCAGCTGCAGCTCAAACACCCTGCCCGCCCCACAGTTCGCACATCTCGGCATCCCATTCCCACTTCCCCCGCTCGTCGTGACCTTCGCATGATCCTTCGCCGAGGAGCCTGCCAGTAACTTCCCCACGGCGTCGTTTTTCGAATATAGTAAGGGCTGTCCCTTGAACTCGTACCGGAGAACCTGCTCTGGGTTCTGCGCCAGCCGGTCCGCGAACTTCTGGAACGTCTTGTCAATCGTGCTTTCGTAGACGACCTTGTCTTCCTTCTGGTTGCCGCCGGAGCCGCCGCCTTCGTCAAGATCCATGGTCGGGGTTGGGATGGGGACGTCTTCTATCTTGTCGAGTTCCTCGTAGTCGGGATCGAGATAGTAGAGCGGGTATGGGGGAGGAAGCTCGGATTCTTGGGGCCACGGTTCGGGTGGTGGCGGCGGTCCGAATTTGGGAGCGTCGTTGTTGAGGGAGAGGGCAGATGCAAAGGTCTTCGGAAGGTCCGAGGCTGGGGATTGGGGTGGCTTGGCTGCTAGCTCTGATGGTGATGGCAGACCTGCAGCTGCGAAGGGATTACTGGAAGCTTTTGAGGAAGATGTTGAGAAGGGGTTTTGAGAAGTCGAACTTGTTGCGTTCGTTGAGAATGGGTTTGCGGAGGCTGGATCTGATAGAGGCTTTGCGCCAAATAGGGTCTCTCCAATATTAATGGCTGGTTTTGGTGCTTGTGTTTCTTGCTTTGGTCCCTTCTCGTTCTCCTTCCTCTTCTCCTTTGGAGGTTCTGATATCCTGACCCCGCGCAACAGTCTCACGCTCCCTTCCTTACGCCTGCAGGTCTTGCGCCGGCATGTCAGGACGTACAGTCGTCTCTCGTGTCCTGGGAAATCGGGGAGCTCTCCATTTAACTGCAAGAGAAGGACCATGATATCATGGCACACTTTGCATCTCGCGAGGGCGGCCGATGGCGGGGTAGATGGGTCGATCCAGGTCTGGGAAGAGGAATGTCAGTACTAGAATCTCTAATTCTCTACAGCATTCCAGGAAAACAGAGGAAAATGAGTACTCCCAGAGCCAAAAGACTAGAAAATACAAAAAGAAAAAAGAAAATCGGAACGTACTGGTCTCCCTCCAAGATGGCTGATTGTATCGTCCTTTGCTTCTTCGGACGAATAACCCAGCAGGACGTTGGTCACCGTATAGTCGTTGTCCTCACCATCAGATGAGTCGCTATCATATGGAGCCATTTTGCAAAGAATATGGCACGGTCGTGCGAAGAAAATGGAAAGGCAGACGGTAAAGGCTGTGATGGTGGGAGAAAAGCCTCTCGGTCTTCGACATTTTTTCTCATGACTAAGCGAGGCTGAGAGTCGCATGCTCGGCTGGGTTGATGATCGTTGGAAGAATAGAAGAAAACCTACCTAGCTATTGCAATGTCTTTTCACGAGGATTGCCGTGAGAGTCTTCGGTCTCATTCTTGATTTTCTGTCTTCATATTATCACACACTAATATAGGGAAGACACTCCCTCTATATAAAATATCCTCGACGCTCGCACGCCTGCGCTTTGCTAGAAACCAATACATGCCTGAGAATCTTAAGAGAGAAGTGGTATATCAAATACGCATTTAATAACTCCATTATTCATATGCCTGCAGCCAAGCGCCGTGAAATGCGAGAATGAGAAAATAAGAATTAGTAAGCGCCGCGAATTTTAGCATATAGGTCCGTATCAAGGAAGTTGTAGTTAGGGTCATGTTGGCAGAAGGGATGTTGAGAGAGCAGAGTATCTGCGGTCGGGCGTTCGGAGGGAATGCTAGATCTCCAGTTAGCCTCTTCATCCGGCAATTCTTCTTGAGTTACTTACATGGTAAAGCAGTCAGCCATAAAGGCAACCGCTACAGGGCTGATGGTCATTCCAACATCATCAGGAATAGGCGGGGATTCGTTCAGACTGCCTAGCTTGTAGATTGCTCCTACAGTTTCCTCTTTGCTCCAAGGCCTCCTACCCGCGAACATCTCAAGGACCACACATCCAAGAGACCAGATGTCAACCTTCGCGGAGTACCCTTCGCCTTGGGAGCGGATAACTTCAGGGGCCATCCAAAAGACCGAACCCTGCATCGAGTTCGATGCATCATTGCCGTAGATGTTGTCCGTCTTCTTGGAGATACCGAAATCTGATATCTTGCACGTCCCATCCAGATCCAGTAGAATGTTATCGGCCTTCAGATCCCGATGCAGGATGCCCTCCCGATGAAGGTATGCCAACCCTGCCAGTGTCTGACGGGTCAAGGAGCTCACCACCTTTTCCTCAAATTTGCCATGCTTTCGAAGACAGCTTCCCACGCTGCCACCGGAGATATACTCAAGAAAGATGCTGATAGACATCTCCTTCCGCTCACAGCCTAGGTATTGAACAATGTTGACATGATCGAGATGCTGCATTGTATCGATTTCTTGGTCCAAAGCTGCTACCATCTCGCGCATCTTCTCTTTATCGTTTCCGGCAGCTTTGGCGCTGACTTCAACTTGCTTGACGGCTAAGAACTCTCCAGTCGTGGCATTCATTCCTAGATACACTCGTCCGTACGTACCTTTGCCAATCAACTGACCCTTAAACCAGCGGAAAGTTGCTTGCCGCTTTGGAATGTTGTCTTGTGGAATTTGCGGTACGATTGTACTGCCGCGTTGGGGTTTGATTTGTACAATATTAGCACCAAACATTTTCGTGCTCTTCCGGCGGAGAATTGTGCCCGATGCATCACCTTGCTGCGTCGGGGCTGTAAACCGCTTGTTTGCTTCATGTGCACCCCTTGCTACTTCACGGATGGATTTCATCCGTCCCAAGCCCCCAGAACGGCGGACATTTCTTTGCGCAACGCTCTGCATTGACCTAGGCGGTTCCATTGCCTTCAGGGTCGACTCGTCTGATCCCAAGGTATCGGCGTCGTTGTACACTGCGCTTAAACGAGGCTTCATTTGAGGTGGTTCATCGTCAATGTCTATGCTTGCTTTCCTTGCTGCCGGTTCCAATGGAGTGTCCGGCGTGTCTTGTTCTGCTATTGGTGACACTTCGCCACCGCCTACTCCGTCCTCTAGAACAGGTTGATCGAGATCCAAATTTGGGAAGTAGTCATCCAGATGGTTAATGAGAGCTTCTGCTGGAGGTCTGTTCGCCCACACATCCTCTCTCGCAAATGATTCTCGTCGAAGTAATTTGGCATTCATTTCCTCGGACGATTCTGCAGACCAGCCACCTTCTGAAGCAGAAGCCGCAGAGGCAGGAGTACGACGCTGAGGTCGTTTGCCTCCACTCCGAGAGCTATCAGCCTCAAACTCTGGAGTTCTATTAGTATTGGTTGCTGCATTATTGGAATTCTGCTGCGACGAAAATGACACGGACAGCCCCTTTTTCGATCTCGACGTCCTGATTGTCAAGCTTGGGCGTTTCCCAATCCCTTCGGAGTCATTAAGATTCTGATCAGCCGATGGCGCTCTTCTAAGACTAGGCTTCTTGGCTGGTTTGCGAGAGGCTATTGGTACCGCAAAGAGACCATCGTCTGAATCATCGTCACCCGAATCGACTTGCTCTACTTGGTCGTTTGAATTGCCGAAGTCTATATTTGATTCTGTGAAATCAAAATTAGGCCCGTAAGACTTGCGGTTTTCCGAGGTAGCATGGGCCTCCGGACTGCTTGGACTGAGGTTGGATGGAGAGGCTGCCCTTCGGTTCCCTTCTTCTCCCACTTTAGTCATAGAAGGATCATCGGGCGTCTTCAAGGATACAGAGACTGCCTCTTCACCTTCTGGGGAATAATCGGGAACTATGAACGGAAGAGTTCCTTTGCCCCACGTTACACTGCCAGGCGTGCCGCCGGCAGATCTAGGACTACTTCTACCAGAGCCAGATGTTCCTAAATCCACCGTTGACATTGCATTTCGGTTACCATCCGTTTGGTCAACACCACTATTTGGCGTTGATCTCTTGCTTGGTGATGCGTTTGAGGAATGACTTTGACCCCCACCTAAGCGATTGCTCTTGCCAACCGACGCCGCACCACTGCCACCACTGGCTTGTGGGGATGCAGGCACAGGTTTGCGGTAACCAAGCTCGGTCATCTCCTGTAGCATGATGGGGAGGGTCGGGGACGAGTCACTATCAACGCTTGTAAGGGACAATCTAGATTGTTGTTGATCTGTCCTCCTGCTTAAGGAGTTGGCTTTGATCAACGTAGCCGACTCAGCTGGTGGTGGAGGCGGCTTTCTTTGGGGTAGGAGGCTATCAAGTTTCTTGTCTTCGAAAGGAGAATTCCGCGGCTGGTCAAAATCGACATACCGGCCAATGGTAGCAACTGGGCCATCAGCGGGTGAGTGCGTTTCCTTGGCTTTCTTCTTAGCCAAGTATTCCTTTTGCCGCCGTTCCATCTCAGCTTTGTGCTCCTTTGCAGCTAGCTCCATGAATGCTTGCCTCTCAGACTCAGGAAGCTGGCTTTCTCCTCCCTCTTGAGATGATTTGAATTGCATCAATCGATCTCGCAGGGCATCTGACTGGGGATCGGATTGGGCATTCGGTGTTGACCCGCCTGCCTTGATTGTATTCTGACGAGAGCTTGGAGGAGATGAGCTAGACCGTCTTCTTGTCCCCGAGAGTCTGGCATATGCTTCCTCGTCTAATGGTGCTGTTGGAGGTAAGATAGGAGACAATCCCAACTTATTTGCAAGTTTTGCTCCAAAGCCTGTAGGTTGAGGCACACTCTGAGATGGAGTTGGGCTTGCTGGAGCGCGGATATAGAATTTGAGGCTTCCAAACTGGTCTGCCTTGGTCCGTCTATGTAGGAGTAACTTTGCATCATCAAGTACCTCGTCGTGCTTGACTTTACCAAGTTCGGTCACATATATCTGAGCGGATTCGGTGTCTTGAATGCCTAGATTGGAACATATTGAATTTCGAAGCTCAAGTGCGGAATCGATGTCAGTGACGTCGCACATACGGAAGTTCCAGCCGTCAAGTGTAGCAAGGATGAAGGTTCTCCCCGGAGTATTGCGTCTACCGCGATAACCTGTCGTATGTGCAAAGCGGTCATATTCGGAAGCAGAGAAGGTCGAAGAAGGTCGATCTAGCGAAGTCTCACTGGAGTTGCTGATCTTGCCATTTCCCAGAAATGGTGGGGGTTTGAAGCCTAGAGATGGGCTTGTAGGCGATTCAAGGTTTGGTTCTTCTGGAGACGGTGCAACTCCATCTTCCTTCTTCTTCTTTCTGAAGTGCTTGAGGAACCCTTTCGATTCTTTGGCTGAGGTAGGCTGCTCCAAAGCGATTGACCGATCACCGGTGTCCACCGGCGAAGGCCGTGCCCCATCAACACCATGACGACGGCCATCTTGATTGCGCACAAGACTCGTTTCGCCCACTGCTCCACCCATCCCACCTCGCAGGATATGACTCGCTCCAGCAGGTACACCAGAACCATAAACTGCTGTACTTGACGAGATTGAATCAGTGCTATTGTTGGAACGATGGCCGAATATGCCACCACGTGGCGAAACTGGGATACTCCCAATGATTCCAGCTTGTATCGCCGCAAGAGTAGCTCCTGGACTGTCCGGTTTGGGGCTACTATCCACTCGGAGAGCGGGTGGCCTGAACGGACCATCACCTGCTTCACTACCGATGCTGGGGCTATGCCGATGACCCCCATCTCCCCCATCAACAGTACGAAATGCATTTCGAAACCCGCTTCTATTCTGCGAGTTGTTACTTGGCTCTGATTCCCCCAAAACATTGCTGTTACTGCTTAAAATAGGCATTGTGGCGCTTCGATTGGAGAATCTCCGTGTCCCAAAGCCCGGTCCGGCGGCTTTCAACATCTGCTTGCCCGGGCTATCATCGTCACCATTCGTCATACTTGGTGTTGAAATATGGATTTCACGGCCAAGATTTGGGGAAGATTCCAGAGTTCCCTCTGTGCCAGCACTAGGAACATTGGCCGTCGAGGATTCCCGACGAGTGTGGGACGACTTGGTCATGTCTCCGCTTTTGCCAGTGACGATACCCCTGATAAGGCGACGCATCCTCTTGCCCTCTTCCCGCTCCCTAGCTTGATCCCAACCAGTACCGCTATTAGCGCACTCCTTTGCAAGGCGCGGGTAGACTTGTTGATGCATCATCCCGAAGTTGCCTCGGCCTCCATGCCCGCTACCTAATTCGAGAAACACAGAGCCGTCAATGTTGAGAGCTTTAAAAGTCTCTTGCCAATCAGCCGAGAACTGATTGCTTGCCAGCCATAATAATACCCTCTCCATGGGCCATTGCGACCCGGCATCGATAGGCGAGTTTGAGACATTGGACTGGTTACTTGCGGTATGCTGGTGGTTGCCACTTGGAGTGGCACTAAGGCCCTTGTTTGCCTGTTGCGAATTGAAATGATTTGATGCGGGCGGTCCCGGGGAGTTGTACTCGGCCACATGAAGGTTATTATACCGCGATATGGGTGTCTGTGTCTGGTATCGGTCTTGATAGTAACCGCTACCATCTAAAGGTGTTGTAAGGCTCGTCTCGAAAGTATCTCTAGAGTTTGATCTTTCGGAAATAGCAGAGAAATCAGAGCTATCTCCTCTGCTGAAGCTTGGTTCTTGTCTTCCAAAACCAGGTATGCCCACACCAGGTCCGAATGAGTCCCCATGCGGTATATATGTTGCTGACATCTGATGCTCATTGGCGGGCGGTGGGGGAATTGATAGGGGCGGGGGCTGTGGGTTAACATACGTCTGGCTGGGATTGTAAGCCTGATGTTGAGTATTCGAAGGTGGATTGGGCGGTGGGAGAGGAAATCCCCTCGAATCATATGATCGACCCCAGTTATTCTGCCAACTCGACTGTATTCCTCCTGGTGGAGGGCCTGGCGGAGGAGGGATCATAATGCCCGGATGCTGGTGGGCCTGATTTGCCACAGGTCGCGGAGGAGGAGGGGGTATTGATATAAAGCTTTGCTGAATAGGAGGAGACATTGGCGGAGGCGGTGGGACATATTGGCGCGACGGATCCGCCACGGGTGGATGTCGCTGCCCTGGCTGATACATTGGAAGAGCTGGGCCAGAACGCGTGGATGGTTGATAAGAGTTTGGGGGAGTGTATAAAGGAGCAGGCAAGGAATCTTCAGTAGCTGAGCGAGCCCTGGACCTTGACGGAGAGCTTGAACCGGCGATCGTGGGGTAGGGGGAGCCAGTTCCGTATATGGGTATTGATAGATTTGCGGAGCCGCTGAGCTGATACGTGGGGATGTCGTCGAGGAGGAGACCGCCGTCTGTAACGTCGAGCTGAGCGATTGATGAACGATCTCTGGGCGAGGCAGCGGGGGCTCTGTTTGGGTCTGGAGTGGTTGGTCGTGCTGAGGGGGACCTTGAGCGCGAACCGGTCATCTTAATCCGCGCATCTTCGTGTAGGTCTGCAGGAACGGACGACTTCGAGCGGCGCTCCTTGCCTCGCTCCCTCGGACGGAATGCTCGCGGTGGGCGGAGGAGAGACTACCGCCGCAGGGTTGGTCGTCAGGGCGGTTGTCAGGGCGATTGTCAGTTTAGTCGGCGGGATGGTCTGGAGCGTCTTGCGGGTGGAGGAGAGCTAGGCAGGCGGAGAGACAAAGGCGGTCGCAGACAAAGAATGCAGGAGGTCGGGAGTTATGGATGATAGATGATTAGAAGTTCAGAACATTGGAGCTGGCACGGCTTGGCATCTCCTGCGATGCGACCGGGCTTTTTCGACTTTTCTCTCGTCCCGTTTCCCGATTCTCGTTTCTCGACAGAGCCGCCTGGAGATGGTCGGGGGGAGGTCTAGGAATGTTGGAAGTTTGGAACACAACTTCACCAGCCACACACAGGGACGGACCTCTGCGCTCGGATAAGCCACGGATAAGCCACGCCGGCAGTTGGGAAGGTCATTAGCGAGGGGATAGGGGCACGGCGAGGGGTGTATATAAAGATTCTATATGTCTACACCTTCCAGCATGTCTTCTGGTACTTGGTACATCGTGGGTACCTTGTTGCAATGTCATCTCTCAACATCCATCATCCATCATCCACCATCCACCATTCATCACATTCCTTTCTCTGCAGAGGCTATGGGAAACAGTTCGCGCGCTTCTTGGTTGGTGGCATCTGCTCCACACTCCCCGCAAGCGATTCTCACATATTATATACCTTGTTACCTACTTATACTTCGCGCGAAGTACAGATGGACTAGGGACATCCATACAGTACACGCATCGGTCGGTACCTTGGGTCGGCCAATCGTGCCTGTCTAGTTGATATGGTTTCCCCACCGTTCCCGCCCTTCAATCGATCGTACGATTCATGGACGGCGTCATAGCCATATAAGTGGCGCGCTTTCTATAAGGTAGATCCTGCCGAGACATCATCCTCTGCATTCCTTATCGTCATTACATCATGTTTCTGTTACCTTGCCTTGCCTTCTTCTGTGCGTTGCCTCTTGCTTTCTGTTCTCTTTATATTCTCTTTTTTTCATCTTTGATCTCCGCTACTTCTCGCTATTTCTTCTCTAAATCCTGAGTAAAAGCGTACCTCGCAGAGATTGAGCACTCAATTGAGAGCCGATCTCCTCCAACATGACGGACATTCGTACCGCTGCTCTCAAGACGCCTGTCGACGTTGCCGAGTACCTCTTCACAAGACTCCATCAAATTGGTGTCAGATCAGTCCACGGCGTCCCTGGAGATTATAACCTGGTAGCACTTGATTACCTTGATAAGGCTGGTCTGAAATGGGTGGGCAACGTCAATGAGCTCAATGCTGGTGAGCTTCCCTCAAGCTGCACTAGATGGAAATCAGCTTTCTCTAGGATATTATATTCAAATATATATGCCCTGTCAGAGCTATGTTTGATGATTGAAATTTATTCATTTATTGATTGAGCTCGTTCGCTCTTTTTGTGTCTCTCCGCCTCTGCCCTTTCTTTTTGACCAAGAGAGCTGCGCAGTTTAGTCCTAACTCTCCTTCAGGCTATGCCGCAGATGGATATGCGAGGGTGAAGGGTATATCAGCGATTATGACCACTTTTGGAGTGGGGGAGCTTTCGGCGATCAACGCTATAGCAGGCGCATACTCCGAGCATGTTCCCGTCGTCCACATCGTCGGCACACCTTCAACTCTATCACAGAAAGATGGGATGCTTCTGCACCATACACTAGGCAACGGCAACTTCAATGTGTTTTCTGATATGAATAAGGAAATTAGTTGCAGTATGGCCAAGCTCGAAGACGCTATTGAGGCTGCTCCGCTGATCGATCACACCCTTCAACAATGCTGGATTCAAAGCCGGCCAGTATACATTACTCTTCCCACTGATATGGTCCAAAAGAAGGTTGAGGGAGAACGGCTGAAGACACCGATTGATCTACGCTATCCCGATAATGACCCCGCCAAGGAAGACTATGTTGTAGAAGTTGTCTTGAAGTACCTTCTTGCGGCTCGCAATCCAATTATCCTCGTGGATGCATGTGCTATTCGGCATAAGGTACTAGAGGAGGTCCACGATCTAATCGCCAAGACCGGATTGCCCGTTTTTGTAACACCAATGGGAAAGGGGGCTGTGAACGAAACGCACCCCACCTACGGCGGCGTCTATGCCGGAGATGGAAGCCAACCTGAGGTCAAGGAGTTTGTTGAAGCTTCAGATCTTATTCTCACAATAGGCGCTATTAAGGTAAGGATTGAATGTGGTGCATGATGGTTCAATAGACTAACGCCATATAGAGCGATTTCAACACCGCCGGATTCTCATATAAAACTTCACAGCTCAATACGATCGATTTCCACAGTACGCACGTCACTGTTCGATATTCTGAATACCCCGGAGTTAGCATGAGAGGTGTTCTACGCAAAGTCATCCAGCAGGTTGACATGAGCAAATTGTCAGCAGTTCCTGGTCCCAAAATGAAAAACAAGGTCAAAGAGAACGAAGATAATTCAGAAACCATTACCCAAGCCTGGTTCTGGCCGAGAGCAGGAGAGTTTTTGAAGGAGAACGATATTATCGTCACAGAGACGGGAACATCGAATTTTGGAATCTGGGAGACCAAGTTCCCCAAGGGCGTCACCGCTCTTAGTCAAGTATTGTGGGGTAGCATTGGCTACTCTGTCGGTGCTTGCCAGGGGGCAGCGCTTGCTGCTCGTGACGCTGGTTTAAAACATCGAACTATCCTGTTTGTCGGCGATGGCTCTTTACAGCTCACAGCACAAGAGATCAGTACAATGGTCCGTCTTAATCTAAAGCCAATCATGTATGTCCTCGGTTTTCCAAAAGTATATACTTCAATCACTCACCATATTTCACAGATTCGTAATTTGCAACGAGGGCTTCACTATTGAGCGCTTCATCCACGGCATGGATGCAGTTTATAATGACATCGCACCGTGGCAGTTCAAGGAGCTCCCGAGGGTATTTGGCGCTCCGGAGGGTAAGGTGAAGACCTACCAGGTCAAAACCAAAGCCCAGGTGCATCAACTACTCGAGGATAAGCAATTCAGTGCTGCCGAGGTTCTCCAATTTGTTGAATTATACATCCCGAAGAAAGATGCTCCGAGGGCATTGAAGTTGACGGCGGAAGCTAGCGCGAAAACAAATGCGAAGCAGTAATGTATATTCTGGAATTCCTCTATGAAGTTTGGGGCTCTATCGACGAAGGAGTAGGAGGATAAATGGATGAATAATGAGAATGAAAAGAATGGCTTCTTCCACTATATTAGACGCTTGTGAGAGACAAATTGGCCGTAATGAAAAGTCTGTGTGAAGTTTACCAGATCCTCGACAGAAGTCCAGCGACTCGGCCAGGCCCTGGGGTCACTCATACCCCGCTGCAACGAATGACTCCTTTCTCGCGACTCCCTCCCTCTCCGAGGCAACTTCATCTTCGTGCCAAGTCATTCCAGATATCCTGGACAGCCTCTTGAATCCAACAGAAACCAAAGGCCCTCTTCATCACACCAGCTCTTTCCCCATCCTCACAATAGCCAACACATCTCCATTCTCCAACCTCTCCTCCACCCTCCCCCCGATCAACTCCCCATAACCACACGATGCATAAAACGGCACCCCAGTCAACGTAGACCCCATCTCCACCCTCTTAAACCCCGCCCTTCTCGCCGCCTCCTCACAAGCCCTCAACAAGATCCCACCTATGCCCCTCCTCGTCCACTCAGGATGCACGAAAAACGCCCTGATCTTCGCCGCGTCCCTCTCTGGATCCAACACATTATCATTTCGCGAATTGAAGACATCTCCCCCATACAGCGTCGCGCGGCGTGACCAGCCCCCACAGCCTACTACGATGCGGCTCCCTGCTGCTGTGGTTGGGGTCTCGACTACGAAATACGTCCCGTCTTGGAGCAGCTGCGTGTCGACGCCGTATACGTTCTTTAGCGCGCTGCTGATCTGGGTAGGCGTGTAGTGCGCGGTGTGGAGACCCCGCACTGAAGCGTCGATTAGGAGACGTAGCGTGGGGATGTCGTCTGGTGTTGCGAGGCGGAGATGGAATATTGGATTGCTGGCTGAAACGTCCATATTCAGGCGAAGAGTTTCGCCCCCCCGTGGTGTGGGACTTCTTCTTCCTTTGGGATTTAAAAAATGGGAGGGGTATTGGAGTGCTGTATATAGATACCTTAACTTATCTATCTATCTCCCTATCTGGAACTTGGAGATGAGTCAATCCCCCTAACCCCCTGGGGATCACGTGAAGGATTGGGAACGACCAGGGGTGTCTGGGATTCAGAAGCTGGTTGATACATATCATGTATTCCTCAAGTGATAGAGGTGTTTTTTGTGGGTCAAGAGAACACTTACATCTACCAAGGCGCAAAGCATGTGGTGGGTTTCTTGTCCCGGAGAGGCGGGATCTTCAGGGGGGTTAGTCACGTGTGTAAATTACTGTTTAGATTCTGGGGGTAATCCAGCGCATGTTGGTGATTATGATAAAGGGTGTCCCTAGAGGAGATCTGAAGTGGTGGGTTGGACTTCTGTAAGGGACCCTCGGGGGAATTTGCACAGGTCTGCTGGATTTTACTCAAAATATATATGGATTGGACCTCAAGTCAACGCATATCTTTCTAGAGCATTATATTATTCGACTATGGACTGAAATAATGTTTTGTGTTAATTTTATTGTTGGCTAGTGCCTGCCTATAGGCATACCAGTAAGGGATCTGAAGAGACGTTGTGAATGATAACTGCATGAGTTGCTCGCTCACCTCCCCTTTTCACCTTCTGCACTTGATCCCCCGCCCACCGGGCAGCTCGCAAAGCCCATAGCCGGCTTCATTCAGGAATCAGGGAAAATCATGCCATGAGGGAAGGATGAAGTTGGCTATTCCTCCTGGACGAATATCAAGAGCAGGTTTAGTATCCAGATACGTAGAAGGGGCGAGTAACAGGCGTTAAGCTATGAAGAGTGAATATGAAAGCTCTTGCTTCCAGCACACGAATAATTGGGGAAGGTCTCGTATTCCAGACTTGATCTTCACATCTGCGCAACCCAAGCATGAGTTGAGACAAGCTTTTTAGGTTGTTGCACGGCAAGAAGAAGATAATAGAAGGCAGAAAAGAGATAGGAAAGCACAGAAAACAAAAAATAATAAAAAAGCACGAGTCGTTGACCATATAGAGGCAAAGGGACCCATTTGTCGACAGCACTCCAAGCTCAAGACCGGAGTATTTCTCGGTGATGTTTTCCTGCAAACCCCAGCCCGAGCAGGTGCTTGGTGTTGGACCGCCTGAGCCAATGGAAAGAACACGAGGGAGGTGGCCCGGGTCAAGGGAGGTTCTATTCTCCCTTTCCCCTTTGCCAGTAAACTATGATGATTTTGCTAGACCCAGCTCAGGAGAAGAGGAGGATAAGGGTAGAAGAGGAGAGTGAGAAGAATCCGACAAATTCGAAGAATCTAGAAACAGCGGGTGTTGTCTGCAGAGGGGAGAGAATAGGTCGTCTGCGCTAGTAGCGGGGGCTCTCGCTTCTGGGTCCTGATGGAACAATTACGTCGTTTGGCCAGTCCAGATCCAAAAGACAAAAGATTCCCAGCTTCTCCAGCTCTGCAACTGGCCCCTCTGCTTCACCTACAGAAATTCTCTTAATCGCCGCCTCGTCGCATCGTCGCATCATCGATAATTCTACCGTTATAGCTGGATGTATACAGTTCTCCTGCACGCCTAATCAATTCCTGCCCATCGCCGAATAATAGCTAATAGGCGTGGTACCCCTCATAAGCCCAACCGCTCGTCACCTCTTTGTCACCTTTTTTCTTCTGCTCTGTCCCAAGAGTACCCTCCCCTCCACCAGTCCTCTTCGCCCTCATCCACGCCGCATCTCTCGGTGCCCGTTTCCACCAACATCGAATCCCCTCTACATCCTCAAGATGCCTTCCTTGGTCCAGGAGCCCAAGGTGCAAGGCAGGTTGCTGGTTGTGTCTAATCGCCTTCCGATCACGATCAAACGCTCTGACGATGGCACATACGCATTTTCCATGTCATCCGGCGGTCTCGTCACCGGTCTGAGCGGATTATCAAAGAGCACTACCTTCCAATGGTACGGCTGGCCCGGCCTGGAGGTGCCAGATGCTGAAGCTGGACCCATGGTGAAGCGACTGAAGGACGAGTATAGCGCAGTCCCAGTCTTTGTCGATGATGAACTTGCAGACAGGCATTACAATGGCTTTTCCAGTATGTCTCGCTACGTAAAGTGACAGTCGATCGTACTGACAAGACCGACAGATTCCATCCTCTGGCCCCTCTTCCACTACCACCCCGGAGAAATTACGTTCGATGAGTCGGCATGGGCTGCATATAAGGACGTTAACCGTCTTTTCGCGAAGACAATGGCAAAAGATGTACGAGATGGCGATTTGATATGGGTCCATGATTACCATCTTATGCTCTTGCCAGAGATGTTGCGGGAGGAAATTGGCACGACAAAGAAGAATGTCAAGATCGGCTTCTTCCTCCACACCCCGTTCCCGAGCAGTGAAATATACAGGATTCTGCCTGTGCGAGAGGCTCTACTCCTAGGTGTTCTTCACTGCGACCTGATTGGTTTCCATACCTACGACTACGCCCGACACTTCTTGAGCAGTTGCTCGAGGATCTTGTAAGTCTCCACGGCGGTATAATTCGGGATGCCCTTTTTGTTAACAATCTACAGAGAAACCCCAACAACTCCGAACGGTGTCGAGTTTCGAGGTAAACATGTTACGGTTGCTGCCTTTCCCATCGGGATCGATCCAGATAAATTTGTCGACGCCCTGGAGAAGAAGTCGGTACAAGACCGTATCGCCGTGCTCGAGCGTAAATTTGCAGGCGTCAAATTAATTGTTGGAGTTGATCGACTCGATTATATCAAGGGAGTTCCCCAGAAACTGCACGCTCTGGAAGTGTTTTTGACAGAACACCCTGAATGGATCGGCAAGATCGTCTTGGTCCAAGTAGCAGTCCCAAGTCGACAAGATGTTGAAGAATACCAGAATCTTAGAGCTGTCGTCAATGAGCTCGTTGGAAGAATCAACGGCAAATTTGGCACGATCGAATTCATGCCGATCCACTTCCTTCATCAGTCCGTCAACTTCGAGGAACTCACAGCGTTATACGCCGTCTCCGATGCTTGTCTGGTCTCATCAACTCGCGACGGCATGAATCTTGTCTCCTACGAGTACATTGCGACTCAGCGGAAGCGACATGGCGTCATGATCCTTTCCGAATTTACGGGCGCTGCGCAGTCTCTGAACGGTGCGCTCATTGTCAACCCGTGGAATACCGAGGAACTCGCTGGCGCTATTCACGACGCTGTAACGATGTCTCCTGAGCAGAGAGAAATCAGCTTCAAGAAACTGGAGAAGTACGTCTTCAAGTATACGAGTGCCTGGTGGGGCGAGTCATTTGTGAGCGAGTTGCTCAAAATCAGTGATCACGCCGACAAGAAACAAAAGAGGATCGAGAGTGGTGCTACGGACCCGTCGAATGAGGTCGCTGACGGTGTTACAACGACAGTCGCTACGTGAAGCAGCGATAGGTAGATAAGATCAGGAGTGGAACGACTGAGAGCCGTAATGATGGATACCAGACGACTGACACGAAGCCTTCTTAATCGCCCTTTATTTATTCGTATTTGTTTTACTGTGCTGTAGCATTAGCTTAAGGAGTTACGAATACCAGAGGGACTACAAGAGGAATAGATTGATTTACCATCCAAGACTTTGATAGTCCAAGCTATGTCAGGGGCTTAAATTCGTATATCTTCATTGGGTTTTATCTCTCCTGGAGTTAAGCCCGGCCGAAAATGAACCCAGACATGAGCCATTTGCGCAGTGATTTCCAAACCGTCCGCAACAGCCTCCTCTCCTCCTTAACCCAAGCCCCAAGAAAAAAATCCATAAGAGGATCTAACCATCCAGACAAGGACCAACACTCCTAAGCAAGTATCCCTATCCCTATATCTTACCCAACAAAGGGGGGCAAGATCACGTGTCACCTTCTTTCCAACCTCGGAGCGGAAAAACCTGCCATCCCGACCAAAAACTCGCGAAACCTCCCTCACCTCTCTCTGTCTCTGTCCAGAGAGATCCATACAGCTACGAGCCCGCAAGATAATATTGACGGACGACACGGTCGGCATTTTTCTCTCTCTCCGCGAAAAGATGGCGTCGACGATGACGAAGATGGCGCAGCAGGCGTCGAAACAAATCAATGCTGTGGTGGTGTCGGCGGGCCTGATGCAGAAGACTGTGAAAGTACGGGTTGGTGATCAGAAGTGGAATAATCATATTAGAAAAGTGCGTTCGTTATTTTCATTCTTTCTTTCGTTCATTGATCTCTCCCTCGCCCTCTCCCCTCTCTCCCCCCCTCTTCTCTTTCTCGAATTCCTCTATTACAAGATATACTCTCCCTCCATATATATATGTGTGTATGAACTAACCCCGGGGTCAGTATTTCAACCGGAAAGCCCACCTCCTAGTACATGATCCGCGCGAATCCCTGCGCGTCGGCGATATCGTAGCTATCACCCCGGGCTGGCGAGCATCCAAACACGTCCATCATGTAGTGAGCAGCATCATCGCGCCGTTCGGAGAGCCGATCGAGGCGCGCCCGCCGGTGCCGACGGAGGAGGAGAGGGTTGCGGAGAGGGAGGCTAGGAGGCTGGCTAAGGCTGAGAGGAAGAGGAGGAGGAAGAGTGAGGAGAAGAGTGAGGGGGAGGCGAGTGGGGAGGAGGGTAAGGAGGTGAAGAAGGATGTGGAGGCGTTGAATGTTTGAGGGTGAGGGGTTGGCTGAGAGAGAGAGAGAGAGAGGAGGTGGATGAGCATTGTATGCATATACTTGGCGTTTGGGGGGCTTGATGTATAAAATGGGAATGAATTCGCCTTGTATTATATCATATACGGTCACACTTAGCATGTGGATGAGGACTGTATAATGTTACATTGGTTCTTCTCCAATGGAGGTGTTACTACGCTGCAGCTTCTCAGCTTCATCTATTGCCGAGCAGCCTTTTATTTAATTCATACAATTCATTGCTAACACGATCATTCATCCCAAAACCTAAGCCTCCTAACCCGCTAACCACCACGCTCACCAAACTCCTTAGCCCAATCCTCAAACTCCTTCAAGCCTTGCTTGCTGACACTAGGTCGAATATTGACCAAACTTGCTTCAAAGTCCTTGAATTGGATCGGACGAATCTGATCCATAGACATGTGAAGCAGAGCTTCACCAAGAGACCGTAGCGGGCCCATGGCAGCATCCTTGGCCAAAGCCGTAATGTCGGATCCCGAAAAACCTAAAATACCATCTAATCAGCATATGCTAGTCAAGGTGCGCTGGGAAGAACGTACCATCCGTTAACCTAACCAACTCCTGGATATCAGCCTCACTAAGGCTATGCTTCTGGTGTCCCAAGAGGGTTCTCAGCTGCGTTGCCCTAGTTTCATCCTCCGGTAGAGGAATATACTGCCTCCTAACAAAACGACGTCTCGCAGCTTCATCAATGGCCCATGGAAGATTGGTAGCCGCAAGGACTAGAACCCTACTAGGATCACCTCTTTCTTTCTCCTTATCACTCTGCTCCCTCCCTGCCGCGGCTCGCTGTAGGTCGCTCCACTGGATCAAGAATTCCGTCTTGATACGTCTCGAAGCCTCATGTTCACCTGAGCCAGACCGCGAAGAAAGCAAGGAGTCGATCTCGTCTACAAAAATGATACTGGGCGCCAAAGCTTTGGCAAGAGAGAAGAGGGCTCTCACGAGTTTCTCCGACTCGCCCAGGTACTTGCTCGTCAAGCTGCTAGCCGAAATCGAGAAGAAGGTTGATTTCGACTCAGTTGCGACAGCTCTTGCCAGCATAGTCTTCCCCGTCCCAGGAGGTCCAAAAAGGAGCATCCCACGAGCGGGTTCCCTGAGACCCATAAATAGATCTGGCCGAAGAAAGGGATAAACGACCGCCTCTTTTAACGCCTTCTTGGCAATTTCGAGACCTGCAACATCATCCCAATGAACCTCGTCTCCATGTACCACGATTTCGTTGAATATTTGTTTCGCAGCTCCTTCGTCGACACCTTTTGGCAGGTTCTTCATGAGCTGTGCAACTTTCTCTTCCCAAGCCTTCTTCTCAGGATCAGTACTCGAAGAATCGGAATCATCAGATGTCGGAGTGGTTGGATCCGCAAGGATCAGATCTTCCCTCTGCTTCTGCTTCTGCTTTTGCTTCTGCAAGTGCTTCCTCCTTGGGCTGACTTCATAGCCTTCACTGCTATTAGTGTCATCGTCGATACTGAGAGATGACATATCCAAATCTTTGGAGCGCCTGGCATCACTTCTTCCAACCTGTCTCGCATTATTCCTGGCTTGGTGTCGATCAGAATGTCGAGCAGGTGAGTTGCTCGCTGTTGCTGGTCTCCTTGACAGCTTGGGAGAAGCATCAGCCAACTTGATGTCGGCCCCATCTGCTACTGCCGGCTTGCGCCGCAGCGGAAATTCAGCTTCAGCCTTGGCTTTTTTGGCACTCGTCTCCGGATATTCCTTGAGGTATGTTGGATAGGATACAGGTTCGAAATTGATCGGTTTTTTTGAACGAGGTGGCGGTGGAGGAGGCGTCCTTTTAGGCACAGGGATACTGGGTTCAGTCAGAGTAACATTAAGTGGATCATGCGATGCCGACGAAGTAAGCTTCGATCCTGTAACAGCATCGGCATGGTTTGGACCGGCTGGTGGGAACAGATAGTCATTCGAACGGTCCGTAGAACCAGATAACTCATGGTTGCCTGGTAATATATCCACCGGGCTTGGAGGTCTGGGGGACCTGTCGTGGACAAGGGTTCTTGTCCTACTATCATATCGCACATTACCTGACGAGTAAGACCTTCCACCCACTCGATCGTCAATGCTTCCTTTCCGACTGGAGTCTGATAGCGTCGTGCTGCTATTATAAAGCTCCGGGTCCTGGCTACGGCCAAGTTTATCTCGGCCTGTCCTGCCAAGTGACTGCCACGCCAGCGTTGCAGCTTTATTCGTCACGAGATTTGCCGACCTGCTGGACCCAGATGGTTTCGGACTTGGCTTTCTTTTGCTTCTATCAGACGATCGTAATGTGTGGAGCATGGTTCTTCCTTTATCAGGACTCTGACTTCGAGACGTCTTCTTCACTGGCGGTGCGAGCAAGCTAGAAGACGATGCGTTCGTTCTCGAAAAGTGTGCAGAATGTGAAGCCTGATCTGACCCTTTGCTCCCTACAACTGCACGTTCAGAGCTGCGCCTTGGGAATAATGAAGGTCGCTGTGGCAGTGAAGGCGGTCGTGAGATATCTGGGTAGCTCACGGCAGGGATTGTGCCGTTCCCAATATATCCTGGTTCACCGTGCTCGATCTCTGAAGAGTGTCTTGACTTTCTGGAAGGAGAAGCCCTGCTGGCCTTGCCCTTGCGCTCGTCTATTGACCTCTCGCCCGAAGCCTCCTCCAGTCTCGATTGTCTCAAAGCTTCAAGTAAGTCCACTCTCTCCTTGCACTGCATCTCCATCTCCCTCAGACTGTCCTTCAGGGCCTTCTCTGTCTCAGATCGCGGTACGTAACCGGCTGGAACTCGGTATGCATTGTGATAGTAGATATGGTCGAGCGCCGAGCGCCACGACCGCAAGGCTTCTGCTTCATTGCCCTAGAAGTGCCACAGCGTTAGAAGGGTATGATTCGGCGGCTTCGAGCCATGCACAAAGGGTGGAGAGGGGGGAGGAGACGGCCATACCTGTCCTTCAAAGTAGACAGCTGTTGAGCAGATCAGATAGCACTCATCGTACGTCTTCTGGAGCGACGACGCCGTCTTGTTTCGCATCATAACCGCGCGTGAAGCTTCGTGGTCGGCTCATAGAAGTCGTAGGATAGGAAAGCTGTTGCTGTCAGTGAAGAGCGTGGTAGAAGTCGTTCTTGGCGGGAGGTTGACCATGTGCTTGGAGGCCTTTTCCTGGACAAGGCTGCTGTGACGTATCTACGTATAGCGTAGCAAGGTGGAAGGTGGGAAGATGGGCCGTTGCCAGCCTACCGACCGGAAAACAAGACTCCAGGGTGAATTGAAAAATTTCAAAATCAAGTCAGTTCGTCGGATGTCACAGTACTGAGTGACTGGCAAAGTTTATCGGGAATCATTGAAGGATGGCGAGCGCAGAGTCGTCCCGTAGGCCTGATGGGATACGAGCGAGGGCGCAGGGCTACTGAGTAGTGGAGCGCAGAACCATTTTTAGGGTCGGTCGACTCTTGGAAGCCGGGAGTCCTTAGTGGACAACGGTTCGATTTGGCTTTCTGGAGAGCCCAAGTCAAGATCCAGACAAATGTTGGAGGAGGAGAAAAGATTGGAGGCGGCTGCTTTCTCCTATGTGAGGCAAGGCAAGGCAAGGCAAGGCCAATAAACCTGGAGTTGTGGCGTGCCTTGCAAGTCAAGGGTAACAAGAGGCGGGGTTGTCCTGGTAGAATCCCCCACAGCATCAAGTGGATCTCGTGTCAGCAGCAGGAGAAATGCCGTTTGGCTACGATTGTTGTGTATAGTATATATCTCCACCGCCTCAATTAGAATTTTCTTTCCACCCAATTCGTGATGCATGAGGGCCTATTATTGTAATCTTCAGAGTATTACCCATGTACTTACCTTACTTGTCCCTAGCCAATATTAATAAGCAGCGCCCAGTTACAACTCACAAGATAGAACGGTCACAGAGCCCTAGACGGGCTGCGGCGTGGAAAGGTAGAATATAATCGAGACTCTTCATTCAGGCTTCGGTTTCAGCCCCTCATCTTATAAGTACATAAAGCAGCTAGCTAGCTCTAAAGGTTTTTTTATAACCTTGTCACCCCATGCTATTTGAACGCCGTTGAACCTGCCCTCTCGGAAAAGTGAAAGCGCTCATGACCAAATACCCAGCAGCCTCCAAGAAAAGAGATCTAGGAGAAATATGTACAGATCGAGTTGATCTCGCGAATGGCGAGCATTCTCCGGCGACGCAGAGTCAGGGTAGCGAGTGTTGAAGATATCCAGAACATGTTGTCCCGTGCAAGCCCTGCACGTTCCGGGAGAGCGAAAACGTGTGCAAGCCTCAGTGCCAGAGAGGAAGTATTAGAGCGTGATTTTGATAGGCTGAGAGGCTGCAGTCATCGACTTGAGGATTGCATATCCCTTCCTGGTGAAGAATCCTCATAATGTCAAGGCATCCTAGACAATTGAATCATTTTGGCGGATGAAGTAGGCCCTGGGAGAGCGCGTTAGCATAGTCCCCTCCATTTAGAGGTTGGATAAGACTTACTTGCAAGCCTCATACGCCGACCAGCAAATAGCAGTGCTCGGCATAGTTGTCACCACACGAGGTCGTACGCCCTTGAAGAATCCCTTTAGGCCCTCTCTTCGGCGAAGTAGCCGACATCCCTCCACGAACCCATTTACGTTTCGCAACTCAGCATCGGTTGCTGTCCCTCTCGTCTGTAACATCGTCTTAACCACGTCCATTGGCGTCGTCAGGGCCGCAGCAAAGCCTCCAGCCACACCACCAGCAACACAGTGAGTTGTTGGATCGTAAGCTTTCTTTGGATTCATAAATGTGGATATCGATTCGTAGGCCAGAAATTGAAGCGCCGTGAAGGGGACCGTCATAGACAGTGTCGTGGGATAGGAGACGTAGAAGGCAGATAATCCTTCACTCCGGTACACGTATCTGGCGCAGTCGAACATTGATTTGTACATCTTTCTTGACTCATGAATTTGCATGCGTTGCTTGATGACTTCGGAGTATCAGCTCTGGTCTAGAAGGACAACCAGAATTAACCTACCATCGAAAGGGTTCATGAGCGCATCGCTGGCAATGGTTGCGGAAGCTCCGCTCGCGGCTGGCCAGGCGTTAGTCCAATCCTCGCGAACAAGAAAAATGTCACCAAGACCTACCGGCAGCTAAGGGGTGGTGCACACCAGCCTGATTACCCCCCATAACATGCTTCACTGCTTCGTACGTCGCAAAGTAAACGGCATGGGCAGGTCCTAGGCCAACTGTCAGAATTTTTGAAGTTCTCCGGCCCAGCCTCCTTGCGGTAACCAACCTGCACCAACTACCACGCTCGACATGCCGCGCCATAAACTCAAGATTCCCTCTCCCGACGCTATTCGATAGCCTCCTTGTATCATGCCATTGTAGACAGCGGAAGGTGTGGGGTTGAGGATTTGCATTCGTGTCTGCGAAGGCTGTCAATATGGCTCCTGACATCATTGTATAATGAACACAAAATATTGCGCACCTTGATAGCATCAATTGGGTACATAACAGTGTGCTCCTATTGAAACCTGGTTAGCTTTTTGGAGGAGAGGAAGTCCCGTGTGCGAAGAAGGCTTACGGCTATGCCAGCAAAGGCGCCGGCGACCATGTTCTGGACGAGGGAAAAATTGGGTGGAAGCCCTTCATAGCTATTTACCAACAGTCAGCGATTTGCCGGACCCGAGGTGCAAGTGTTGAGTGCGGCGATTCTTGTTGTTGCACATACTCATACTCTTCGACGGGCTCTGCATTTGGCTGGGCCATTTGGGCCACTGCCACAGATCCTCCGTACGTATTCGATTGCAGAGCCAGGGTGCCGGCTTCGTGGAAACTCGACGGGAACAACAGGAGCTTCGAGACGAGCACCGAGGAATCAGCTGGATGTCGGTCGGAAGATGGATGGCGTGAATCGAAGGAGATCGAAGATAGTGAGCAAGAGACACGGGCGAAAGGGAGGGTGGACAGAGGGCGAAGGGAGAGTGAGGGTGGAAAAGAGTTCGCCGATGATTATTTTGCCTCTGGGGGAGGTTTTGGAGGCGGAAAGGTAGGGAGGCGCTAGGTAGGTACGGACATAGAGCATGTCAAGTAGCGCGAAAGAGCAGGGGTTGACACCGACGACGGGAGAACGTGAGAACGTTTGTTTCTTTGACCTGCTTTTGCCTTTATTGATTTATTGCCTACTTTGCTTAATTTATGAGGGCCCTTAGATCAGATACCGGGCCCGACGGGGACGGACGGGGCCTTTTTATCTGATCCTCTCCTCCGCATGTACCGAGGACTCTTCGTCAGCTACCGCATGGGCCTATGGCCTGGAACGGTTTATGAATCCATCCATCAATCAATCTTCGTCAGACACAACACTCTCTCTTGCCATCCGCCTCCGCAAGCAACGCCTCATTACTCAGCTTTTCTCCGGCCTGGGAATTGATTCATGGGTTCTGGCCGGGAGTGGCATATCTCCTGGCTCTCCCTGGCTTCTTCTCTCTTCCTTGCACTCGGCTTTTGCCCTCTGTCTTGGCTTTGCTTGCTCTGGCTTGAGTGCCCAGGAACTATATAATAAATATCTCATGTGCACGGTCCGTCGTCTGGGATCACGGGACCTGGCTAACAACCTGGTTACCTTACCTTACCTTACCTTACCTTGAGGCTTGACGGCGTCGGAAGGTGGAAACAATGAGAAACCGGAAACAAAACTTAGGATCTAGAATTAAAATATAGAATTAAAATATCGCTGCAGATGACACGGGCTATTAAGGCCTAATTGATACCAAAAATCTCCAAAGTCTGCCCTCCTCGCCATGTCATGATCCCCAACTCCGAGTACAGTAATGTGTCTGATGTCTTGTGAACGCCTAGATACTGATCCCTGGTCTGCCATCCGTTTGCGCCTTCTGAAATTGATACAGCAATCCTAGGACTCCCCCTCCTCCTGGCGCCCCTCCGTCCCCTTCATCTTCGTCCTCGGCCTCTTTGGTGACGCCTCTCGTGGGAGAAGTCTCCCATCGGGATTCATCAAGGCCTACTTCGCTTTCGTACGTATCCTTGGACCCCGTACTCCGCTGGGCTACTCTCTCAGCCGCGGTCTCGTCCTCATCTTCGATCGCCTCTTCAACAATATTTTGCCGAGCTTGATAACGGGATCGAGAGTTGCGCCGTCCACTACGGGCTCCAAATCCAGATGCTGACGGTTGATGATGCGGATCTAACAGAATTGATGGCATAGGCGACGAATGTCCGCCTGCAGCTGGGAACCGCGGGGTTCGCGCGGCTTGTGGCATCCCCGTTGCTCGACTCCTTGGCAGCCTCTGGCTTCGGCCCATTTTCGACATTTGCATGTCTGCCGTCAGTGTTGGCGACATAAGTCCAGGAAATGCAGGTGGAGGGTGGAAGGGCTGCCGCATCCCAGGAGGGAGGTGTCCTGGAACACCTGTTTTCGGATTCAGTAGATAATTGTCTAAAAAGCCATAGTAAGAGGCAGCCATTTTTCCATGCTTCGTGGAGTAATATTCATCTCGAAGATCAACACCGCCTTCCCCTTGTCGTTTAGTCCTGCCTACGCCATTCTTGAAATCGAATACAGAAAACGAACACAGGTATCCTACGCCGTCGACATGAATGGTGAATTCCCGGAAGAAATCGATGATCTGGTCACTGCATTTTGGTAGGCTGAACCAGAGAACAAAGGGAGTGATGATGATACTGAAGACTTCCTCGAGGAATATCACTATCTTGAGCTGGTAAAGGGAGGCAAATTCTCTCCTAACTTCATCACTATGAAGCCGGTCTTGCCAGTGACTTGGACAATAGTGTGTATACTCGATCACGTTTCGTAACGCGTACTCTGGGTCGAAGACGAGATTTTCGTCCGGGATCGTTCCATTTGAGATGGTCCAGATCGCCCCAAAGACCGCGATATAGAAGAAGACGGTCCTTTCAGGTGTAACTTCAAATACGAGGAATAATTCAGGGTCCCACAGGGTAGCCACAGCGAGGACCGACACAACAGCCCCAGCGACGAACGCTACAAATCTCGCAATTTGAACCATCTTGACCTTCGGAAACTGATCAAGATAGCGAGAAGCAAATGGATATGACATGTTGATCCGTTTGTGGAATAGATGATGTAGCTCGTTGAATTCGCGAAATTTCCATTCGGCAAGGGGTGTATACTGCCGCGATCCAATAGCTGATGGATTGTCTTGGTACTCCTAGAGGCCTATTAGCATGAACTGGGACCAGTGGAATGGCTATATTACTCTGAAATATCTAAAGAAATACACAATCATGAGGTAGACGACTGTGATTGGAGCACATAGGACATTCATAAACCCCGCAAACAGGAATCGGTTTCGCAAGCCATCACTCAGTTGTCTTCGATGAGAATCTTTTAAGACAAGCTGTTTGACCTGGCCATAGTCGTTGAATATGAAGTCCATTATGCACCAATCCAGGGTCCACAACATAGTTCTTGAAAATAGTTGACGGCCTTGGAGGAAAGGCACAGGCAGAGTGAGGTCCAATATCTCCTTGTTGAATAATGCGATCAGGTAGTTCTCTTTTCTCATCAATCTATTGGCGATATCATGCGCATCTAATCTTTGCTTTGATTGGCTACCGAGGTATTTGCGATTCGCCGGCGATATCTTCTCGACCGTGATAGGGTTGGCGTCCCGCAAAGCCATTATCCGGGCGACAATATCTTGCCAAGAGATAGTTTGCATATCGCTGTCTGGCACCTCGAGCAGATGCAAGAAGAAGTCATGAACTCGCATTAGGCGAGGAATATCGGCCAAGAGCTGATAGACCCTCCACATAACATACAAAGTAAAGAGCCAGATGGCAACGTTTGGCATCCCAGAAATTTTCTTCGTGCACTGGGGGATAAGTACCTGAGATAAAGTTCTGCTCTGGGGTATCTCTTGAAAATTAACACATTGTGTGAGGAAAGTTGTAAAGACCGCAACAAATATGATTGTACTGTGCGCAGGGTTAGTAAAGTCCGAGTATTGGAAGTAAAGAACTAACAGCAAATTCAGAACCCGGGCAAGTATCATACACCAGATGCCAGACCCCAGGTAATAATCGTACACATCTCTTATGAAGCTATCGAGGTTGGTGATATTGATCCATCTCCACATAGCTCTTTCTCGAGGGTTGCTAGTCAGCAATCCTATATTTGGTCGTGTTGCTTGTGTCATATGGCGGGTTCCAGCTTCATCATCCTCGTATAACCGTTGCTGAGCTCGCGCAGCCTCCCAGTGGGCATCACTCTCTCGGTTAGAGGGGCCAGAAACCGGAGGTTTCCTTCTTTGGGGGTTTGGTGGTGATTTTGATGGCCGGGTTGGAGTGCCTGAATGAGGATTGTTTCCTTCGATCAGCAGCGAAGCCGGCACGTCATCATCTCCGTCTTCCTCAAGCAATCTAGGAGACTGTGTCCATTTGGAATGGGTTCTTGGCGCTTTGTTGTCTTGACGTCCAGGTGATGGCCTGATTCCTTGTTGTTGACCAGCAAGGAATGCTGTGCTCTCGGTCGTGAGGCGACTATCCTCGCCGGTGAAAACATCTGCACCTCCTAACTCATCGTCGTGGAAGCGAAGGTTCTCCTCATCTATTGCCATTCCTGCTTGCTCCTCGATATCGGACTCGGATGCTTCATCGTGGGCGCGCAGGTCATCGTATATCGACCGCCCAGCGGAATTCGTAGGAAGAAGACGGGAAAGAAGATTCGAAGCCATCATGATGCAGGGAAAATAGAGGACGATGTCCTTCTGGATTCGAAGAGGAGGTACGCGGGGATGAGGAGTGTAATCGGATCGTTAGGATGGGACCCAGTAGGCGATAAGCCACCGTCCTGTACGATGCTAGATGGAAGATGGTGGACGTGCATCTGAGAGGCACGAGATAACTGCTGAGGTGCCGATGTCTCGGACTGATACATGATCGCGCCTCCTAGGCCATGGTATTATCACGAGAGTTTGGTTCGAACGACTCGATGCTGCTGATATCTTCTGAACCTCAACTGATTGACGACAGAGGAGGGGTGGAGAAGGAGGGTCCGTAGAAGCACGAGTGACGGTGCGGATGACTGGCCGCGTTGGGTAACGCTAGGCGACATTCTGCCAAAGGCGGTCGGCTATATTCAGAATAGCTCCAAGTGATCCCCTCGGCCGACATCTCATGTCCACCACTCCTTGAACGATCTTGAACTTTGGCCCTGACGATGACGAGTGATTCAGTCCTCGCGCGCAAGCCCTCGGGTCAGAGTGATGGCTTTGAACATCACCTCTCACCCACGGCTGCACAGGCTTTGCGAAGCAATCCGCTGTCGGCCAAAGCCACAAGTGTCCTCTCTGCATCCTATGCCGATTCTGATATAAGAGATGCTCTGGGTCTTCTGGACAAACGTGGGATCCAAAATACCGCAGAGACCCGTCGTCAGCTAAGGCTGGCCGTCCAGAAGGAAGTGATTGACAGCAATGGCGACATCATCCGTGAGTTTGGGCATGTTGCTGAGGTATGTACAGCTTTCCTGCAAGCGTTTGCGGACACTCACCCTCGTTTAGCAACTCAAGCGCATTGGCCTTACCATTGCGAGTCTCAGTCAGGGCTGTGAAGAGATGAAGAAACATATCTCGGCCGCCCACCAAGAGACTGCGCCAGTACTTCAAGAAGCGTCTGATCTTATGAAACAGAAAGATCAAGTCGAGGCTAAGCAGCAACTTCTGAAAGCTTTCAATGCCCATTTCATAATGTCTGAGGAGGATATCGCAACTCTCACGTCCACTGCAGAACCCGTGGATGATACGTTCTTTGCAGTTCTTGCAAGAGCGAAGAAAATACACAACGACTGTGAGATATTGCTCGGTACTGAAAACCAGCAGCTGGGACTTGAGATCATGGAACAGATCTCAAAAAGCCTCAACCGCGCTTTTCAGAAGCTGTATAGATGGATTCAACGCGAGTTCAAGTCTCTCAACTTGGAAAACCCTCAAATTAGTTCATCCATTCGACGAGCTCTTCGAGTTCTAGCAGAGCGACCGTCTCTGTTTCAGAATTGTCTCGACTTCTTCGCTGAAGCACGGGAACATATATTATCTGATGCATTCTACACTGCCCTAACAGGCACGTCAGTCGGCGGTGAAGAAGATGCGTCGGTGAAACCAATCGAACTAGTCGCCCATGATCCACTGCGATACGTCGGAGATATGCTCGCGTGGATTCATTCAGCAACGGTCAGCGAACGCGAGGCACTGGAAGTCTTATTCATTTCAGAAGGTGATGAGATAGCAAAGGGCATCCAAGCAGGACGAGACAGCGAGCCTTGGAACGTGGATGGAGGGAATGACTTTGATGGCCTCAAGGCTCTCAATGAACTGGTCGATCGAGACGTTACTGGAGTGGCAAGAGTCCTTCGTCAACGGATTGGACAGGTGATTCAAAGCCACGAAGAAACAATCATGGCGTACAAGATTGCCAACCTGCTAAATTTCTACCGTATCACATTTTCCAAGTTACTAGGAGAAGATTCGGTCCTCCTCGAATCATTGACAACTCTCGAAGAATCTGCACTAAATCAATTCACAACTTTAATGCGTGATCATGTAGCTGGTCTACAAGGGGAATCACAACTTGCCCCCCCTGATCTAGCACCTCCTGACTTCTTACAAGAAGGCTTCAAGCAGCTAACTGCCATCATGAAAACTTACGAAACCTCTCTCACATCTGCTGATAGTAGGGAAGCCGATTTCGAACCCATATTGACGGAAGCTTTTGATCCGTTCATGGAGGGATGTGAGAATATAGCGAAACATTTAGAGGCGCCGGCTCGCACAATTTTTTCAATCAACTGCCTCCTGGCAGCCAAAAACATTTTGGCCCCGTTCGACTTCACTAGCACACGTCTTTCCAAAATACAAGACACCGTCGATAAGCATACTTCTACTCTTGTTGAGTACCAGTACTCGTTCTTCCGAGCCAACTCGGGTTTACAACCCCTCCTTCAAGCCTTGGCACCATTATCAGACACTAAAGAAGATCTCCTATCAATTCGATCACTGGATGCATTCCGGCCGGAGGTTTTGATACAAGCAAGTCAGACTCTGGATGACTTCCTTCCCTTGGCACTAATGGATGCCATGGAGAATCTGAAAAATCTTCAGAGTTCTAAAATGGCCAGGAAAATCACCGAGGAAGCTGCTGATAGGTTTTGTGGCGATTTTGAGCGCGTGGAGGAGAAACTAGTCGCTTCAGATGACATCTGGGAGCAAGAAGCAGACGAGGAGACTCTCGCGTCGAGCCAACCTTTGAAGTCGCTGTTCCCACGAACTAGTGGGGAAATAACAGTCTTGCTCTCTTGAATGCTTCGTTAAAAAACATTCTCGGCAAACAGGGAAAATGTATCGATCTCAGCATTTTCCACGGCCATATTCCACGCTTGGCTAATTATGTGGATGGCTCCATTCCTACCTATGGCAGAGACATGCCCGAAGTAGCAGTCATGTCTCATTCCACTACGAATGCGGCTCGGTGTCGGAGATGAGAACGCAGAAATGAATACAATAGAAGGTCCATGATATGTAACACCAATAAGAAGTGGGCGAAGAGCTATAAGGTTGCTGGTTGTATTTGCTACGGTCTACTGTCTCCTGCAATACTTGACCATGGAGCGCTCTGTACAGTATAATGCGAATGCTTGAGGGAGGTTACATGAAACAGGGACCTCGGTGTGGCAAATTAAACTCTTTTTGAGGATATAAAGAGTACCTTATTAGCAACTTGCCGTGTCTCTGTGAACACAATACCTTATGGACCGAATGTTAATAGCCTCAGGGGGCCAATGTTGATAGCCTCAGGCCCCCATACCCCTTTACCCGTGATGATATAAGGACTCGCCACTGTGGCTGTGCCAGTCCAAACTAGGTAAGGCGGTTCTGGAACGTGGCCGACAGTTACCCCTCCAAAGATTAAATGTTTTGCTTCCCAACCCGCACGAAACTACCTACACTTCCTTTCAACTCCGTTTGGTCATCGCGGGGTACCATCCAGGTGCTCAGATATAAATTCATAAACCCATCTGTCCATCATTTTTCCTGAATATGTTTGTCCTTCGAAATGGTAAGTGATAAATAACCCTTGTGTATCTCACAATCCACCCATTCTGTCGCGTCAACAAGCCAAGCAGGCACGACGGACAACGCAAAAGCATTCGCAAAATAAAAGCTAATATAAAGTTTTTAGTTGGCAAACTGATTTTTGGCGATACCTCTAAAGAATCTATGATCGAGCTTCCGCAAGGCCAACTCTATCTCGTTCGTCCACTTTCGCCCAAAGGCTACTCGGAGCTTATTTTCAAAGACGCTGCGGCTAGGATTCGAAAGACCGGTCAGGATTTCCAATACCAACTTGTCATACAGCGTGTGTACGAAGAAGGCGAAGAGGAACTACTGGATAGTGAAGACGCTGAAGACGCAGATACGGCTGCCTTGGCTGCGGAACGAGACGAGAAGACCTTTCTGCTTGACGAAAGCTTGCATTTCAGGTCCGAGATTCGAGAGGGTGCTGAGAAGGTTCTGGCTTGGAGAGATTTAAGTGGTGACGCCGGTGACCTCTACGAATTCGTTTGCGACAACTCGATCGACGCCGCCCAGGTACACGCCTTTGAAGTAACAGCGGTGAACTGCCAATACGAGAGGAAATACCGAAAGAATCATCAAAACGCAACCGAACAAGAGCTTTCTCAGTTTATCTTCGATAGCGAGCAACCTATACCAAGTGCGAGTCCGAGACACAGCCCTACCGTACAATCGCCGGTCACGATGCCTTCGGTAGCATCATCATCCGCGCTCCGAAATTCCGCGAATTCATCACTGAAGAGGGAAAGAACGCCGACGAAGTCTTCTTATTCTTCTCAGCAGACTTCCCAGAGAGATGAGACTCCTACGGAAGCACCTGAAGTTGCTATACACCCACAGGCACTGTCGATTCTCGCGGTGGAGACCGCGGAGCTTCATCTTTTCGATTTTCAATCAGGCTCTTTCATCATCCAAGACCCCGCGGTCAAGGCGACGGTGTCCGAGGTGGGTAAATGGCAATATTGGCTTCAAATTACTGGCAAGGATAGGGATTGGCTTGGGCAAGAAGTGGTTGCAGACATCAATCCAGTTTTTAACTTCGAATTTCTCTCGTTCATATTCAATGCCTATACTCCCGATGGCCAAGCTTACTCCTGGCTTCTCCGTTTCAAGGATCAAGAGACAATCGTACGATTCCAGGAGGGTCTCATGCAAGCTCTATGGGAACAGCTGAACGAGATCAAATGGAGCAAGAACAAGGAAGATGAGCGTGAATATGTCTTGGAGGCCTTCCAGGATCTTACGATGGAAGACTCACCGCAGGAGGCGGATGAGGAGGAGGAGGAGGAAGAGCCTGAAGAAGTGGAAGATGATGGTCAAAGAAGTGAGCACTACGACAGTGACGAAGAGGAAGACGATGTAGTGACCAGGGATGACGATGGAAATGTCAACTCGCAACTCGCAGTTGGTTACAAACACGATCGATCTTTTGTCGTTCGTGGATCTAAGATTGGGGTTTTCAAGCACACTCCTAATAACAACCTTGAATTCTCGACAAACATATCTAAGGTCGAAACACCAAAAGGCAAACTATTCAGTCCGAAGAAGGTCATGCTTCATGCCGAGGACACCAATATGATCTTGCAGAACGAGGCCGACCCGAACTCTCTGTATCGCATGGATCTTGAATATGGCAAGATTGTGGACGAATGGAAAGTTCACGACGATATCCCAGTCAATACGTTTGCCCCTGAAAGCAAATTTGCTCAGATGACAGGAGAGCAAACGTTCCTCGGTTTGTCACGCAACGCTCTCTACCGTATTGATCCACGCCTCGCAGGCAACAAGCTTGTGGACTCGGAGCTAAAGCAATATGTCTCGAAAAACGACTTCTCAGCCGCCGCAACGACCGAAAAAGGTTACATTGCAGTTGCTAGCAATAAAGGCGATATTCGCATGTTTGACCGTCTCGGTATCAATGCCAAAACTCATATTCCCGCTCTTGGTGAGCCGATTATAGGCCTTGATGTTAGCGCTGATGGTCGTTGGGTTCTCGCTACTTGCCGCACATACCTGCTGCTGATCGATGCGATGCAAAAAGAGGGCAAGAACGAGGGCAAACTTGGCTTTGAAAAATCCTTCGGAAAAGACTCGAAACCCCAACCTCGCCGCCTGGGTCTCACTCCTTCCCACGTTGCTCAATTCCAACATGAGACAGGATCACCATTGTCTTTCACACCCGCACGATTCAACACCGGAGAAGGTTTGTCGGAAACTTCGATCATTACAGCTACCGGTCCTTTTATTGTGACTTGGAACATGAAGAAGGTGCTCAGAGGTAGCAAGGATCCATACAGTATCAAGCGCTATGCGGAGGAGGTAAAAGCTGATAACTTCAAGTACGGAAGCGACAAGAACGTTATCGTTGCCTTACCTAACGAGGTGAATATGGTGGCGAAACAATCCTTCAAGAGACCTACAAGGGAGAGTATCGCTACACCAGTTAGAATTGGAGGTAGTAGCCTTGGAGGCAGGAGGAGTGAGGCTGGGAGAATTGGGACAAGGGAAAGCGCAAGATACAAGCTGGGGAAGGAGGATGTCGTCAATTCTCCTTACTGATCTCACGGGGTCGGCCTCTCCTTGAAATATTGATGGATTATGATGGCTGGGCGGGCGTTTTGGGCTGATAATACTCGGAGGATGAAGCCAGGAATCGTCCTTCTAAGGTGGTCCATAATTTCAGTGCGCTGGGAATGTCAGCATTGTTTTGCACTTAATGTAACTAGGTAGCATAGGTACCTTAGGATATCAATACCCTTTTAATCTCTCGAGGTACACTGGACGAGCAAGTTCCAAGTGGCTACGTCATTCCTGAGTTCGCCCTTCTTTTCGTTGTGTTAGCCGGAGAGACCCAGAGATTCACTACTTACCGAGAAGGCATATCCAAGTGGAGTTGCAAAAGACTACGGTCAAAGCTGGACGCACCGTTTTTATCGTCAATCCCAATTGCACAGATTCGGGGAGTTCTGGTCCAAGTCAGGCTTTCCGGTATTTCGGATTATTGGGATAGACAACGTATTTGAGTTATTCCGGCACAACCGCCAGCAGCCTTGACCGCCCTCCTTGACCGCCCTCCCCGCCGGTTGGTTCTCGATAATCCGATCCGAGAAGCGCGTGTGGCACGGGCCATGGCGCGTCACACTGTAATTGTCATATCGCCTCGCGGGTTTCGCGTATTGCCTACCGAGTTTGAGTGAATCAATCTTCCGTCACCCCCCCCTCCAGATCTCTCTAAACAGTCCTCCGTCAACGCCTCAATCAACATGGCGCCCACAAAAGAGGAGAAGCCTGCGATGAGCGCTTTCGAGCGCAGGAGATTGGAGAACATCGCCGCGAACCAGGCCATGCTAAAGGACTTGAGCAACAGCGCTGAGAAGATCATACCCAGAGCAGTATCGAAGCCCCCCAAACCTGCCGCACCTCGCAAGAAAGCCGCCCCTGTCAAGAAGGAGGCACCGCGACCTACTCGGACAAGTTCTCGTCTCGCTGGTCTTCAGGCCGACAGTGAGACTGCGAAGCGGAAGGCAGAAGAGGAAGAGGCATTTGTAAAGGAGAGTGTGCAGGCGAAGAAGCAGCGAATAGCTGGAGACATCAATCTAAATGATGTCGCGGACGGAAAGATAGGGGCTAAGTTGGATGACTTCCTCTCAGGCGTCATGAGGGGAGCGGCCCCAAACTTACGAACCTTTACAGAGGATGACGTGAAGGAGACGACAGATGAGGGCTTGAAGTTATTGAGAGAGAAAATGAGTAGTCTGGAATTATATGACGAGTACCCCCCCAACTGTGAGTCTTTCAAGGTCCCCGAAACTTTTCAAACTGACAAGAACTTCCAGCCATCAAAATCACACCAGAACGAATATATGCTCTTGGATTCCATCCAACAGAAGACAAGCCTTTGATTTTTGCAGGTGATAAGATAGGCAATCTAGGCATATTTGACGCTTCACAGACGGGGGCTACAGTCAAGGCAGAAGAGAACGACGACGACGATGAGGGTGCGGAAGACCCAGAACCAACTATCACGGCTTACAAGGTTCATTCGAGAACAATATCTTCCTTGGTATTCCCTGCTGATGGTAACTCGGTATATTCAAGTTCATATGACTCCTCGGTTCGGAGACTAGACTTGCAAAAGGGGATTGCTGTGGAGGTATTCGCGCCAGATTCATCCGACACGGAATTGCCTATTTCGTGTATTGACGTCCCCCATCAAGATCCGAACCTTATCTTTTTCTCCACCCTTGAAGGATCTTTTGGTCGACACGACATACGGACACCCAAGGAGACAGAAGTGTGGCAGCTCACAGACAAGAAGATTGGGGGGTTCTCGCTTCACCCTCTATACCCCTATTTATTAGCGACCGCCTCACTGGATCGAACCCTCAAAATTTGGGATTTACGGAAGATCACTGGCAAAGGAGAATCACGGATACCCCATTTAATTGGAGAGCATGAATCGAGGCTCTCGGTCTCCCATGCATCTTTCTCAGCAACCGGCAACATAGCCACAACTTCCTATGACGATACCATCAAGATTTATTCCTACCCTGATGCCGGCTCTTGGAAAGTTGGACATGAGCTTGATAGCGAGCTTATGGAACCAACCACCACAATACGCCACAATAATCAAACCGGGAGGTGGGTTACAATTCTGAAGCCCCAGTGGCAGGAGAAGCCGGCGGACGGGATCTCTAAGTTCGTGATCGGGAATATGGGGAGATTCGTAGATGTGTTCGCTAGCGATGGACAACAGCTGGCACAGTTGGGAGGTGAAGGGATATCGGCGGTGCCCGCAGTGGCCCAATTTCACCCCAGCCAGAATTGGATTGCAGGTGGGACGGCGAGAGGGAAGCTTTGCTTCTGGAGGTGATGAGAATGGTGGAGAAATGTGGTGCCATTTAGAGGCCTTGATTATGCATGATGGGAGGAACATGCAAGACAACAATGCCTGAGAGGTTATCTCGGACTTGGGCAGTAGAGAGAGAGGGAACATCCGACGAATAGGAAATCCGACAAAAGAAACGTCCGGCGAAACATCCGACGAAAGAAACGCCACGACTGTTGTGTTCAACCAACAAGGGGCGTTAGTAGAAATATACCCATTAATCGTGAAAGTGTGCCAATGTTTCTTTGCTTTGTCTAAGGTAAGGAATGATTTGTGAAGAGAGTGCACAGAGTACCTGGGACTGTGTCCAAGCCTCCGATACCTTGATAGGCAAGGTGGGTAAGAGCTTTGAACTAGGCCAGAACTAGCTAGCGTACAGAAGCGAGACCCCGGGGTTGTGATTTTGGTCGCCTGCGCTACTTTTGGTACTTCCACCTATTTATCTTCGTGCGCCTTTCACGCTCTCCGATCAGCAATCCTCTATTGTTCAAGCATGTCTCTTCCTCTGTTGACTCTCTAGTCGGGTTGTTGTGCCTGGTATGCGACAGTGAACCCGGCTTTTGTTTCTACCTGACCTACTGGATTGCAGCAAAGTACAAAGGACAAAGTACTTGCTACCACTTACGTACAGGGTTCCCCAACTACCTAGGTATCTAAAATAAACTCCCCCGACGCTTTATCGATAAAGGCCAGCCGACACGCCAAGACGTCCCTTGCGAGTTTGCATCACGCCTCTTCCCTCTTCCTCAACCCGGTTCGTGTCAGGACCACAACATCTCGTCATGGCGCCAGAGGAGGATTTAAAGAAGCGTGTGGCGCGGAGGCTGACCAAGAGGAGAAAGGAGGGACACCAGGCCACCATGGAGATCCCAGAGCGTTTTCGTGATGGGGATGATGCGGACGAGGACTGCACCGCTCCTCTCGGTGCCAACACCTACGTGAACCAGTCTGTCTTTGGCATGATTGCAGCAGCTGGGTCTCAAGTCGATTTCAATGCTCGATTTGATGGCCAGTCGAGCGACGATGAGGATGACTCGGCGGACTCTCCACCACAAGGCTCTGATTTACAGGCGGATCGACCTCCTCAAGAAGATGCGGCAGCAAAGACCAAGGAGCGGCGGAGATTTATTGATCGTAAACTTATGCAATCCGTTCCGCGACTGGGCTCGCGCCTCTCAAGATCAAGGTCGAAGAGCCCATCAAAAAGCGTCTCGCAAACCCCGGAATCTGCTGAAGAACCCCCTCCAGTCCCCGAGATAAATGCTCCACGAATGACCTTAAGCGATGCTTCGGTGATGAAACGAATGTTAGAAGCAAAAGCAGAACTGTCCACGAGGCCGAGTTTTGATATGCCACGGTTGGCGGAGGAAAGCACAAAGGCGGATGATGCGGGGGACGAAGCGTCGAGCACCCTGGAGAGGAGACTCATGGAGATCTTCCATTTCGACAAACCGGAGCGTGTTGTATCAGGTAAACCCCCCATTCCGTTTGAAGGTAGGAATGCTGATTCAAATAGAATACCCGTGCTGGCTACTACAAAGCGTTTTGCTGCAAGGTTATATGTACATCACGAGCAAGCATATCTGCTTCTATGCGTATTTACCCAAGAAATCTGTTAGTTAGTTCTGTTCTGCTTTTGGATCTTACTGACATGCCTTTCCAGAACGAGGTCGTCAAATCTGGTTACCTATCGAAATCCGGTCGACGAAACCCCAAATATAACCGATACTGGTTCCGACTAAAGGGGGACGTCTTGTCATACTACTCTGACCCTTCCGATTTGTACTTCCCCAGCGGCAATATCGACTTACGTTATGGAATATCAGCAAGCATGGTAGATAAGGACAAGGGAAAGGATGCTACACACTTCACTGTCGTCACGCATCAACGAAAATATCATTTCAAGGCAGATAGCACTCCGAGTGCAAAGGAATGGGTCAAAGCACTGCAGAAAATCATTTTCCGCTCCCACAACGATGGAGACAGTGTGAAGGTATCTCTGCCGATCGAGAACATCATCGACATTGAAGACAGCCAAATCATCGATTTTGCAGACACATGCAAAATACGTGTTATTGATAATGATGAGACATATGCGATTGACGAGGTGGGTAACTCTCAACAATCCTTTCCGTGTCTTATGTTGCTGATCCACATCCTCCAGTACTTCTTTTCGTTCTTCAGTTTTGGGAAAGAAGCCTTGAATATACTGAAAATCCTGGTGGAAGATACATCTGCGCAGCAAATTCCTGGGCATGTCTCCATTTCACCCCTGGCTAGTGACGGTGATCATAGTCCAAAGAGCGGCAACTCTAAATGGAACCCAATGCAGGCGGTGACAGATAGCAAGCCTACATCTCCGCCCATCCGACCAAGAACACCCCATTTTGAGGAGAGTGTTAGAGCCACCCTTTCGCCAATTAGGTATACTGGAGATGCAAGTCCTCATACTAGTACTGATATTAGTCGAGCGAGCTCTGAAGCTTTTCGTAGAAGTGCCGACTTTACTAAGTTTGGGAGTCGAAGTACGGATCTTGGCCGGCTCAACACGGATCAAGGGAGGAGACGCAGCATCAGCGCTGGCAAGCATGGCTCAAGTCGGTACCCCTTGCAAGAGGAGAAACGTCCCTCTGAGAAGCAAGGCTCATCGGATTCATATGTGCATTCTCTTGAGGATCCATCCTCACCGGGAGCATTGCCATCACCAAGTGACGAAACTCAGGCCTCTGCCAGCCAGATCCTGAGAGGGAGCGATGTTTTCATGTCTCCGACTATACAACGCTCTCGATCAGCATCACGGCCCCAGGATCGCGATGATACTCTCACTACTGAAACCCTTCCTCATTCACCCTCACGAAAGGCCAACATCCGCAGCAGAACAGTGGTCTATGGGCACGCAGCAACGACAGGATCTGCAGATGGCTCCAGTGCGAGTCAAGCTGGACCTGCGACATCTGGACCAACATTACAGAGTCTTGTGAAGGCTGGTTCATATCCTTTACAACGAGCCGCAGGGTTTGCCGGATACCTCAACAAGCATTCCAAGCGAATGAGCAATCTGTTGGCAACTGAGTCCATGGGATATGTCGAGAAAGTTTCCGGGATGTGGAAAGGAGGCAAAAAGCACTATGATGAGCCCCCTGGTCTTTCACCTGATGATGACATGCCTGAAGACGGCGACGACGAGCAAGCTACAGGCTCTGGGGATCGCTTCCGAGATCACTTTGCCTTGCCTGCGACAGAGAAGCTCCAGGCGGCTTATTTTGGTTTCCTACATCGCGTGCTACCCTTGTACGGCAAGATCTACATCAGCGAGAGGACTTTCTGTTTTCGAAGTCTCCTTCCTGGTACGCGAACTAAGCTCATTCTTCCTCTCAAAGACGTCGAGAATGTGGATAAGGAGAAAGGATTCCGTTTTGGCTACTCAGGACTAGTTATTGTGATCAAAGGTCATGAAGAGCTGTTTTTCGAGTTTAGCCAACCGGATACCCGAGATGACTGCGCAGTCACCCTTCTTCAAAATTTAGAAACTATGAGATACTTGAAGGAATCTGGATTGTTGACCATGGAGGAAAAGGAACGTGCAGAGTGCGCAAGCGCTGAACACAACGCGCTCCAGATGGCACGCAAGGAAGGCAATGCGGGTCATGACCCAAAGCTGGCTAAGAGTATTGAGGGGGTCAGGAGTGAAGCGCCGGCCATATTATTTGACGACCCACGAGCCTCGATCCTGAATTTCAAGCCCGCCGAATCACTCCGTATAACTTGTTTGACGATCGGATCACGAGGTGATGTCCAGCCATACATTGCTTTGTGTAAAGGACTCATTGCCGAAGGCCATAAACCAAAAATAGCAACACACATCGAGTTCAAGGACTGGATAAAGAGTCACGGCATCGATTTTGCGCCAGTCGATGGTGATCCTGCTGAGCTGATGCGGATCTGTGTAGAGAACGGCATGTTCACATACTCATTCTTGAAGGAAGCATCGTCGAAATTTCGCGGCTGGATAGACGAACTGCTTTCTTCTGGATGGAAAGCGTGCCAAGGTTCTGATATTCTAATCGAAAGTCCAAGTGCTATGGGGGGAATACATATTGCAGAGGCTCTCGGGATACCTTATTTCCGGGCTTTTTCTATGCCGTGGACGAGAACTAGAGCATATCCACATGCTTTCGCGGTACCCGAACACAAGATGGGTGGTGCTTATAATTACATCACCTATGTCATGTTCGATAACGTCTTTTGGAAGGCTATCGCTGGCCAAGTCAATCGGTGGAGAAAGAATGAGCTTGGGTTGCAAGCAACAAGTCTTGAGAAGATGCAACCCAACAAAGTTCCATTTCTCTATAACTTCAGTCCTTCGGTCGTTGTGCCACCTCTCGACTACAGCGATTGGATCCGTGTCACCGGATATTGGTTCCTTGACGAAGGCTCTGGTTGGTCGCCGCCTAAAGAACTCACTGACTTTATCAAAAAGGCCCGAGATGATGGAAAGAAACTGGTCTACGTGGGATTTGGATCGATAGTGGTACAAGATTCTGCCGCCCTCACAAACACCGTCATCAAATCCGTATTAAAGGCTGGTGTAAGGTGCATCTTGTCCAAGGGTTGGTCGGATCGTCTCGACAAAAAGGGCGCGAATGAAGTTGAGGCACCTCTACCACCCGAAATTCTGCAGATTAAATCTGCTCCCCACGACTGGCTATTTGCCCGGATAGATGCCGCCGCCCACCATGGCGGCTCTGGTACGACTGGAGCTAGTTTGAGAGCTGGCATCCCGACAATCATCAAGCCGTTTTTTGGAGACCAATTCTTCTTCGGATCCCGTGTCGAAGATCTCGGAGTAGGCATCTTCTTGAGGAAACTTAACGTTAGTGTCTTCTCACGAGCCTTGTGGGAGGCTACACATAGTGAGAGAATGATTGTCAAGGCAAAGGCCCTGGGGCAGCAGATTAGAGAGGTATGACTCGTCTTTACTGATCAATTCTTGTAGTTGCATACTGACAGCTATATAGGAGAATGGGGTTGATACAGCGATTCAGTCAATCTACCGAGATCTCGAGTATGCAAAATCTCTTGTCAAGGGTAGGAACGGCAAGTCCGTCGATGATGCAAATGAAGACTCCGAAGAAAGCTGGACGTTTATCGGAGATGATAATGACCCAGAACTGCTCCGGCGCATACATGATTGGAACACGATGGCGCTGTCGGGGACACTTCGTAATAAGAACGGTTCGTCGAAATCTGAGGCGTCTGGGAGTAAGTAAGAGTTTAGGGCATGCAATCCTAGCTACTGTACCAGCACAGCTGGTTGAGATGCCCACATGGAGCGCGAGGAGCTTTGGGTCGATAATATGCAAGTGGATTCCTGGTTCTGGATGGGTTCGGGCTCGGCGAAACGAGATATGACATACGGTAACGATAATAGATATACACTGATGTATTGAAGGAGCGGGTGCTTTGGTAATAGGTAATCATGGGACGGGCATTGTTTTGCAGCGCTGTCTAGACTTGCATTGTTAGAGAGGTACTGTAATGGATATACTCTGCTCCTGGGCAATGGGTCTCTCGAGTCCCGACACGAAAAAGGCGGCACGAAAGCAGTCTCTTGTCCACATTCCTCGAACTTTCAGCGAAGTGCCCCGTTGACTGAAAACATACACTTTGCCTTCTTTATTCAAAGACCTTGAGACCTAATCCATCCAAGGCACGTGCCAACCCCTAGAACGCGCGGATCGCACGCGATACACGTGATCCGAAAGCGATACGCACCCCCTCGCGTGTGCAGCGAATCAGCTTCGCCAATGACGGATCAGCATTCGACAAAGGACATAAATAAGGGACTTATATAAAGAAATCCGCTCCCCCTCCCAAACAATCGAGGCTCCAGCGGAAGAATCCGTTATAATATCACACCTCCATCATTGTCTCTACACACCTCTCTCTTTCGTCCATCTCCCCTTCTCCCTCCCTTGACCTGAACCCTTCGATCAGCTCGCCCATACGCAATTTCCACGCGCGCATTCGTCGATGACCTATCAGGAACACATCGCAAGCTATCTGCAGCTTTAGCCGACTCGTTTCTGAGCCTTGAAGGTGAACATTGGGCGCAAGCGAAGGTGGTTCAGATGCATAGGATATACAACGCTGTAACCACCCCACGCGACATCCATGAGAGCTTTTATAAGGCTCCGATCAAGATCGTAGGTCTCCCACCAGCTTGTAGATGTTATTGCACGCGTACTTGGAGCTTGCGCGAGCTCTTGCGATTGCCCCAAGTTTCCCCTTGGCCTTCGCATACTCGCTGCCCGTTGGATCTCTCACTTCCCTCTCCTCCTGCTGTCGTCCTTTAACTTACGTCGTGCACATCCACTAACTAACTTCTTCACCTCAGATCCGATACAGAGAAGACTGCATGATTACAAGGCGTGCGACGCCGCGAAGGAGGATATAATCATGGGAAAGCTACTCAACCTAGGGTCCAGACTTCGGTACCCGATCACCATCAACAAGCTCCTCAAGAGACCGGGCGATGAAATCAAAAAGCAAGAGGCGATCTTGCAATACAAATTCACATGGATGCAAAAAGTAGGCGACCCTTTCGGAGAAGAATGGGAGGAAGAGCAAACCACAATCGCGGACTGGGATAGTCCCGCAGACGGCAGCATAAAGGCATGGAAAATAAAGGAGGGCATGCGTATTGAGAGGGATATGGTATTTGTGGATATTGAAGAGACCTGCCCGCACTCGATCCAGTTTGCCGGCCTCTGCGGAATGTGTGGGAAGGACATGACCGAGACCTCATGGGCCAGCACATCCAACGATACCGAGCGAGCAAAGATCAATATGATCCACGACCAGAACTTTCTTACCGTTAGCGAAGGAGAGGCTTCAAGGGCGGAAGAGGAATTGCAACGGCGGCTGCTGAAGCATAGGAAACTTTCGTTGGTGGTGGATCTCGATCAGACGATTATACACGCTTGTATCGAACCCACTGTTGGAGAGTGGCAAAGTGACCCATCGTCGCCGAACTACGATGCCGTTAAGGACGTCAAATCATTCCAGCTCAATGATGATGGACCGCGTGGTGTAGCTCAAGGTTGTTGGTATTATATCAAGATGCGACCCGGATTAAAGGAATTCCTGTCCAAAATCTCAGAAATGTACGAATTACATGTCTATACAATGGGTACTCGAGCGTATGCTCTTAACATCGCCAAGATTGTTGATCCGGACAAGAAGTTATTTGGAGATCGGATCATTAGTCGCGATGAGAACGGAAACATGACTGCGAAGAGCTTGGCGCGACTCTTCCCCGTGGACACGAAGATGGTGGTCATCATTGATGATCGTGCAGACGTCTGGCCTAAGAATCGCCCGAATCTTATTAAGGTGCATCCATACGACTTTTTCCTTGGCATTGGCGACATCAACTCAAGCTTCCTTCCCAAGAGAGAAGATCTTCCTACTCAAGCAACCAAGAAGCTGATCTTGGACAAACCTGGCGACAAGAGGTCGGATTCACCAAACATACCATCACCCACTCCTGGAGATGTACCTAGCGGGCCCAGGCCAGCGAGCGGGGAAAGCTCGAAGGAAGAACCAGAGTCCGATGATGCTCGAGTCAGTGCATTGGAAGAGCTTGTCAGAATGGGAGGTGGTGATGATCAAGCACTGCGGCTAGAACAAACTGCTGAACAAGAGAAGTTTCTGGAAAAGCAATATATGGAACGACCATTGTTGCAGATGCAAGAGAAACTTGACAAGGAAGACGAGGATGATTCGAGCGAGCCACTTGGTGACGAAAGGAATGGTGACACCACGCAGGAACACCCTCACCATAGGCACAACCTGCTCAAAGACGACGACGTTGAGCTCATGTATCTCGAGAAGCATCTATCGCTCGTTCACAAGGCATTCTATGACGAGTATGACGGTGCCCTGGTCAACGCCCAAGGAGGACGTGTGGCGCAATTAAAGCACGGTCATGTTAAGAAGGTTTCGATGAAGGATGAGGCTGCCGATCTCAAAGTGGTTCCGGATATTGCCAACGTGATGCCACGTTTGAAGTACGTACATTCCCATCATGTGCCATCTGGCTGGATAACCAACTCACAAAATTATAGGGCCAAAGTTCTAGCAGGCACCACGATTGTGATGTCTGGCTTGGTGCCGTTGTCTGCCGATCTCATGAGGTATTTATTTCTCTATATAATCACAGCCATCTTATATTATCCTGAACATAATAAGAGGCTATATGAACATGAACATAAGTTGGTTACTAACAAACTTATGATATATAGGACAGAAATTGCTCTGCAAGCAAGCAGCTTTGGGGCTGAGCTTCAAACAAAGTAGGGATTCCAGTCCTTCCGAGACGCATTCAAGCTAATGGGTGAAATAGGATATCGAAAAGAGTTACGCACTTGGTTGTTCCTACAAGTCGAACCCGCACCCATAAAGTTCGACAAGCGGCGAAATACCCAAGAATCAAGATTGTGACTCATCAATGGCTAGCGGACTCAATTAGCAAATGGGAAAAGCAAGATGAGACGCCCTATCTCGTAAGTTTAAATGGGGAAATACGGTCCAAGATATATCCAAAAAGCTTATATACGCCAGGTTGAAATTCACGAACAAGACCGTAGACATAATGGCTCATCAAGCGTCCCATCTTCGATTCACGATTCGGATGAGAGCGATGGGACTGAGACACCCAGTGAGGATGATGAACCTGGTAGTGTCCCTGCCAGCCAAGAAGAAGAAGATGAGGAAGGTGTTATACCGGGCGATTTTGCAGGCGGAAGCTCCCCCATCGAGGGCCTAAAGACTTTTAATTGGGGTAAAGCCGATGCAGAGCTAGCAAAATTCCTGGACTCAGACGATGATAATGATAGCGACACTGGCAGCGTAGGCAGTAATTCCAGCCGGCAGAGTCAAGCCAGTAATGGAAGTGCGCGGGGGGTCAAGAGGGGTTATGACGAGGCGACGGATGAGGATGACAGCGACGGAGGAAGCGACTTAGCCAAAAGGCAACGCATCTCGAGTTCGAGAACGACAGGCCTCAAGACGGTAAAGACACCAAACAGTCTCCAGTCGGAATCTAATCCCTCAACTCCTGGGCCAACAGCTGGTGAGGATGGAGCTGATGGCGTAGATCAGATCCATCCCGAGGAAGAGGACGATGGTGAGGATGACTTGGAAGCGGACCTGATGGCTGCATTTGAAGAGGATGAAAAAGGAGCTGCTTCCTGGGATACCGGCGGCTCATAGGGATGGGCCTGGCAGGGGAAGATATTTACGGTGTTTGGTGGTTTGTTTCTCTTTCTAAGCCGTTGTTTGCATACCCATCCGTCGAACTGGCTGGGCGGGCGTTACTGGCGAGAACGAATCTGGCTTCTATGGATGACTTAGCATAGCAGGATAGGCGTACGCCAAGCGATCAATGAATTGAAGAGTTTTTCTGTACCATTCTTGAAAGAAACGTCTCGGATCATCTAGAGGGGTCCCCCTTCCATGAATTGCTCATAGGCAAACTTCCGTTCAGATCTATGGTGAGGATAAAGAAGTGAAGACTACAGAGCAGAGAGTCTGGTGAGATACTAGGGATTGATAGATTAATTCAGCCATGTAATACAGAACACCTAGCTCTAGAACAAGAACATATCTCCCACATATAAACCAGATCATGATGGCACGCAGGGTTCCAAGAGCGCAGACTAGTTGATGACCTGAAATATATGGCCACAAAGATTGCCTTGGATGTTTGTACGGGAGTTGTAAATTCTGCCGAGATTCGCACCAGAACCGGTTAGCTCAGATCTACACTCCGCCTTCACGTTCGAAACTCCATCCGCGAGCTTTCAACTATCTGCCCCTCGCCATTGCACGACACAGACAGAGACAAGATGCCTCAAGATTTACCTCCCGTTGGTGGCTATGAGCCCGTCCAATATAAGGTTCGTTGACCTCCCCGACCGTGCGATGCGAGATTCGAATGCCATGACCCTGCCCGCGATATTATCTGGGAAGGAGCGGATCAGACCAGACCAGACCAGACGGGAGCTGATGACGAAGTCTTGCCCCCGAGGCAACTCACTCCCCGGAAAACGAAGGAATATGAATATCGGAGGATAGGCGCTGATTTGAGATAATGTGTACAGAGAAACCTGCCCGCGCGCGGCTTCCGGCCGTCGGTGTTGCTCATGGGAGTCGCGGGCATCATGGCCTTCGGGTTCTACAAGGTCGGGAAGGGGATTCGGGAACAGAAGTACGTGGGCCTTTTGTTTGTTTGTTTTGTTTTGCGCAGGAGAACGAGATAGTCTGGGGAAAGAAGGGGGCGCGGTAGAAGAAGACTAATGATGGGATGAAAAATAATAGTGAGCTCGCGCGTGAGAAGATGTGGTCGAGAATCCACCTCATCCCTCTCCTGACGGCCGAGGAAGACCGTGATCTGGTCAGGAGGCACCTTGCGGACCAGGCGAGAGAGAAGGAGTTGTTGGGCAGTGCTAGTAGCCCTTATAATTCGGACAGGTATGTCCTATTTCTTTCTCTCCCTGTGTTTGGCGTTGGAATGGAGATGTGCTGACATTGAGAATAGATTTGTGCGGCCTACTTACGCCATCACCCCGAGTCAGAAATCGAACTAGAGGGTCTGTTTGGGGGACGCAGGAATTGCATGCGAGATTGTAAATATTGTATGAAGGATATCACCCAAAACTAGAAGGTCGCAGTGTCAAAGTCAACTGTTCTTCTCGTGATACTCGGGGAAATATTGAGATGCTTCATCCACAGTGATCACTATCCCTTCCTTAACCATCTGCACCAGCTTCTCATTATTCCTACAATCAATGCCCGCTTCCCTTCCCCTTTTCACAATATATCCATTGATATAGTCAATCTCGGTTTCTCTTCCCGCTCTCACATCTTGCAGCATGGAACTGGTATTCATGGCCGTCTTCTCAGCCACATCGAGAACAACAGTCTCCAGATTTTGTGTAGAGAAGCGTGACGGAGTGGTAGGATCATCCCGGAGCTCAGGTAGAGACAGGAGAACTTGACAAGTTTCGCGAAGAAGGAGCCTCATAATCCGCACGATGGCAGTCCTGTTGAAAAGCTCCCCGTTGCGGCAGTTGAAGACTGCGGTCAGGGGGTTTATCATGGCGTTTACGACGAGCTTCTCGAATTGGAGTCGTAGAAGCTCGGAAGGTGTTACTTCTCTTGCGGATAGCACTGGGGCTTGGACTATCTTGTCTATCAGGTACTGGGGAGCTTTAGAATGGGCAACTCGCCCAATTGTAACACTCGCTCGGCCGGCATGGACAGATCGGAAGGGTCCTTGAGAGTAGACTCCATGCGAAGTGACACATGCTAGATAGTTTGGTCTCGTGGAGGGGTCTTCAAACAGCGCTTTGGTGAGCTCCTCCACTGTTCCCATCCCATTCTGGGTGAAGAGGATGGTAGAATCGGATGTTAGCCGGTGCTTGATAGCTGATACTGCTGGGATTGTCTTGGTGGTTTTGGTTGCCACAATTAGGTTATCGATGATGTGCTGGGACCCCTGGGGAGACACGAGCTCGACATCAAAGGGCCCGGTTCGATCTGGGACACCGTCTGTCGTAATCTCAATTCTCCGTCCAACTTTCTCCCACTCATCGGCGAGACTTGCCCGGTGCAATAGCAAAGTGATTGGGGGAGCATTCTCTACTTTTGCCAGGGCGTGGGCAAAGAGCCTCCCGAGATTTCCTAGGCCCAGGATGTGAATACGGCCAGATGGGGAGCGCGGAGTAGCGGTTGACATGGTACTATATTGGCTGCTGCGCCCAATTCTCTGGGAGGTCTGGTATGCCCTCAAAATGTTGCAATTGTAGAAGCTCACAGATTGACAACGCCGGCCCCATACCAGGAGCATACTGTGGCAGGTTGTTGCCATGGGCTTGTCCGGTCAGGTGGGTTGAACGGGACGACCCCAGAGTTGAAGTGATTGATCGATTGATTGATTGATTGGCTGGTTGATTGCGGGTTGATGCTTATATAAACGTAGCAGGGTAGCAACAGGACCCCTCCAGCTTCCCGCTCTAGAACATTATCCCGCGGCCGAATCGTTCAAGGTTGATGCCATTGATTGCGGCGTTCGTTCCTCTGCCCAATGAGAGCGGCAATGTCTCCTCTTCTGCATCCTTGACATTTGAACAGCCTTTTTGCTTGTGGACGGGGCCATGCAGATCTTAGTTTGATCTGGAGTGGTGCTGCCTGTCCAGAGCTTCCCTAATCGTCGCAACGCGGCCATCTCTTGTATCTCTTCTTGTATCTCTCCGTGCTTACGCCCTTAAATAAGCTCACAGGAAGTCCTCGCGCCTCGACCCCAGTTGTTCTTTTTCCCTTTTTTCGCTGCCTGTTTCTTTGCCTTTGTTCTGCAACGCGCGCCGCGCAGGCAGCAGCATTCTGTACCAAAGATGCCGGCTTCAGAGAATCTGTACGCTGCGAATGACAATCCAGATTCAGACGCCGAGTCGTTCGGCGATGAGCTCAGTCCCACAGATGGCTACTTTCGCAGCGAAATACCATCGAACACGATGGTCCCAGATCCATCTCGGCCGAGTGATGATAAGACTGTAGAGGACAAAGTCCTCATATCTGGTCCAGCCACACGGACAAACGCTGAGAGGGCGTCCCAGTCCACGAACTCCCCGACCTTAGCACAATTACTTCCCGCACACAATTACGCGTCGCCTGCATCAGGTGCCAACATGTCGTCCTCTGCAACTTCAAATACTCCCTCCTTGCCCAGATCCTTCCATCGAACAGAACCCTTACGCTCCGAGGACAATCTAATCGACGCCGTTGCACCCCCTCCAGCATACTCTGCTTCACCTCCCTTACCTACCTCCCCACAAGCATTACAAGACAACCAAAGCTACAACACATTCCAACATCACCTTGAACAATATCGAGAAGCAATCATTCCAAATTGGTGGCGTGAGAGAATGGGTGCGCCGAACGGTGAGCTTGACGAGAGAGCCCCACTGGCCGGCTGGAAGAGAAATTCACGGAGTCGAATCATTATTCGAAAGTTACTTTTTGTTGCACTTGTGATTACTGTGCTGATTGGCTCTTTGTCTACTATGCTGAGTTGGAAATCCGAAGTATGCAAACCTCCCATTTCTCAAAAGACATTATTACCCTGGTATCATTCGTGTCGATGATTGCCGAGAATGAGCAATGGTTCTCTATTCTAGCTTCTTTTATCAAAAACGCCAGTGGGCTACTGTGATGGCCCACTCACAAGGATATTGATAAATTGCTAACTGTCATTCAAGAGTCCCAGCAACCCGCCCGGGAAAAATCCCAGCAAAGACACGCCGCCTGGTAAACGACCTGTTGGCTCTGGTAGCCCTTACTGCTCTTCTGCTACCTTTCAGAGAAAGGAAGTGACATACGAAGTCCCACTGGATGGTGATTTGGCAGTGATACAAACAATCCACGTGAACCACGGAGATGCCAAAGATGGGAATTGGATGATATCGACTGCAGGAGAGATTCGTCTGAAACGCCTTCCCAAGGATTCGAAATACGGTCACGGAAAGGGCCACTTGACAGTCAACGTTCATGTCAGTGACCCTAGCCTACAAGTGATACAGACATTAGAGAATAATTCTCGCACCCTAAAAATCAGTACCCCGAGATATGCTAGGCTCGATACTCCCGGCCCACATTGTATCTCTCTCGAGATTATAGCTTGGCTACCAGAAGACGCGAAGCTTAGGAACATGCTCATAAAGGCCATCACTCTTACATTGAGAGTACTAGATGATGTCAAAATCGATGTATCTGACCTATCGACGTTTGAAACGGTTTCAGGAGATGTTTACTTCCCGCAGATATCCGGATCTGGAGTGTCTTTGATCAGTAGCTCTCCATCTTTCGACTCGCCTCAAGCTCCAAATGCACTCAAGGCCACGTATTCACCTGAAGCTCCAGACGTACCTAATATACCAGAATCCCCAATTTCACAACAAGCGCTTCAATTTAGTTCTCGCCGAATCGATGTTTCGACTGTTTCTGGGGATATCAATGGTCAATATCCTCTTTTGGACCATTTGGGTCTCACGTCACAGTCCGGAGACATCAAAATCTCGGTGTCCCCACACGATGCCCTTCCTTCTGCTCCTCTTCCTGCAGATCTCCTCATCCATACAGCATCTGGTGATATCGATGTGCGCTTGCCCATTGGAGGCTCTCAGGACCCCCAATACGTACCACCTCCTCGGGATTATATTACAAAAGTGCATTCTGCCTCTGGAGATATCACTGGATCATTCTATCTTGGCACTTCGGGGCACTTCGAAAGTACCTCCGGCGACATCACAATGAAGATTCTGCCTATCGTTCAGTCTGGGCCTTCGAATGATCCAGATAAGGACGAAAATATCCACTTTGGAACCGAAACCGTCAGCGGAAGCATGGGAATAGAAATTCTTGACCCAATATTTATCTCTCCCGTTGTATATGAGCAGCCAGTTCAACGCAACACCTTGGATCATTTTCACCCCATCGGCGACGATGATTCTTACGGACCTAACCTCTTACTTCCTCCAACCGGAAAATTATTCTCGATAAAAAATACGTCTGACTCTAAGCTAGAGAAGCTGCGAAGCCTCCAGTCTTCACATACCTCTAAATCTGGTGGTATCTCTGTTCGCTACCCTGATGTCTGGGAAGGGAAAGTTTCCGGAAAGACCATATCGGGAAAAATCACCGTTTCTGGTGAGGGTCTGAAGGTGGTCAAGAATAAGAAGGGATGGGGCTCTAAGGAAGTGCTAGCGGTGAAAGGATCTGATGGCGATGACGATGACGCCGGCAGTTCTGCGGTTATGCAGAGTATCTCTGGAAATCAGCGGTTTGTTGTTGGTGCTGCTACTAATTAATGAGTATTGATTCTCCTACTTGATCATTGTTGTGAGCATCTTTGGTCATTTGTTACTATCTGTTTTAGCCTTTGATGCTTAAATAATTTGCGGCGTACTGGACTGGGCGAGGAATGCGCGAGCGGTTTGGCTTGGTATATATCCTATTGTTTTTATTATTATTTACGCCAAGTATTAGATGATGGCAATGAGTACGCCCTTTCTTGTGCGGAGATTGTCGTGAGCCAGCTGTGCACGGCAAACTAAGGTATATCAAGGAAGGCCGGCTAAGTAACTTCTGAATCATCGCTATGTAACATGTTATCTCCATTTTCCTTTAGAGACACAATTGCTATAAATGGGACAATTGGTATAGAGGGACGGTTGCTGTAGAAGGTTGTCGACTATTTCTATATACGGAGAATACTGAGGGATGTATACAGAGGTGGTAGTACTGGGGGGAAGGCCAGGGGTTGCAGAGTGTTAACCGAGGACTGGATTAGATATTAATTTTAATGACACACACATATAATATGTACACACCCCTCGTTGCACAAGCTACCAAGGTATCTATCCGGAGGAAATGTACGAAGTATTTCCAGGAGAACCCTTGTGTCGCCGCCAATACCATGACGTTTTACGACCTCCTCAATATTCAATAGGGCACCAAGTGGATTCAGAGAGTCGTTGATATCTCATGCAACACAAGAGAACGCGGGATGAGCTACTCTCGGTAGAATGAAACGACCGCAGTCGTTCAGAACCGCAAACCTATCGTCCAGCGAGACATACGACAGTTAGCACAACTATACGCGATGGCGAGCTGCATGCAGAAGATGAATGGGCTCATTCATCTTTCACGCGCCCAAGTATGGTCAACAGCCCGTGTACTGGTGAGATCAAGACCCTAGACCCAGGTCGAACCTGACTGACCTCGACACAGATTCCAGTCAACCCTCACACTGCATATCAGTCGCGGAGGCACTTCTTCTCCAGGACGTCCCTTCTATCTAGATATACACCAAGCCCAAGAGTCCGACGAGCCCAACAAAGCCGACAAGTGCCGCCGTCGCCCTCTGAGCCGCCGCCTGAGCATGAATCCAACAACAATGGAGGACCTACTCCATATAACGTTCCTAATATCACCATTGGGATTGTCATTTCTGCATGCGTAGGAATATGGGGCTGGCACTCAATGTATCTTGCAGAGTATCGACGGACGGGCTCGAGAAAAATTCGCGAGACTCTGGAAGAATTTAACAAGAATATGGTGATGTCGTTGAGAAATATCCAAGAGGGTCGATCCTACACAATACTCACATCTACGTTTACACACTTTAACACCCTACATCTGGCTTTCAATATGATGACCCTCTGGTCATTTGGACGTCCCCTGGTGGCATTCTACGGTGTTCCCACGTTCATTATCTTGTGGGTTGGTTCTGGCATTGCGGGTGGAGCTCTTCAGGCGTACGCCTGGTCCAATAATGGCCCGTATCACGCTCACCAGGCCGTTGGAGCTTCGGGCTCCATTTTTGGCATGCTGGCAGTCCTTACTTGTATAACGCCCAAGGCACAAGTTGCACTCTTCTGGATTCCAATGACTCTAAGGGCGTCGACGATTTTGACGGTCGCGTTCAGTGTTGCAGCTATTTCCCAGGACTGGCTCCCGTTCTTAGGGCACTGGGATCATTTGGGAGGCATGGCTTTTGGCGCCTTCTGGTGGCTTATAGCACTGCGTAGAGGCAGGATGGGACCCAAGAGTGCACTGAGGAACTTTCTGTAGAATGGGAAAGGGGATCATGGTCAATGGGTAGAAGGTCTATGAACAGAAACAGATATACATCCGTGACGAAAATGAGATCGCCCTAGAAATAAAAATAAATCGGCCAATTCAAAGTAACATCGACTCTAATATATCTGGGACGTCGTCTAGCTTCTTCACGAGGTTTGGACTTTGTGCCTGAATCGGCCCCTGAAGGAGAATACTTCAGTAGGTGTCGATTACGTAAGCAAACAGGGGTCCAAATTATTTTCGAGCTCGAATGGTGAAGCTTCACATTTTACATGTTTACATAGGAGTCTGTCTACCACCGCACCTACATCTTGACGACTACTCGCAAGGCTCCTAACGGCCTCTACTGCAACTCTTTCTCGTTATGTGTTAAGTCTTTCGACAGTCCAAGATCATAATGGGTTCAAAAGCTGCAATGTCGGCTTTCCCAGCTCCCTTTTCGCCCAATGCAACCACCATGCTTCCTTTTCTGTATCAGACAAGAACACTCGCCAGTCTATATAGTAGGAGAGGTGGATTGAGTATCAAGCCCAGATACGCGAACCTGGTTAGTAGGAGGAGCTTCCGTCAGAGCACGATCAATTATTCCTCCGACGATCAGACAGTCGAGACTTCTCGAGTTCCCAGCGAACCAACGCAGCAGCCCGTGGGTGGTACGGATAAAGGAACTGGCAGCCCTAGGATTCGGAGGGTCTTGTTATCGTATGCTCCTCCTGAGCGGGAGAGGGTTTCGTTCTCGTACGACTCCAATACAAGTGCAAATGAGCCACAGAACGACAAGGATGGATATGTGCTCCCTAGAACGGAGGATACAAATGACAATGAGGGGGGAGATGGGGAAGTCGCTGGTAGATCTGTTGTCAGAAGAACTCCGAGTAGAGTGAAGATGCCGGCATGGAGCACCAGATCAACTCCTGGGAAGAAAGGCCATAGCAGTGGAAGGCAGTCTGAAGAATTCGATATTCCTTGGGAAGAAGCAGACCACGCGGGATTCAAGGAGTTTACTTCAGATGGGCTTCCCGAGGAAACCTACCAGGAGATGGACGAAATCGACAATTTGACCAGCAAATCAGGCCCACGGCAAGACCGAACATCTACAATAACGCCCTCAGAAAAACACGCATTCCAAAAGATCTTCTCGGACATCTTTGCACGATCTCGACAGTCTCAGAAATTCGGATCTGCTTCTCTAGAGGACGACGAGGAAATCGAACAAGCTCCTGGAAAGGATCAAAGTCAGAGGGCCAAGGCGAAACTTGACAAAATCGTGGGGTCTGCCGCTAGGATTCAGTCTAGGGAGGAGATGGAAATAGCCGTCAATCGATATCCTCCCGCTCTTCGTGCTGCGGCTGCTAGAGCCATTGGTCTCGATGCTGCGACGCAGCAGTCCCATGAAGAAGTCACGGAGGTGGATGAGTCAGTTCTGGACAATGATCAATTGGAACAGCTCCGAAAGCCAGAGCGTGATCGTGTTGAAGGTCTCATGAACTCTGCGCGGACGGATTTTGAACTGTGGGCAGTGATGGAGAAAGAGGTGTTTCCTCTGATCACCAAGCTGGGATTAGAGGAGAGGCCAGAGACAGATGAGCCAACGAAGAAGCGTGGGAGGAAGACAAAGCGTGATCAAGAAAGCCTTCCGCGCGAGGAATCTAATCCAACTACCTCTACCTTGGATACTCCTGATGATGGAATATCGCCTCTGGCCTTCTACGGTCCTCTCTATCCATCGTATCTCCTCTTGGGTCTTCGGCTTCTGGATCGCTCCTTTGCCAAGCCCTCGCCCCTTACGCTATCTATTCTTCCGAGGATTAAATCGTTGGGGGTTATATCGCACGTTCTCGGTGCATCGACACAACTGTACAACGAGCTTCTCCTTATCCACTGGTACCGACAAGATGATTTCCGCGGAGTGCTCAACCTGCTGAGCGAGATGGAGCAGTTTGGACTGGACTGGGATAAGGAGAGCTTGGAAATCGTGGATGATATCGTGAAGATGCAAGCCGCGGTTCGCCGAGGTGATCGAGGCACGACCCTGAAAGCCCTCTGGACCCTACCCGAATTCGCACCTGATAAGTTCAAGTCCTGGAGAAACAAGATCAGACATGCCCTGGATGAGAGGAGTCGGGATGCCTCGCAGTTGTCGTATTGAAAGGCCCAGTGACGTGTAGTATGCCGTCAAACTCTTGTATTATAATGTATTATTACACATCTCCTGCAATGTGCAGCGGTGGTTTTTATACCATATCAATCAACCTATTCTGCAAATCCTGGTATCATTTTCTTCATCTCGGGGCCGTCCTGACGCCAATATTCAAAATTTTCATCTCTATCGAACCCACGCTGAGCCTTTTTCGCCTCATTCATTCCCTTCTCTTTTCTTTGTTGTGCCCGTCCATCTATCTCTATCTCTCCCTCCCCTTCTTTTGTCCCTACCCACCCACTTTCGCAAAGATCCCCCAAATCCTCCCCCTCACCCCAAGTCCGCCCAGCCTCTTCCTAACCGGATACACATACGCCAACTCTGTCGGTCTCCCTAGCACGCACAGAATCATCATCAGCCATCGCCATCAATCATCATCATCACCACCACCATCATTATCATCAACATCTTCATCCCCCCCCACCGTCTCAGTCGAACCACGAAACGCAAAAAGAGACACACATACGAATATTCCCAGCGCCGCCGATTCCAAAACTGCGTTTTTTCTCGATGGCAGAGGAGCGAGGAGGAGGTGGAAAGGTGGGTTTAGGAACGAGTTGCGAGAGGCTGGTCGTGGTCCCGCGGGAGCTGGGGCGGGAGAGCGAGGGATGGGTAGTTGACATTTTGAAGGAGGAGGGGGAGGGAGGAGAAGAAGAGGGGATTGTGGGGATTGTGGATGTGTGAAGAAAGAAGAAGAAGAAGAAGAAGAAGGAAGGATGGAGGTGGGTTGGTGATGAATGGTGATGGTGGTAGAGTGTTGCATTGTTAAGTGAAGGGGCGGGCGTGCATGGGAAGAAGGAGAGAAAGGAAAGGAAAGAGAGCTGATGGGATATAATATCTCGTATCTCTCCCTCTTTCCCTCTTTTTTCCTTTCTTTCTTTCTTTATCCCATCTATAAATCAATCATCTCTCGTCCGGCCATCCATCCATCCCACCCTTCCCTCTCCCGCCGTCCCGGCCCATCCATCAAACCCATCAACCCATCTATCCATCCATCACAGAACATAGAATATATATATAATACACACATCTAATAACGAAGCAGCCTCCCGATAAAGATAAAGATTCGATCAATCAATCCCTGCTTATCGCATCCGGTGTCCCTGCCAAGAGACCCAAGCTTTTGTGGGGAGGAGGCGCGGCTCAACGCGAGCCCAGAGTCCAGATAGATAGGAGGATCGGGATCGGGATCGCTGCGATAAGAGACTCACTCACTCTCTAGAGATATGGCTGGGTTTGTTCTGGACCTTTCTTTTTTTAGTAGGGGGGGGAGGGGGGGGGAATGAAAATGTATGATGATGATGATGATGATGATGGTGATTAAATGGAAATAATATTAAGAAATACAATGTTATATGTGGAGGATAGGCATTGATAGGATGGCTTAATCAAATCAATACCGTCGGGATTCGAAATATTATACTCCTTACTTAGGAACGGATAGATAACCTAGATAACGCGGAGCTACCTTACCTTACCTACCTTTCCCAGGCAGGCATGTGTTCTAGAACTATACCTATCTAAGGTATTCCCGCGGAGCCATTCAATCAGACTTCAAAACCCGGGTATGAGCTCACACTCGAAGGAGGGTAGATTAGAAGATATGCAGGATTAGTAGATATCATTTATTTGTTGCTCTCTTTTTTGTTCTGTCTAAGAGGTGTATGGATAGAATCACGTGGTATACTTTTTTCTACAAAGTTGTTGGAAATAAAGAGACCTACCTTACCTTCTTACTTAAGGTAGATAGCTTTATACGTTTAAAAGATTTCCTGGTGGATTTCCTTTTGAGCATGAGGCATCCAAATGGTACTGTACTGTAAGGCTTTACAGAGTATAAGTCATAGCGTGCAAATAAATTCGAACAACCCGCTCTAAACGGTCAGTACTTTTTATATTCCTACATACTAGAGACAGATATAGCTTTACTTTGTACACTTTTTTCTTTTTAGAAAACTCTATTAGGAATCTTATTTATTTATCTAGCATATCTAAAGTATCTCGCTGGTACTCCCTCCTAGCTACCTAAGTAAGGCATTGCTTGCTCCATTTCAACAGCACCGCTAACTTCTCAACTCCCTAAATCAATCCAAACCCCCTAATTCCCCAGCTCCGGCAAAAGAAAGATGAATTTATATGAATTTGAAGCAGGCAGGGTTTACAAGCGCTTCCTTGCCCGCCTCCTGCGGGAGTTATGCGTGTCGGGAGTCATCCTCATAACGCGACTCGTCTGCGCGTAGGCGTTAAAGATGCTGTTATCAACCGGGACGTACTTCTTCGCTGGGAGGGGTTTTGGTTTAGGGATTGGTAGGAGTCTGGGGATAAGGATCTCGTTTTCGGAGAGAATGTTGGGGAAGGATTGGCGGTTGGAGGGCGTGGGGTTGGGCGCTTTTGACTGTCCTTGGGTTGGGAGGGCGCCGAAGGAGCTTGGGTGTGAATAGGGGGAAAGAGATGATGTGGATGTGGTAGGGAGTTTTCCTCTATTTCCTTCGCTGTCTTCGTTATTTATCCCCGAATTTCTATCCCTAGCCTCGTCGTCGCATGTCCATTTCCGGGGAGCATGCAGATTCGAGATTCCTCTGCGTTCATGATTCGAACTCAGACTGCTTGCAGACCAACTGCTCTGGCTCAAACTCAAATTACCAACAGACCGTCTTCCCCCTTTCGCTGGGTTCATCCCACTACTAGGAGCCCCAGGCGTCGATTCCTTAGATCCCGAGGAGATGGATGCAGAATCCGTTAGCCTTGGGATCTTGTACGCCCTTTCTGAAGGTAGGATTCTCGTTTCTTGAAACATGCTGTGTGACCGCTTGAGATTTTTCACGGGTGGTAAAATTTTCGTCTCTTGTGTCGTGCTGTGTAGCTGCCGTATGAGAGACTTCTGCTTGGTATTGGTTTGGGTTATGGGTCCAGACACAAGTGTTGAAGTATCAGAATTGCTGGGTGAAGGTGATCGCAATGGAAGGGGGCCGAGCGACCCTCCGAACTTCCGCCCAGTAGCTTCTTCGCCGCGAAGCTCGTCGGAGTCTTCCCCAAGGATTACTTGTTGAGGTCGGGTTGATTGAACAGCTCGATGGACAGCGTTGGCCTTTGTAGGCTTGACTGCTACCACGGCTTCTTTGGCCACGGGCACTCTTTTGGGTTCATCGTCAGGTGGGTTCTTCAGCCAAGCCTCTCGGAGAGATAAGCCCAAGGCCAGAGATACAGCTCTCGAGACACTATTGCCAACAACTTTCCATTTCTCACGAGGGTTACCCACGAGAACCTCCTCGTCCGGGAAACTCTGTGCTCGTCTTGCTTCCATAGCCGTAATCGTCCGCTGCTGATCCCAGTGCAGACAAGTGCCCATGCGAGAATCCAGCGGATAGGTGCAGGCGACGATGGTTCTGAAGAGACGGTTTGGATGCACTCTCCCCCAGGCATTTGACTCTTTCTGGACACACTGAGGAACCCTTCCAGTTTTCGTGAGTCTCGGAAACAGGTTGCGCTGCTCCTTGGTCATAACGCCGTTCCCTTCGTCCCAGGCAGTAGAGAACTTAGACCCGCGTGGCCACGTTGGAATGGCGTTGATTTGAGATCGCAGATCCGTGGAGATACTTATAGGCACGACATGATCTGGATGCTTCGTACACTGGTAGGTTTGCCCATCTCCAATGTCAGGGAGGTCTTTAGTAGCTTCAGAGGAGGTCACGTATTCGAAAGGCGTTGGGCCATGGATGCGCTGACCGAAGGACTGGCCATTAGCCAGCTTCCCAAGCCCTCGATGTCTGATGCCTGACGGGTGAGAGTGAGACAATTGTGGATGTTCGAGAGGCTCGCATCCGGGAGCCGCAAAGGATACGAAGAGCCGACTCCGCGATTGTGGAGAGCCACAGGACCAGGCATCCAAAACGAAGATCTGGAGCTGGTACCCCATCCCTACAATAGCACAGATCAATTGCGAAAGGACGTCCTCATCGCGGCCAAGTCCCTTTTGCGCCATGGTCATGACGTTCTCCAACAATCCATACTTCGGGCGGTAGAAATCAACATATGCCGCCACGCTAGCAACGAGGGATTGGTTTTTAAGACCCTTCTCATTGTTCTTCCGGACGTTCAAGCTGCTGAACCCCTGGCAAGGACTCCCTGCGGATATAAAGTCGACGTCGCCAGGCATAGGGACGAGGTCTGATCGTTTCGGATTCCCGTGGAGAGCCTGATAGAGTTGGTCATCCACCGAACCGCAGTACAGCTTCGTCGCAGCTGGATCTTTTAAGTTTGCATAGTACGAGTGGATGGGGATCTTCGCATAATCTACAGCCCATTTGTTATGCAGGGCTCCACCCTCCTCGAGACCTCTTCCAAAGTTCCCACCACCGCAATAGAGATCCAGGCCTTGGAGCTGCTTGCGAGGCGGTGCAGCCGTAGGATCAAACCCCTGAATCATGGTCTGCGGGAGATCTTCATGGATAGGTTTTAATTCCTGGCGCCCGGCATTCTCCACAAGTCTCGTCGTGATATAGAACGCATTTCCGGTCCCATCTCTGTTGTAAGGCGCGGGTATAGCCTTTTTCTCTACTTCATCCTCGCGGTAAAAACGGACGAGACAGGTCCGTTCTATGTTCTTTGCTTCAACTTTGTGAGTCTGGCTGCTGTACACCAATTCGTTTGGTCGGCGAGCACTCTGCCCTGGCATCTCCCGTCGCCGTAAGAGCTGCCTCAATATAGCCATTATTCTGGTCCCTTCCTTAACGTAATCGATAATCTCGTACGGTTCTAAAGTATGTTTCGGTTGTCGCTCAGGCGGAGGAACGAGAACCGTCTGGCCGATAGGATATTGTTTTGGGATTATAGGTGCTTTCCGCCGGCGAAGATGTTCGCATTGCATATGCACCTCTTTCAAGGTCTCAAACTTCTCATTCTCGAGATAGACTTGTCGAACGAATAGGCCCTGCTGTGCTTTTGAGGGTTGCGCATGCCAGGCCACAGTCACCACATCCAGAACCTCGTCTTCTGGGATTCGGCCGTGGGAACAGGTGCAGTTATCGGAGAGAAACAGCTCGTTGGGATATGGATACTTCATCTTGGCACAACAGGTATCCGAGGATTTGTAGAGCCAGAGGCCGGAGAAGGAGCGTTTCCCCTTGTTCGATTCATGAACTTCTTGGACGTATATATACCAACAGTCGTCAGCAGCCTTCCAACGGCTGACCTCGTCCTTCCACACCGAGCCCTCACCGTCTTTCGTAACGGATAGCACATCCCCAACCCGAATAGCCTTGATCTTTTGCTTTAATTCTGCAAGAAAGTCTGCTTTTTTGTCGTCCATAGAGACACTTTTGTCATCAGAAAGCCCTTTCACAGGCATTGAAGTTTTTGATAAAGGAATCCCCACAACTGGATGACTCGCAGCCCGGTCGACTGGTAGGTCTAATGCCTTTCCTTGAGAGGCGCGTAGATCCTGCGCTTTTGTCGTAGGCCTTACCGACTTCAGCAGGTGACCAAAGCGAAGGTGCTCAAAGCAATCATAAACATAAGGTGTGACGACTGTTTTAGATTCTTTGGGTTGCTGTACTGGGATAAAATCCCTCTCCAAGAGCTCATTCCATATCGGCATTGCTCGAAGCTCGTCATCGACTCCAATGCTTTCCTTGAACAGAAACTGTATGTTTGCGGCAACAGCCCGCCGAAAATCATCGCTCTCATATTCCCGATACCATGACTGGAAGCTTGGGGACTCTCCGTGCATCTTTTGGACCCACCGAGAAAAATCTGTGCGGAAATTGTGAACTGAGACTTGTTTCCCTTCATCGACAGCCGCTTGACAGTAGTCGACGAAATGCTTTGCAAGACCAGCTACCCACATAAAACTATGGTAGAAACGAGCGTATTCAGGCGCTGGAGATTTCAAACGGTAGTAGATCTCTGAGTCGGCCAGCAATGTAGATCGGATCCAAATATTGTCTCCCACATCATGGAGATCTTCGCCATAATTTCCAATAGAGCATAAATCAAAAGGAACTCCTTCCACATAACGCTGAACGTTCCCCACGCTGAGAATACCGTCAAATAAAAAGCAGGAATAGGCAGTTTTGCTGGCGAGGTCCTGTAGCGACCAAAGTTCAAAAGGATGGTGTCGATTGTCGGGGAGATAGACGACGAAATTTGATAACTCCAACTCTTCATAATCATTAGAAGGACTTGTTCGTTTAGACTTGGGCATTGCGAGTCTTTGCCGATCGAGTTCCTGCAGGAGGTCTTCGATTGCAGTTGATTCCTTGTAAACTGGTAGCGGGGACTCGTAGCCTGCATATTGGGACTTGGGGTATCTGAGCTGTGATGGCTGTACTGATTCGAGAACGCGCTGGTTCGGGAGATGCAACCCTATGTCATACCCTCCACTCTCCCGCAAAGGGTCCTTCTGTGTCGGTGAATACTTGTCCCCAAGGTCTTGTTCGTTATCAGTATCGCTGCTGGGGGGAGTCTCAGTCTTGAAGTAGGTTCGCAGTAGAGAGGGAGTAGGTTGTTGGAGTTCGTCGGCAAAGGGATCAGCAGTGTCGAAAACCGTATCCTTATCCTCAGACGAGGAGGAAATATCTGCCGCAGCTCCATGTTCAGATGGGGACACTGCTACCGCGGCGTAGAAGGCGTCTAGGAAATCAGAAGGTTCACTTGTGTTGTCCTCATCTGTGATTCAATTAGTATTTCTCCGCAATTGAGAATTGAGAAAAAGTGAAGCACCTGGGAATTGGGCCGGCATGATTCTCCCCAGTGTCCTGCTCGGTTTCCCCACGCGCGAAATCCAACTCGAGAGCGGTCACAGAAACTCCCGTGCGCGGACTGTGGGGAGCTCAGATTCACGAAAGGCCTGGTGGGGAACGAACAAGGCGCGAGGGGGCAGAGATAGAGCGCGTAAACAAATTCGCCATAGATTGAACGTTGTAAATTCGTAGAAGAGGCTATACGCGATAAGTCCGGCTCCGCGGGGACCAGAAGGGCTGAGTGAATTGGCACCCAGCCCCCTGGGATATCGCGCCGTCGATTGTGAGATTGTTGAAATGCGACAACCGAATGTGGAAAAGCTCAGCCTCGTGGACGGCCGGATCTAGGGGACCGGGTCCACCAAACTTTATCTTTGTCTTCCCGCCAGGCACCATCAATTCACCCTTCTTTATGAGCATTCCAATGTCCCTATTATATTCTCTTGACAATCACAGGATGTTAAACACCTAGATTGATGGTTCAGATCTCTGATTGCTAGAATCTAAAAAACATGGTATCTCATCTTCCGATTCCTCGCCATGCGACATGCGCCTGATTGGTAGCACCCAGCTACTACTACTAGCAATTAAGCAATTAAATCCTATCGATCCGTCACTCGTCAAATCATCATCCCGGACATTCGCCAACGTATGCTCTTCATAATGCGTGAGATCATCCCGAACTTTCGTACCAGCAGCCCAGACCCCGCCTCTATATTCCCCCATCCTGTGCTTATAATATAGCAGGCCGCTGAAACGCAATGGGTTGTGTGTACATCGCCAATAACTCCTCGCTGAAATCATCCAACAAGATTATCTTAAATTTCCCCTTCCACTTTTGCAAGAACTCCTTCGATCGATATTCCTGGCTGAGACACGAGCTCCATGCGGCGAGTTCGACTTTCCAGCCTTTTGCCAGTGCTCGCTCAACGTTTTTGAAGAAGCCGCCCGAGTACTCGGCCTGGGCAGCATCTCCGCTAGCCAGGACGATTGTTGACGGTCTCTGTGTATCCACCAAGCTTTCAAGGAGTTTCATCTGTAGGATTTCGTCTACTCCTTGTTCCGCCACAACTCTAGAGCTCATGGACGCTCCATCCGAGCCACTTGAATGTCCGGAAGTAGTGGCATAGCCATTCCCATTCCCGCTCCCTCTTCGCTTTTGCTTCAATGGTATCGGATCTTTGCGCTTCAAGACGCGGTCCAGGATGTTAAGCTCATAGCCGCATTTTTCGGCCTCCAACATATAGTCCGGAAGTTTTGCTGGTTGCCCGTGAAGCGGGGAACCATTTGAACCAACAAGTATTCGACGGGCAACTGGGCGACCTATCTCGGAGTCAGTATTATTCAATCAGACCAAGATAACAGAACACTCTAAAATACAACTCATGAAGGGTATGTTGCATTTCAGTCATGAGTCCAGAACGTACCTCTTTCCAAAATCAGAGCCAATGAAGGCCAGGATATAGGCGCTTGCTTAGTATATGCTCGAATGTTGTAACCCCTCCTGATTTTGAGCGTGTTATAGAAGCCAATTATGATGTTGGAACAATCCACAAATACGTGTATGCCATCTTGGTCTTTGTTTCCTAGACTCTCTAGTTTTAACCCAAATCCCTTCTTTAACTTCCGAATAAGCCTTTCCTTTTTCTCTTCAGCCGTAAGAGCCTCAATAGGTTGGATTATCATAGGATCGACATGTATCTTCGGAGCAGATGGGGGAACCCATAGGGAGCGTTCTGACTTCGGTCGAACGAAGAAGGCCTCCTCTTCGATCGATGAGGGTCGGGATCCATCTACTAGAGAACTTAAAGAGCTCCGATTGCGTCTATGGCGTCTAGTATGGTGTAGGCGTCTGTGTGAAGGCTCTGCTTCCGACTCGAATTGCTCTGTTAGCTCCGCCCCATCCACCTCGTCGGCCCACCGGACTTCCTTGACTGTGTCGACAGGATCGTCAACGTGCACCGCATCGTCAGTGATGGAAGAAGGAGGGGTCGAGTAGTCGGGGCGCGAAGATGACGAGGATCCGTTCGACTCTTGTCTTGGACGAACATCCTGAATTGGTCGGCCAAGGAACTCGTACAGTCGGGTGAAGTCGCCTAGACTGGAAGGCTCGCTCGATTTCGGGTTGAAGAGGGTAGGGTCTAAGATCGGGGTAGGAGCCACAGGGGAGGACTGCGAAAACTGATTGTCTGGGGAGAGAGGAGGTCTGAAGGCGTCGAGCAGATCATAGATTGGTGTGAAGTCCCACGGAGGGACATTTTCTGAAGTCATCGGAACTATCAAAGTTAATCAGGCGTTCCGAGCGAGACAGTCGAAGGAGTATATCTCGTACAATAAATAAGGCAGAGCACAATATGCCTAACGGATACATTGCCGCAGTTGATGTTGGAGATTCAGACACCGTTGGAGCCGTTGGAGAGTCAGGAAGGAATTGGCCACTCGATGATGGAAGGGCGAGGCGAGGCGAGGCTGGAACCTCTCGCTTGTCTGTGGCTCCCTCCCGTCGGTACAGAAGGCGGGGGAGGAGGAGGCTGATGGTGATTGGTTGATATTTAATAGGTGCCGTCCTTATAAGTTACATAAGGTACTATGTAAGGTAAGGTACCTACTCTACATACGCGCATTGCGATGGCCAAGGTATGAAGCAAGTTATCTACCGTATGTATCTGTACCAGGAACGTGTATAGCACCTGAATATGTTCAGTACCTTAGGTACGTTTGCAGGAGCCTCGGCAGCGACCGGACGACGAGGGTGTACATTGGTATACACTGGTACAGCAACGTCCGCATCCTCCGCAAGGACCACACTACGGAGGATACGTACAATTTACAAACATTATTAGTGCAAGACGGTTCGAAAATCTGCCGAAGATCGCCACCGCAGATGATGTAGTTCCAGGGAGCGATTTAATTTACTTCCTGACGACGTTCTAATTATGAGTGGAGAGCAAAGGAGCCCGTCCCTTATCGCGCGTGTGTCGGTAATTATCTGCAGAGACAGGACCTGTATCAGATTCCAGCCAAAGTATCCGTGCAGGAATAGAATGGGGATGATCATCATCTGGCGGCTCCAGAGACACGACTATCGCGCGCATAAGCAGCCCGCGCATGGGAGCCCCATGGGATCGCATGTCAACAGCGCCTAATATATATAGACCTGGTCTTGAGAGGCGACAGCCCATGTGTACGATATACGTACATACATACATGTGGTATGTGCTGCGACGGCAACTACTGTACCAGCGTGCCCTAGGGCATAAGGAACAGTGTGCTGTGTACAGTAGTACGCTCTGGTACCTGCATCCGCGTTCAGGAACAAGCGCCGCTCTTCATGCTAAAAGCTTCCTTTTAGCTTCCAGTAAAAAAGGTTAAGAAAAGTCGAAGTTGGGCTCCGGAATGGCGGGGAGGGATCGGGATTTATTTCGTGTTAGTATGCGTATTGCTATATATACCCGTACCTAAAGGTTCTCTCTATACAGTACTAGGTACACAGCACACTCGTACCGACACGAACCCGTGGATATTCGATGCGGGAAGCCGGCCCTGGATGACGCGGGGAGAGCGATGGGGAATATCATGAGGACGTCTGGAGGAGGGGAGAAGGTCAGAAGCCTGTCTGATGTCTCATGTACCTGGGCCCGTCCTTGGTCGATGCTCGGCGGAGAATAATTGCTGGATCCTCATTCGCGGTCCGGGCGCGGGGCATTGGGGGATGACATATGATATCGACCATTTCCCATGATTCTGTCACATTCGTGCTGCCATCTATATCTGCCGCACTGTCCCATATACGATAGGATATCCCAGAATCACATCGCTATCACCTCCGTCACATCTGTTCATGTGCGCGGAGAGATTGGAGCTGCATAGGGATCCCATTGCATCACCGCGACTATGGCCAGGGAGAGCATGTCCTCCTATCGCCAGGCGGCATCCCATTTGTTGATCGGCGTTCGCCAACTCCAAACTCGCTTTCAGGCACAGGCACCGGCCAATGAACGAAGGGCGCGCAGCGATTGGGGTAGCACCAGAATGTTCCCTCTGTTGTATATGATTATATATCCCTCTAGATAGTGGTAGTAGTTGTTGTAGACTCAGTCGTGGTCAACACCCTCCCTTCGTATCCAGCCGCGAGACCCTTGTTCCTGTTTCTCCCTTTAGCCGTGTCTCGCCGCCAGGTACTAGAAAGGTACTAGGGAGATTCTACTATCCTGCCCCGCGCGCGATTGGCGATTGACAGCTCTTCTTCTGCTGGTGTGGACTGTGAACTTGTGAAGGTTGCGGTACTGCAGACGGACAATCATCAGTACTGCTAGCATCGCAGACGAGGGAGCGTTGAAACCTGAGAGACAAAGATCGGAAAAACTTGCCGTCTCTTTATATGCACGACTGTTGTAACTGCTGGGGAGTCCGATAGCGACAGGGGTAGAATGCCTCGACGGTTTCAACTTGGGGCGATGCCTGTCTCTCTCGCCCATCACCCAGAGAGGACTCCATGCGCGAGTCTAACGCTGCTTACGGCTGTGGTGCTAGTCCCTTTTGGCTTCCACTTTTACTCCTCTCCCTCTCTCTCCCCCCCCTCCTCCGTCGCACCGTTTGATTGATACTCCCCTCCCCCGTCGTCGTCGTCTTCCTCCTCCTCCTCCTCATCATCGCCATCGCCTCCTCGCTCTCCTTTCTTTGCTCACGACTCCCCATCGATACCCTCGCGCCTTGTCGAACTGTTGTATATTCCCCCCATCCGCCTCCTGATTCTGCCATCCCTTCTACCCCAGTCCCGTCGAACCGTCGAACTCCGTATCTGACCCTGAATCCCCTCCATTTCGCGACCGCAAACAACCCTCCTCCTATACTCGACATTCCCCCACACAATCCACGCCCCTACTACCTAATTTAATCGAGCACGCAAATCCGAATCATCGAGCATTCATTCAAGCGCCATTGAAGCTTCGCCTCCGTCCTCGTGTCGGATTCCATATCGTGTGGCTCGCTGGTCGACACCGAGAACAGATATAATATACGGCTCGGAACCCTGACCTGCCTTGCATACCTATCTACTTTGCTACTTGTACGATCATAATACCACCTCGACCACTTCCGATAATATCACCCTTCACAACTTCTCGAGCTGCGAATTCGAATTGCCTCGCCATCCACCGAATACCCCTTTCCATATGATCCACCTGCACGCGCTGTCAACCTCCCTGCGCAGACCTCTCCTTTGATCCCTTGTTGATCGAGAGCGCCTGCCCCGACAAAACAACAGTGACACTCGGCCAGCAGAGGAGCCATCGAGACTCCTCCGATATTACGACTCGCAGCATCCTTCGCGGACGGTAAGCCGCGCCCATGAGCGTGATGCTTCAGACCCCTTCGCGGGCTTCAACAGCCTCCTCTTCCTCCTTCCAACCAGTCTCGCGCCAGAATACCATGTCGTCCCACGATGGAGGAAGGTCGGTCCGCCAGTCGAAGCGCCATTCCATGACCACGCTGTACATGTCCATGTCTGCAAATGAGAGGGATTTGGAGATTGAAGATGATCTTGCCAAAGGTACAGGTCCTGATCCACGCTTGGTATGCACGCTGCTAACCGGTCCCCTACAGCCCAGAAGGTCCTGCGTGACCTCAAAGCGAAGATTTCCTCGCAGTCAAAGAAGAATTTCGTATTGGAGAAGGACGTCAGATACCTTGATTCTCGGATAGCCTTGTTGATCCAGAATCGGATGGCACTGGAAGAGGTGAGTGGGATGGATACCACTGCATGGTGCCTTGACTGACGGGTGGATAGCAAAACGAAGTCGCAAGTCATCTCGAAGACGCCACGGAATTACAAGAGGGTACCTTTCCAAACGACGAGAAGACACAAAAATATGGCAATCTCCTCTTCTTGCTACAGTGCGAACCGAGACACATCGCACATCTCTGTCGTCTGGTCACCATGGCGGAGATTGACTCTTTACTTCAGACCGTCATGTTCACAATCTATGGAAACCAGTATGAGAGTCGTGAGGAACATCTTCTCTTGACCATGTTTCAAGTAACGTCTCCCCATCTCCAAATGATCTTCTATCACTGACCGGACCCCATAGTCTGTATTGACCTACCAATTCGATAACACGCCTGAGTATTCCTCTCTTCTACGCGCGAATACCCCCGTATCTCGGATGATGACCACCTATACGCGGAGAGGTCCTGGACAAAGCTATCTCAAGACGGTGCTGGCTGATCGGATCAACGGACTCATCGAGTTGAGGGATCTAGACCTTGAGATCAACCCCCTGAAGGTCTACGAACGGATGATTGAGCAGATCGAAGAGGATACTGGAAACGTACCGTCTTCTCTGCCTCGAGGGATTACTGCGGAGCAAGCAGCAGAAAACCCGCAGGTCCAAGCAATCATTGAACCGAGGTTGACAATCTTGATGGAAATTGCAAACGGATTCTTGTCAACGATCATCCAAGGCCTGGAAGAGACCCCGTATGGCATTCGATGGATCTGCAAGCAGATCCGGAGTCTGACGAAACGCAAATACCCGGATGCGAACGATCAGGTGATCTGTACCTTGATCGGAGGTTTCTTCTTCCTGCGATTTATCAACCCTGCGATCGTCACCCCGAAATCGTACATGTTGATCGATGGCACCCCTGCCGAGCGGCCCCGGAGGACTCTGACTCTGATCGCGAAGATGTTGCAGAACCTCGCGAACAAGCCTTCGTACGCCAAGGAACCTTATATGGCTAAACTTCAACCCTTCATTCAGGAGAATAAGGAGCGGGTGAACAAGTTCATGCTCGACCTCTGTGAGGTGCAGGATTTCTACGAAAGCTTGGAAATGGACAACTATGTTGCCCTCTCTAAGAAGGATCTCGAGCTTTCTATTTCTCTCAACGAAGTGTACGCTACGCACGCCTTGCTTGAGAAGCACAGCGCCGAGCTGAACAAGGATGAGAACTCCCATCTCGCCGTGATCCTGAATGAGCTTGGACCCGCACCGCCACTGCTGCCTCGCAAAGAGAACAGAGCGATCAACTTGCCCCTCTTCAGCAAGTGGGAGACGGCCATCGATGACTTGACTGCCGCTCTCGATATCACCCAAGAGGAGATATACTTCATGGAGGCCAAATCGACCTTTGTCCAGATTATGCGATCTATACCGTCCAATAGTGCTGTGGCTCGCCGACCTCTGCGCCTTGAACGGGTCGCTGATGCGGCAGCTACGTCACGAAACGATGCCGTGATGGTGCGGAAAGGAATCCGGGCAATGGAGCTCCTTAGCCAGCTGCAAGAGCTTCAGGTTATTGACAAGTCTGACCATTTCAGCCTTCTCCGGGATGAAGTTGAGCAAGAACTACAGCATCTCGGCTCACTCAAGGAGGGCGTCATCCAGGAGACTCAAAAATTGGACCAGGTCTTCAAGACCATCCGAGATCACAACGCCTACCTAGTCAACCAACTCGAGACGTACAAGAGTTACCTGCATAATGTTCGAAGCCAGAGCGAGGGCACCAAGCGGAAAACACAGAAACATCAGGTTCTGGGGCCGTATAAATTCACACATCAAGATTTGGAGAAGCAGGGTGTTATTCAAAAGAGTAACGTGCCGGACAATCGGAGGGCTAACATATATTTCAATTTCACGAGCCCTCTGCCCGGTACATTTGTCATATCTCTTCACTACAAAGGTACGCACGCTACTCTGAAATCTTGCTAGGTTTGACGGACATTAACATTGTACAGGGCGTAATCGGGGACTTCTTGAACTCGATCTGAAGCTGGACGACTTACTCGAGATGCAGAAGGACGGCCAAGAAGATCTCGATCTCGAATACGTGCAGTTCAACGTCCCGAAGGTTCTTGCCCTTCTGAACAAGCGCTTTGCGAGAAAGAAGGGCTGGTAAATTGCCCTCGTTTGGCGGCTCGAATTCCGGCCCTGACCGGATCCGACTGAATTTCTGTAAACGTATTGACGGGATTCGGCGACCCCTTCGCTTAGCATTCACCACAACACACGAATGGGTGGAAGGGATTGAACGAAACGTCCCCAAAGACCTGCAATACACCCGGCAGGCAGGACAGGATGGCGGCGTTCCGTATTAGACGATGGGCTTGAAATGATTGAAATGCACTGGCTAGGGCTCTATACCTCATTTCTCTTTGTTGTCGTCATCTTTCTTTTTTTTCTCTTCCGAATATGACTGTCTTAATGGATTGATTTTGTGCTTTTTGTTTTTGTCTCTGCTTTTTTTGCTTTTCACAATAGTCCAAGGTCATTAATGAGGGGTACGTGGTGATGACGAGGTCCTACCGCGGGCGGGTTGGACGACCTCACGAGGACCGAGGATCAAGGATGTAATCTGTAGCAGCAAACGAGAGGTGGTCCTAGATCTGAGAGGTCTGAGGGCGAGTGTGCGATATGGGATTTGAACGGAATGGAACTGAACTGACCTGAACCATGTAATATAACGAACGAGAGCAAGAGCTAATATTGATTTTCTGTTACTTCCTGAAGGCCTTGTGGCTGGTTTCTTTGTGTGAGAGAGATGGGTAAAGGTAGGATCCTATAAATATGACAAGAGAGAAGCAAGCCCCTTCATTACTTCAAGTGATTCAGTTAACAGAGATTGTTACTTTTATTTCTTTTGTTGTGTTAATCCTCCCCCAATTCTAGTTTGTCACCTACCTACCTACCTAACATGCACACTTCTTTTCTATCAAGGTAAACTCTACAAGTCATCGATCAAGACACCTGGGGAACCAGTTATCACGTGGTAACAATTAAGCGAACCCCTTTTCGAGACAGCAAGTGAATTAGAGATCTTATCATCTTTAGCAACATGTCTCTAAGCGAACCCCCTTGCGCTGCTATAACATTCAATTTACATCTCATCACCTTTGTCGGGTTTATTCCTCCTTGTGAATTTTTTTGGGGGGGTAATTCAAGACTGAGTTGGCACGTGTTAGGAGATAGGTAAGTAAGCTCCTTTTTTATCATAGTATAGTAGCTAAGTTGGGTATCTTCATCTTTGTCGGGTTTATTCTGTCCTGGTGAATGCTTTTTTAGGGTAATTTAAAAGACAGGTTGACACATCTAGAGGTAAGCGAACCTCTTGTGTTGCTATCACATTCAATTTAGATCTCATCACCTTTGTCAGGTTAATTCTGTCCTGGTGAATGCTTTTTCGGGTCAATCCAAGACAAGTTGACACAGGAGCTAAGAGAGATTCTTTTTACTATAACAGCTGATTTAGATCTCGTCACCTTTGTCGGGTTTATCCTGTCCTGATGAATCCTTTTTCGGGTTAATAGAAGCTCAGATCTTACCTACCAACCTAGCATACTCTGTCGACTAGCACACTCTCTTCCAACTCGGATACTAACTTAGCATTCTTCAACAGCATATTCAAGTGTGCTATCTGGCCTCTTTCCTTTTGTGACAACACCACTAGTACACCAGAGCTTTGCTTTTTACTCTTCAGATCTACTCTCTGAGGTAAGTTGATCCTCCTCTTCCCACAGACTCTCGGCTTAGCGAACTTTCAGAGCCTCGTGAGTCGTTGGCAACCCGATCTCCTCTTACTAACTCCCTTGACTTCAGGATCCGATCTAGATCTCTGCAACAAAAAGCCAGAGCGCATTGAAGACAGTTTCTACGGAAGGTGATTTTTAGATACTCAAACTACTTCCATCTTCACCTTTTCCGCAACTAACCGTTGTTAGATCTTGATCCTTTTCTCACCCCTCACGCCCTCAATCAAGGCATTCTTGACCATCGTCCTTCAACTAAACAAAGCGTCTTCAACAAGCCAAGATGTCCTCCAACTCTCAAGTTGCTGTCCAGGGTCTTCGAACCTTCCCACCCGAGGTCCGGAATATGATCTACAAGGCTGGCGGTGTCTTTGACGGTAAGACCCCCGAGCTTATCAAAGCCCTCCGCACCGATCCGGTCTTGTACCAAGAGGCCCTTTACGTCTTCCACGAAGAGAACGCATATCGTCTGAGCAGCGACAACGGCTGGGGATTTGGAGCCATGGACGGCGAAGTCCTCAAGGGTATCAAGAACCTCGATATCGATCTTAAGTAAGTCTCCCCCCTGCACCACACCATCTCCAGCAGTCCTAACAGCCTCGGTATAAATGAAATGACTAACGTGAAACAACCGCACTAGCTACAACATCCTCGGCCACATCCCGAAATTCATCTGGGGCTTCCAGCGGCTCGCGGCGGAGCGCACGCCTCTCAGCTCACTGCAGCGGGTCACGATCCGGCACGTGCAGACGCCCGGGATGGACCACTGGGAGATGAGACACTTCTGTGAGTTTGTGGTGGAGGCGCTGCGGCTGGTGATGGCGGCCATTTTCGAGGATTGCAAGGAGTTGACGACGCTCACGTTCTTCCCTGGCGGGCTGCCGGATGCGCAGCGCGCGTACTTCGTGGATGTTATGGAGAAGGAGATGTGGCTTATGGCGCGGGTGGAGAAGAATATGGGGGAGGCTGGTGGTGGGCTGGTGTATTGCTGGGAGGGGAAGCCGTTGACGGGTCCGGTGATTCAGAGGGAGGCGTTTTTGGAGATCAACTCGATGATGTACCTGGGTTGGCTCGCGGTGAGAGTTGATGATGATAATGATTGGGACACGGATGATGGTGCGGATTACGTTGATGAAGATGGAAGACTGATAGATGATGGACTTGCTGGGGATGCTGATTGTGGATTGGGATCTGACGATGGACAATCTGCTGATCAAGGATCTGCTGAGGAATAATCAGCTGTGGGTTTACCGTGGCCATTCTCAAGCCTAGGTTATCACTCTCCTTTTCCTCAGGGAGCGAGCTGCTCTTTTCTTTTATGGGATGTTCTCTCTCGGAGACTCTTCTTTTCTGAGGCTACTTCCAAAAGTCCTCCTCTCGGAAGTTCTTTTTACAGGCTCTCTGAAACTCTCAGAGACTCTTCTTTTCGGAGGCTACTTCCAGAAGTCCTCCTTTCGGAAGTTCTTTTCAGAGACTCTCAAAGACTCTCAGAGACTCTCTTTTTTCCAGAGACTCATATCCCAGAGTCACTTTTCTCACAAGCCAAGTTTTTCTCTCACTTTGGTCCCGCTATCCATCAGAACTATTAGACAGCCATCACTTGAGCGAGAGAGAACAGCTTCCAGGAAAAGATACCCACGTTAATTCAATTGCTTCCTTTAGTTTAGTCATTGTTTCTCTCTTAGCACTAATTCTAGACCTTTTTCCTATCAACCAAATTTCCATAAACTAGATAGGTTAAGTACAATTTGAATATGTGATGAACTGCTGTTGCTGTTCTGCCTACATTGAAGTAGTAGATAGAGAGTTATATTTTCGAGGACAAGGACGTTAAGGTAAGGGGGGGGCTTCATGTGATTTAAGCGAACCCCTGTTTGGTCGGCTGAGTATAAGAGCGCTCTACGCTGGTTGTATATCTGGATATCTAGAGATTGGGATCTGTCTTAAAGGCGAAGGTTTACGCATTTAGACAGCCCTGTGGCCATCAGGCGATGATCATTAATATAAGAACTTATTGTAACTTTTGACCGTCACGGCACCATGACCGGACGATCATTCATTCCCAAGATAGTCTTTCTATTTAGTATAGTCTCTGATATAAGATCATCAAATACAATTCAATGATATTTATGTTAGGAGTCGTGATTCTCCAAGACCAGGCAGCAGTTTTGAATTTGAACTGTGCGTGGAAGCTAAGCTAAGCTAAGGTGCAAACTTTAGAAAGGGCCCGGCGCAGGTGAAAACCAAGAAGTACCTAGGTACCTTAGAAAAGCTCCAAGGATTCAAGGCCTTTAGATAAATCGTAACATGTTTCTAACATCCATTTATTTCCCCGTGCTTCTAGCAGGATTTCGCTCACTATGCGAATAATTCCAGCTTCGAAGTTCGAGTTGACCCGGATAAATCTAGATCCATAAATGATTCCATGTCAAATTAAGGAAGGTCGTGAAAGCTACCCAGGTATTCTGGTAGTGGTATAGGTAAATAAGCTTCCGAGATCTATGGCACTTCCTAGCACTTAACCTGCCAAAGTCCTTTTAAGGAACCAGCGGATGCTAAACTAAGGTACCTTACACAAGTCAATACCAACCACGGATCACTCGACTTTAGAAGACTGGAACAGAACAGTCTACCTTAATTGCAAAACGATATATTTAAATCCACAATCTTCCTTCCTCACTTTAATTCTCGCTTCTCTTACATTCAATCAATGATTCAGCACTTCCTGCCCATCTCAAAACGCAAAGTCACAAAATCATTTGCAAACCACCAACTCTCATACATTATCATAATATCAAGAGGCAAGAAAGATCCAAGTCAAATCATTAACCAGACGACCCTGATTTGCCAGCCAATATGCTCTGGGAATGGGAATTAGTCGCGTGGGTTCTAATTATCCCAGTCCTCATCACTCTTTCCCTCATTGCTCTTTGTCTCATTGGCATTTTCCTCGTTGCATGTTTTACCGGGGTGAGCTATCTCATTTCCATTTGCCGGCGTCGAAAGAGTATGCGTCCTTGTAACAAAAATGTACTTGGGGAACTGGAAGCAGGAGGGCAGCCGGAAGAAACGGAGCGAAAGTTGAGTTTTGAGAGATGGAGGTATGACCATGTTTTCATTTACACTTTGAGATGGGAATTTTATGAAGCTAACGATGATGGTGAGAATGTGGAATATTATACAGGACTCACAATTGAAACGGCCAGAGTTGATAGCAACCCGATCCACCACTCTCGGACGTGGACAACTTTAGTAGTTGTCAGCATAGGTAGTTTCAACCACGGATGTTTGTATTACTCGGATTACCGATGAACACCTTCTTTCGAACTTCGGTCCTACCCCGCCGGCTTTGGCGTCGCCCGAGGGACCTGTCAATTGTCAAGTCCGTTAGCATGTTTTCATCAAAATAGGAAATTGTTTAATCTAGGAATTGCTTTTTAGTCGGGGAGGATTTCTGTCTTACTTACATTGAGAGAAGAGACCGCCAAGCAGACTCGAAGTCACTGGCACCAGTGCTGCTGTCGACGACCGGGGGTTGTATGTATGTCAGGTCGTCGGAGCTGTGGCTAGATACCTTATACTGTTAGCTCTATCAATGTACAAATTGTCGTGAATCATCAGCAGATTGTGAAGACCAGTCAGTCACTGTCAATGTTAATGTTCCAGTGCTGTTGGGATATTACATACCTACCTTTCTGATGAAGATGTCATATAGAAGAAGACATGGTAGATTAAACGAATGTTGTTGGTAAGGTAACGAGTGGTGTTTGGATAGTGATGTGCACGGTGTTATACGCTGTCTTGGAGATTGAATGTATGTCTTGGGGATTGAAGAAGTGATGAGAGATTTTGACTTAACCTACCTACCCAGGTTTACATTATCCCTAAGCTTCTTCTTCCTCATCTTCATCAAGGTCCTCTGAATATCACATACATCGCTTAGCCATAACCCCCCCCTTAAAAGTTTGATTTAGGATTTCACTCAGTGCGTTTTGGTACGAAAGAAAAAGATTGTTTATACCTACAGATACTCCTTTCTTTCTATCAATATTGCAATCCTCGTAGAAACCCTTGGTTCCTGTCACCCCATCATTACCTACCTAATGCATGCATGTAGAAGTAACTATCAAAGAACCGCTTTTAAATATCGATGTTGCTTTGTTGTGAACAATGAGTATTTATGTGAACAAGACCAGTTCAAATTATATTTTTTTTTTAATTTATTTTAAAACTTTACGACAGTCGCCTACGCCCCTAACTACCCTAAAAACTCGAAAACGAACAATAGAATCAAAATCGGCACCCTTAGATACCCCCTAGAGTACTAGCGGACTATAGACAAGCCTATAGTAACGGATAGTAGGTGTACTAGACTTGAGTAGAGCTAGTACTACCTGCTTATAAGAAGGAGCTAATACTCTTATTCCCTAATAAAAAGCTGTAGTAAGGAGCTAGTAAGTAGTAAGAGTAGTATAGACGATAAAACAAAGTTAATCTTACGACAAATTAAGGCCTACGTAATACTAGGTAAAGAAGATAAGGCGTTACGCTTCCTTTACGACCTTATTACGATAATAATAGTAGTAGTAGAGCTAAAGGCGGCAAATATAAAGACCCTCTTATATACCCTTAGGACCCTTTCTAACGACAACCTAGTAACGATTAGGTAATTAAGAACGATATTAAAAGAGGCCTTCTAGAGGCTAATAGTAGTAGTAGCCCCTTAGGCTACGTACGCGTTAGTAGTAGGCTAGTACCTAATAAGAGTATAAGTAATACTAGAGAAATAGATTAGAGAGCTAAGGATTAGAGTAGATAAATAGATAAAAGACCTAGTATGTTATAGCGCTATTAAAGTAGTAATAGTAGCTAATATAGTAATTAAGAGTACTAAGGTAGTAGCGACCTACTAGCTTTTTAGTAGTAATACTATCCTTACCTTTAAGGAGGCTATACTAAAGACTATAATCTAGGATTAGGGCTAAGTATAAAGAGCGTTTAGGCTTATAGCCTAACTCTATAAGAGTAAGTTTATAGTAATCGTAAAAGGCCTACTAGTAGACCGGGTTATATAAGTAGAATTAAGAGCGTTACTAGTAGAGATCTAAGCCTATATACTATATATTATAAAGGCTAAAGTCAAGCTTATTAAGGCCCTTATAGTAAAGTTTATAACAATAGTACTATACCTCTAGAGTACTAACGTAGTAATACGCCTATATAAACAAAGGCTAATCTAGTAAGCTTAGATCTTTAACTATAAGCTATATTTAGCTAACCTATATATCTAAAGATACTTCTAGTACTACTAGTTTAGCTATATTAGGCGGTTCTATAAGAACTAGGCCTAGTATAGCTACTATATAAGAGTAGCGTACCCTTAGAGTAAAGAGAAGTACCCTTAGCTTAATAGTAAGAAGAGATACATTAACTATAGTAGACTATATATAGTATAAGACTATTAGTATCTTAAGGCCTTTAAGGTAAAAGAGTAAGTATATACTATATATTAGTAAAGACCTAGACAGTTTAAGGTATTAAAGAGTAGCTTTACTAGCTAAGTACTTAGCGTTATACTAGCGTCCTTATAAGATAGTAATAATAGCTACTAGATTATAGTACTTAAGAGACTATAGACAGGTAATAATAAGAAGCCTATAGTAAGGACTCTAGTAAGGTATAAGCGCCTTTTTATTAGAGCGCTAGATATAGTAACAGTTTAGAGCTATAACATTATAGAGATGTTAAGCTAGAGAACTAACTAGGGGTCTAGCGACCCCTTTATAACGTAAGACTTATAGATCCTAGACTCTTAGTAATAAAATTAATAATAGTATACTAGAATACTATAAGAAAGAATAGCCTTACCTTAATAGTACTTTATAATAGCTATAAAGCTAACGTTATAGTAATCTAAGAGCTATAGTATAATAAATAGATAAAGACAGTCTACTACTTAGTATAAGTAAAGTACTAGTAGGTCTATAAGAGTAAAGGCTGTATAGTTATCTATGTTTATAAGTAGTACCTACCTCTTACTTAAGTAGTAAAGACTAGCGTTAACTAGTGTTACGTTACTTTATAAGGTATTACTATCTAGTTAATATACTCGCTAATTCCTAACTCTCTAGGCTAGACTAGCCCTCTCTAGCGGCTTACTAGAGAAGACCTAGAGAGGCTATAGATCGTTATAAGTAATATAATGTTAGGGACTTAAAGGGGTAAGATTAGGAATGTACAGGCCCTGTATACCTATAGGCACGCTAGGGCTACTTAGGGTTCTTAGGTAGTACACATATATCTTAGGAAGTAAAGAGTAAGAAAGAAAGGTAAGAATTAGTTTAGATTTAAATAAAAGTATACTATAACTTACTAGCTACTTAACTATAATTCTCTACTATATTACCTATAATACTAATCTTTAACATTCTAATTCTTCTTCTTATTAAGGAAGTAGCTTGTTATAGTTATAGTACTTAGTCGTTTAGAAAGAGATACTTAAGAGACTCTTATAAGAAGAGCTACTAGTAAAGGAAACCCTAGTAAAAGAACTCTTACTATAATATAAGTAAGCTATATAGTAGTTAGGTAAGAGTAGGATTAGAGAGTAAGAGACGCTAGTAACGAGTTAGTAACGCTTAGTTAAGTTAAAAGGCTATAGGCGTAACTTATAGAAGCCTAGAAACGTAATAAGGAACTTAAGTAACTAAATAAAGAGAGGGATAAGAAAGAGCGTAAGGCCTAAGAAAGGTTACTCTAATAGCTTATTAAAGAAGAGCGTATAAAGAGCTAGCGTCTCTCTTTACGCCTTTACGCGCCTAAAGACAAGGCTAGAAACATAATCTAAGAATAAGATAGTATCTATAATAAGGCTATAAAGTCCTTAAAAAGACACCTAGTAACACTCTTAAGACTACTAGTATTTGTAATAATAATAGTTAAGTAATAACAGGCCTTAGCCCTAAAGCCCTTTATAAGTAAGAATATCTTAGAATATAACGACTTTATATATACTTATAAGATAGAGTTTTATATAAGCCCTAATATCTATATAATAAAAGAGAGTAAAATTATATACGCTATACTATACCTAAAGAAAACTCTTTAATCTATATAAATACGTAAAGAATAAGAGTAAGAAGAGGATACTAGGATATAGTACAGTTTTAAGAAGGTTATACTATCTTACTTAAGTAGCCTAAAAATAGTAAAGTTAAAAGTACTTAGCTAGTATAAGAAGGTAGTACTTTACCTAGAACAATCTATCTAGTCGTTTGTCTAATACCTAAAGCTTCTTAAGGAATAACTCTCTCTTAAATCTAAAGAGACTAAGATAAATGTTCTCTTTACTAAGCTAACGTAAGAGCTTTAAGTTAAGGTCGCTAAGTACAAGCTTTTATAGACTTATAAAGAACTTATTATAGTAGTAACTTAGATTTAGAAAAGTATAGTAGGTTAGGATTCTAATAACGACAAGCGTATAAAGGGGCGCTAGTAAGGATATAGTAAATACATAAGTCGTTAAAAGAGTTAGTCTTTATCTAAGAAGCGCTAGTAAGGACGTAGTAAGTACCTAGTGTATTAATAAAGCCGCTCTATATCTAAAGAACATTTTAGAAAAAAGAGAGGCTTGTAAGACTTACGTTCTTAACACCTTAGTATAGGCGTTAATAACACACTACTATAATCTAGCTTAAACCTAAGGCCGTACCTAGAATACTATAAGTATAAGAGAAGAAGACATTATGTAAGAGATTATAGGTCTACGTCTATACTAAGGATATACCTAGAGGTCGTCTACTACGTTTATAGAGAAAAGGGCTATATAGCCCTAGCCTGCCTTAAGAGGGCTAATAAGTATACTAACTTAAGAAAAGAGAGGGCCTAAAGATAGTTGCCTTAATTAACTTAGGCCTCTCTAATAAAAAGAGGCGGTTAGATTATAAGAGGTAGCTAAGGATACGTCTTCTTATTACTATTAAGGTATAAGACAGCTAAGAAAAGGTAAAAAAAGTATAGGGTCTAATTAATAGTAGAGTAAAGGCTAATATAGTCTTTTAGTCCCTTATAGTTAAGTATAAGTAGTATAACAAAAATACTACCTTCTTACGTTTATAGCTCTAGATAGTCGATAGTAACTTAATTTTTATCTTTAGAGAGTATTAGGTCTTAGTAAGTACTACTAACTTAAAGGGTAAGACCTAAGAAGACACGTATAAGTTCTTAGCCGTAAACCTAAAAGTATACTTAATAGTACTTAGATACCTATAGCTCTATAAAGTAAACCCTAAGATTAATTTTGTTACTAAGACATAAGAGTATTACTAGGTATATAAAGGCGTAGAGATTATAAGACCTAAGGAATTCGTATAGGTCTTAAAAGAAGAAGAAGATACACTACTATTTAAGGCGTTCTTTAAGAGAGGTTATAGTAGCCTTCTTATAGTAGCTATACTTAGCGACAGTACATTAATAGCGCTATATATACTTACTAAGTATAAGGATTTTATACGTATATTTAGTAATAAGGAGGTAAAGAGGCTTTTAGATAAAAACAGGGCTTAGTACGTAATTAAGCTAGAACCTAACACTAAGCCACTATAAGGACTACTTTACTTACTAGTAGAGAAAGAAATAAAGGTATTATAAGAATACCTAAAGGACAAGTTAGAAAGGGGCTAGATTAGAAGGTCTTATAGTCTAGTAGGCGT